TGCAGGTTTGGCACCGGAAGGAACATGAATAAATCTATAAAACCCATTTCCCATAATGATTAACTGTTTAATCAATTCATTGTGATGCGTCGTATTCATTCAACGATCTATTTTTTTTTCTTTTGGGAGGCCTAATTATTTATCTATTTACTTATTCACAATCGTGATTTGTTCTCGGCGATGAAGCGGAGGAACCCGCCCGCCTTGCAATTTAAAGAACGCGTTGAGCTTGAACGTTTAAGCACGACTCGGCTTTGTATTGAGCAGCTCTTAGAAAACGTAGCACGCCGTGCAACGATCAATACTGGTCTCAACCATAATGCAATCATCATTGATTGCCATGATCTGTATCATCGGACATGATCTATCCACTGCTGGATGAAGGCCTCATTATCTGGCTCACGGTCTCGCAACGCAACGGTCCATCCACCTCCTCCACACGAGCCGATCTCATCGCTCTACCTCTGTGGTGGATGTCCTCCTCTCAGATCCGTTCCCAACTTTGGCTGCCACACTTCCGTGAGTCTCGACCCCCGGGCCGTCATCCCTTACAGTCATCCCTTACATTCCCACTTACTTTTATTAACAGTCAATATGATAGAAATCTACAATTAATGTATCTTCTCTAAAACACCTCCCAAGACAGCATAAAATAAACATTAAGATTTTCAATGAATGGGGATAGCATTTTGAATTACATTGTACTTATTTTTGTGATTCATTGTAGTTGTGTTGTTATTATTATTTGTAATTATTATTGTCATTTGACGTTCCTGGGTAAAAAATTCCCAAGGAGGCCTCCTCGGCAGGACAATCTGCGTGGCAGCCCCACGGCTTTGGAGTTTTCAAAGAGCAAAGGTCAGCCTTGGTGTGACTGTGGGGGTGTCACCCCCACCTGGCATGGGAACCCCCCTGGAACTTGGACTCAAACTGCACCACACCTCCTGCGTCCCCACACCATCACCCTCGCTTACCTTTCCTTATCGGTGAAGATTGTGACCAATGGCCTCCTATGGGAAATGTCCGCAAGAGGTTTACTTGTGATTTTATGAAAAATATTTTGTTTGTCTGTTTCCCAAACCGTATCCTGATTGTGCATTTGACATCATGTAATTATAGTAATGAGCACGCCTTCAGAACTCTCGCACAGCAGAGTAACTCCCCCGTGTTTGAGAAGGGTTCCGTGGAAGCAGATATCACGGAAATATATTTATCACCCCCTCGAGTGACCTCTTTGTCCGTACTAGGAGCCAGCACTTTCGCTGCCACCTGCTGCAGGGCAATGTTCGTTTGGATTATTGCACGAAAGTCAAACAGATATTTTCACATTTTTAGAGCTGGAATTGGGCAACATTTAATGAAAAACCAAATGTAATACGACGGGGATTATCTGTGTAGTCATTGATGACCAGGTTGAGAGCATCAACTCGCTACACTTGAAAACCTGCTTGAATCACGCAGCGGCAAGATTTGAACTGCCTTGCCTGGTATGCGGAAGGACGTGGGTTCGATCCCGACACCTGTATATTTGGAGTTTGCATGTCTCTCTCCCCGTGGTCACGTGGATTTTTCTCTGGGTCCTCCAGTTTTTCCCTCCACATTGAAAAACATGCGTTTGGAGTATTTGGCTGCTATTCATTTTTCAATGTCCACATGATAAGCCACTTCACTGATAAATGATTTGTGGCTAGGTCGCTTCTGATAAATAGCGATATAGCTGAGTGGGGCTTACCTGGTAAAAATTTAATAGTTTAAATAGTTTAGTATGAATTCCAAACCAGAATCTCTGAAATGTCAGTGTGTTTATTATTTTATAGCCACAGAATATGCTGGCTGCATACTGGTGTGGTAAGTGCTTCCATGTCTGTGTGTGTCTGTGTACAAGTGGTGGTGAGAGGTCGTGCAGTGGTTAGTGCACTGCATGACCAACCCCGCAAACGCGTTTGATTCTCGACCGCAGATGTCAGGTGAGTAATATCAGAACCGGTCCTGGGCCTTATTTAAATTAACTCAGCCAAAAATGAGTATGTAGTGCAGTGTGCAAACATGCTTGGTGTGTGCATGTGTACACGTATGTTGTGTGTGTTGATATAGTGGTGGCATGGTTGTTATCATCCTATATGAAGATCCTTGTAAACCACTTCATTTTTTATCAGTTGCAAATATAATCTGAAACCAGCCTGGATCTCCTTGAAATCAATTCAACCCATCACGGGTAAAGTACCTGGTGTAATGTAGCACCATCACCAATGGGGAAACAAAGGCGGCCAAGTGTTACATGTTGTGTTGTGCTTGTCACAATTTTGATAATTTTTTACTTTTTTCCAATGCAATCTAGTAGGCTAAGATGAGTCTATATCAGTGGGACAGTTAATTGTGTGGTGAGGTAAAGTTTGGGTGCTGCCAGATATTTCAAGATGTCTATCAAGCATTGAAGGGTCGGCCAATATACCCTCTTCATGGGTCTTATAGATCTCGTTCCATCAGCAGTGGCATGAGCAACCAATTGTAGAGATGCAGTGGTGCGTGAGTGTCTCAAGACATCAATATTTTTTATTTCGGATAACATTCTCACTTTCCTTGGAATAATAAAAAAAAACGACGGTATACGTCAAATAAAACATATCTAAACGGTAATAAATCACAACCGACCATTTGATTAACGCCCAAACTTAACAAAGACCTCCTTCGCCATGTCCAATACTGTATAGTTGTACTTCTACTTATGTAATGTTTCCTCTCATACTTTAGCTCTCCGTAAGCCTAAAGCTTTTTACAAACTGGTAATCCACCACCTATATCTGTACGGGTGAGTTGACCGGGCAGGATCCATCTCGTCGGTGTCCCACTTGATGTCGCCGCAGCGGAACCAGCGGCGGTCTAATGGAGAGGAGCTCACTGCCGAGTAAACATTTACTTGGCCATGTCGGCTCAGCACCGTCGCCACTCACACAACGTCTCGGCGGCCCCGAGCATCTTGCAAGCGGATGATGCCGTCTGGCAAACAGTCGGAGCCTAATCTTTGAGCAGAACATCACCGTAATCAGATCACCGGAGGTCAGTAACTATGTGCCGTAACAAAACCTGTCAAAACACTGTTGTGACAACTAGTTTATTTCATTGCCATCGAGCCGAGATGTCGTTTATGCGATTGTAAAAAGTAATAATTCACGGCTCTTTGTCAACTCACTGCTCGATGAAGGCCTCCCCACGTCGTGTCATTCATCGAGGGCTGCTTGAGCATACTTCACCACATACTGGTCAATGTGGGTTGGTGGCGCAGGACCAGTTGAGATATCACTCACCACTGATGTTAGCCGTGACAAGAAATTAAACTCAGGTTGCTGGCTTGATAGGGCAGTGTTCTAGGTTTACTCAGTCTTCATTGAGTACCCACTGGGATATGTGAAATGTATCAGCGCCGGCCAGACAAATGTGGCCGGGCTTGGTGTTAGCCACACCATTCCCTCATGTGCCGTTTCAGCCTATAAGGTGCTCACCAACAACACTTGTCCCGACAGTCTATAAACCCATATGGGAATGTGTGTCCTTGCATGTATGAAACATTGCAAGTATTTATTTATGCAGGAGAGCCAAATTTCAAGACCTCTTGGAGGAGTGTTCTGCTTGAGATATCTGGTCAATTCCCTGAGTAACGTTTTAATGTGGGAAGAAATCTTAGGAGCTTTGCATGAGAATAAAACTCAATCAGCATTTATCAGTCACGAACCTATTTGCTATTACGCCTCCTATACTGTATATATACACCGCTGCTCCTACATTTGGGTGTTTTGTGTACATGATCTCAGCAGGGTTCACGTAGATCTCAATTCCAACTCGTTGTATTACACATGTGTGCAACCATCATTTGATCAATGTGCACAGTGATGCACACGTGTTACTTTTCACACATACACAATACTTTAAATGGTATGTGCAAAACAGAGAGAAAGCGTCTGTTAATGTAATCCAGGTGATTAGTTATGCAACTCAATACCAACCAGCCAGTGTTGCTCATATCCGTTGGTGACCCTGACCTGAGAGAGTGGTGAAAATTCCACATTCCCATGTCGGGTTTCCCTGAGACTGCAACCGTTCACTTTTCGCAAAGCAGTGTTTAGCTTCATTCTCCATGCGTCGAATTGCCCCCCCCCCCACGCCCAGACAAGATTTTAACTCGCACCCTTCTGAGTCGAACGCTTTCGTGACTGCAAGGATTAATATTCTTGGATATTTTCGGTAAAGTCACGTAGGTAAAAAAATTTAAATAAAAAATAATAAAAGTTAAATAAAAATAAAATAAAAATCACGACGTTTTCGGAGGCAACACAAATTTCTCATTTACTTGATACAGCTATCGTGCTGTGACGGTTCCACCTGAAGATGGAAGTTTGTGTTGCCTCCGAAACGTCGTGATTTTTATTTTATTTTACTTTTATTTATTTTAATTTTTTACCTACGTGACTTTACCGAAAACCTAAGAATATGAATACTTGCAGTCACGAAAGCTTCAAATCTAGAATTGTGCAATCGACATTGTGGGACAGAACATCCATTCACATCTCATGCATGGCAATGCAACTCTTCGTGTTAAGAGATTTGCCCATGGAAGCGGATATCACAGAGTTACCACTGAGACCCCTTCAAGTGAACTCTGGTCTACACCATAGAGGGCTGCACTTTCATTCGCCGTGCCACAGACAGTAATGTTCATCACATGACAGTCAAACTGATATATTCAATGATCAGAACTGGAATTTAGTCCAATGAAGCACAGAACCACATTAACAGTTCTTGTTTTTTTTGTGCCAGTCATAGGTGACAGAGCTGACACCATAAACTCACTACACTTGAGAAAGGGGTTTTAATCACAGGCAGCTGCTTGGATTTCAGCGGTGGTAGCTCATCTCTGACCTCCAAGCCATAGGGCTACACCTCACACGGCCTACTAAACCCAGAGCAAAACGGGCATCAAACGAGAACGGCCTCTCGCCCCGTACCTTGGCGATGTCGTTGATGAAGGCCTGGTACTTGTCGGCTGCGCACACGTGCTCAGCCTTCTCGAGCGCCTCGAGGCTGCACAGGATGCGCTCCTTCTTGCCGGCGAGGGACAGCTCGCACTCCTGTGGGCCCTGGGCGTCACGGCGTACCTTCTCAGGGGCGCGCGCATCCTGCACAGCGCGGCGCCGCACCACGCGGTCGTGATCTGCCTCCTGCACGCGCCGGCGCAACAACAACAACAACACGCGACTGTCAGCGGCGACGGCGGCGCCACACGCGCAGTGCCAACGCGGAGACTGGGCACGAGCGGTGCTCCTGGATAACATTTCGGGTACGATGGGTAATTTAGCCTTCATCGTTTTATTTTTTTTGTCATGTTTTTTTTATCCTGTTTGTAGTGTCGGCGTCATGTTATGAGGCAAAGTACCCACTTGGATCTCTCACAGAGCAGGACAACCTTCCGTGATGGAGAATGGCCCATGGAAGCAGATATCACAGAACTACTTCTGAGATCATCTTAAGTGACCTCTGGTGCCACATGCGATAGAGTTGCACTTCCCACTCACTCTGCTTTTGAGAGTAATGATTATCGCAAAATAGTAATCATAATTCGAGGTGGAATTTAGCTAAGCAGAACACGATGTAAAATGAATTTTAAAAGGCAATAAATTGTGTTTTTATTAATATACTTTTTGCATCCACCCAATGGCTACTAAATTCACCAAAATGTCAACAAAAATGTTTTGATCTTGAATCAAACCATGACTATCTTGATCCATCAGGGACATGCATCAACAGGCCTACTACTGGCCACCAATGCACCCCAATGCCTGTGCAATCCATCAACCCTGCCTCGACCTCCACAGCAGTGGATTACAGGCACGCGCCACCAAAGGCATATCCAGGGTAGAGGGGGTAGTTGCCCCTAGTACTCAATGTTTTTAGAAGGCCGTGATATATGTTAGACCATTTTTGAGATGTTTCAAGAATGTACATCTTTAAATCAATAACCATTCTTGAATCAAATATCATCTTAGATGATTCCTGATGTATATTTAATATTAGATACATTCAATATTATAGAGTGAAAACATTTTGTTTCTGGAAATTATTTCCCCCCTGCACCTCCGTTTAGACCCTCAGGTTTTGAATCCAGGGTCTGCGGACACCATGAGGGCATCTACGGAGCAACCCTGTGACCTTGTTTAAGCGCTAAACGGAATGAATGACGATACGATCTGCTTGTGCCTATCGTGCATTCTGCTCTGGCTCTCACCCCCCTTGTGTGTATGAGGGCAGGCAGCGGTGTCCGTCGCTTGTTTGTGTCTAACCTGTTGTCCTTCTCTCCCACACCTCCAATTAGCACGGTTCGCGAAGTACGGTACAAAACAAGTTCAACACACGTACGTACAAGTGTACGTACTTTAATCATTTAGAGGGGGGGGGGTGCTGTGTATTTGTCAGGGGGGGACTTTGCCCCCCCCCCCTCCATGCTCGGGTGATGCTAAAAAGGTTTGAGGGCTCTGATGGGGGCATGAAAATTGCCATATGGGGGCCATGGGCCACAACAGCAAACTTCCTTGACCAGTGCCACAGATGAGCTGGGCGTTTTACGCATTGAAAATACCAACTACGTACGACATTTAGATCGAATGTGTAATAATGTGCATACAATTGTCGCCGCACAGCTTGAGTTTTCACATTAGAAAAAAATAAGTGACGTGAGTGCGCTGAAGGAGTGGTCACATGATCTCCGGTATATATCTGTGAGGGGGTGTTCGGTCATGGCATAAAACGCTCTTGAAAGGTTCTCATGCAGCGGCTTTGTTCAATTGTTTGAAGTAACGTTCCAGCTCAATTTAAGATTCTTGTTCTTAATGCATGCCATCGAGGTTGACATTCAAGATTGTACAGTATTTGATCAAATGTACTAGTGCCATCAAGGAAATGCTGTATGTTACCCCCGTGAAAATAAAAAAAAGTATTCACATGATGTTAATAGTTGAGGGTAAATCATTCAACAATCCCAAAACCTCATCTTCAAGGCTATCAGTGCCTGATACACCACCCTGCCGGTCTGGCTTCAACCTGAGATATGGTCACAAACAAGTTCTGATACTTCTGCATTGATGACTATACAGCACGGCTCATTATTCTAACAGTCAATGGTTTCTTAATAGCAGTTATAATGGATCCTCAGTCAAAGACATTGCCAACCACAAAATCAGTGCACATTCCTTCATGCTAAAACACACGTGCACACAAGCAGAGACTTTCGTGACGATGGCTCTGTAAGAAAATCCATGTGGTTTGGCATCTGTATCAGATTGTGTGGGTCGACTTTGTGATCAACACAAGCTTATAAAATATAATACTCTCGGTGTGGTCTGTGCAGACAATTCAAGGGTAATTGTTTAACAAATAACGATATCCAGCCCTTTTTCAATCCACTGCTGGCTGATGGACTCTGGATGGTGTATCAGTCATGGAGGTTGTGCAGTGCAGCAGGTTGGGGAAGAGGAGGCCCAGGACTGCTTTAATATATCACTCTCTACCGATATTAGGCATGACCGGGAATTGAACTCAAGTGACCAGCTTCATGGTACAGTGCGCTAACCACTGCGCCACCGCTCCACCTACCATTAAAGGGTGTCTGTTTATAACAGTACCTTTACAATGAGTCAAACGAGCACATCCGTCATGTGGAATTTTAATTGTGTCTCTTAAATTAATTTGTGGGTTGATCCGTATCGTGCCTGTGCTGAGAGGTAATTATCTGTGATGCCAGTAAGAGCTCACCTAAATCAACACACATCAACTCAAGGAGGCCATAAACATGAATCTCTCAAGCCAAAGTATTGATTAAAAAACACAATTACACGTGAACTTTCAGTGATTAATATTTACTCCTACAGCCTCCACAAAAAATATTGTGTGTGCGCATAAGTTTTAAATGTACTCAAAGTACTGCATAGACTAGTGATATATTACATTTACTACTCATTGTATATTGGCAATTCATTAAGAAGAAGAGTTGGGTTGTAACATATTTCAACCTCATGTTTTCTAAATATAAAACAATGTCATATTATAAGTAGAGCTGTGACAATATGCAACCCTCGCGATCGCATGAATTGTCGATTGAAGCACCAATGTTTTTGTGTTTTTCACATTGTTGTGCATGTGGCATTTCCAGTGTCTGCAGGGGGTCACGTGAACCGATTACATACAATATACACAAATCACAATCGATGGGTCCGGTGCATTGTATCATTGAGTGTATGATTCAACGATGATTCGATGCTTCGTTTCAGGCCTAAATAGGAGCATCCTGACTGCAGTACGGTATCCCCTCATTATTTGAGAGGAATACGGTCCGGAGATGCTTGTGAATAGCATATTTCGCGGATAATGACATTGGACTATGAAAAAACCCATAATTTTAATGAATGACCTTAAATAAATACGTAAATTAGCTATTAAATACGTTTAAATTATAACATAAAAATACAAAATGGTTATAATAAACGTAAATTAACTTACATAAAATTATGATGCTGCACAGTAGAAGGTTTCAGTAACGATGATCTCATCCCTTTATCTCATCAAGTCGTGTAGAGTTCCAGATGCGATCCGCAGATAGCCAAAATTGCGGATAGCAAGATCGTGGATAACGAGGGAATACTGTACCCATTCACAGAGGGCTTTCATGTAAAATAAAACCTAGAAAACCTCGTCCAACTATATTTTGGTACTTTGTTAAAAACATTTTGTTAAGAGTTCAAAAAGGCTAATTTTTTTATCCTTAAACATTTAAAGAGCCTCCCACAAATCACACTACTACATCACCTCCCTTTAGCATTTCACCAATATTAGATTTTTATTCCTTTCAATGTTATTCAGGGCTTGGGTTTTTATTTTTTGGCAAATGGCTCCCGAAAAACCAATATTCCTTAGAGACAACTTTACTTTCAAGACATCCTCAAAGACTACCACAGAAGTGATGTTTATCAAGAAATGCTAACCAAGGCCAAAATATATTCATTTCCATAAAGGTAACACTCATATAAACAAAGTGTATTTGTTCAATAAATACACTTGTTTATGGCAGCAGACACAAAGGGGCTATTCTAATCATAAACCAGACAACATGGCCCTGTAGGGGCCACAGGTAGTCGCGTTGGTACTTATTGCTTTCACCCGAATGTCTTCAACGCTGTGGACAGTAAATACAACCATGAGTCAGAGCGTCGCTCTGTTCGAGCAATGAGGCAGCGCCTTTCTCCGTTTGTGACTCTGCGTCATAAGTGTAAATCCACATTCTTACGACCAGGGCTGTATTAAGTTGTTTGATGGTCGCCCAAGACGGTTATAGACTTGGGGGCCCTTTTGTTGTTCTCTTAAAATTGCTTCCCTCTGCCGATTCAGCACCACCCATGCCCAATGCCAGACACTGAATTGTTATTCACCTTCATAACAGAGGGTTTTTTGGGAGGGGTTAGATCGCGTCAATATAAATGTGTCATTAAACCACCCGACATAGCCAATTAGTAAGTTTGTCACGTAAACAAAAGATGCTAATTCGTTATAAGTTCAGCACACTGGTGTGTTGGAGAGTGAACCCACAACATTTACAATTGCTCTATTATGTATAACTAGCTTTTTTGCCCGTCCAAGGACGGGTGTATATTGCAGTAAATCTGAAATATGAAATAGAAAAATTGTTCAGCTCATGATTATTAATGAGGTGGGGGGGGGGGTTGCCCCATGCGGAGTGACGTCACCCATTAATGGTTATTGTGGAGGGGTGCGGCATGTGGAGTGACGTCACCCCTCATGGTTATTGGGGAGGGGTGCGGCATGTGGAGTGACGTCACCCGCTCATGATTATTAATGAGGGGAGGGGTGCGGCATGTGGAGTGCGCGACCGTCTTGTGCGTTAGTGTAAATTTCCACGCGGGCATGAATATTAATTAGGGGGGGGGCTCTTTTGCAGTGACGTCACGCACGGATGTAGCACTGTGCTGCTTAGAAAAAAAATTACCGTCACTTTCTGTAAAGAAACGTCATATTTGAAGCGATTTTTCGGGAAAAAAAATTTCATTCAGCTCGACCTTCCTCTGCGTTAGTGTAAATATGCACCCACTCATGAATATTAATGAGCGGGATGGACCTCATGTGGAGTGACGCCACGCGCGTGACACACACACATTATTGGCTTATTATAGTGGCAATATTGGTCGCGAAAGCCTACGTGTTCAACTGTTAATCATCTTACTTATTTCAGTTCTGCTTTTCAAATGTGACATATCAATTGTAAAGCTAATCCGAGCTTAAAACGAGAAAACTTTATAACTTGGGCACATAACTGGTCATCATACACATACGTGATGCTATGCCTTCAATTACCAAATTACCTTTCAGATTCATCATAGTACTACATTATAAAGCGATACATACATATATTTTTGGAGACCCTAAAAACTCCCAGGCACGAGGCTGATGCCCCATAAAACCCCCTGCATTAGCCAAGTTTTGCTTATGACGGTGGAGGGAGGGAGAGGGGGGTCAGGGTACCTATGGGATGACCACCGTCAACTCCTCATGAAGAGAAACCCCCTGACTGAGATTTGAATTCACAGCTGTCCATCCGTTGTGCTCCAAACACTCTTTTCCGCAGCGCTGCTGCCCCTGCCGAACGACGATGGGTCTGAGCGTACACACACAAAGCTAGTTCTAAAAATAAGTTACTGTACATTGAAATAACCTCAGTGAGAAACGCAACACTGGTGGCGACGCACCTGCTCGGGTTTACGGCCAGCCTCTATGAAAGAACCGCTGTGTGGGAGTGCTTTTTTTTGTTAATCAGAAGCATTCTACTTATTAACAGAAGTAACTTTGGTCTTTGCAATGGCTCATAAAGAACAATGGTACAAAGCGATTCTGACTGTCGCCCCGAAAAAAGACACAGACGCACCCATAAACCAATGCAAAGCCCTTTGCAAAAGCCACCAATATAATCCCTGCCCAAAATTCGCCCTCCAAATGACGCCACCGCACCCCCATCCTCAGCTCGTGTTTCCTCGAGGCTCGACCCTGATTGGGGGTGTGGGGGGGGGGTGTCGCTAACGATGACGCACCAAAACCCCTTTGTTGTGGATTTACCCCATCTACAAAGCCCTGTTCCTGTGCGCCACACTTCAGCCACAGCTGCCAAGTCACCTCTGGGGAGCCATCGGACTGTGAGAGAGGTCTCTCCAACCTCCTGCAGGGGTTAACACTCGCCGCTGCTGCAGAGGCTAAGTGTTCCAGACTCACAATCCAGAGGCACTGTGCTCCAATGCTGATCATCGTCGTCGTCGTCATCGTCGTCATCATCAGCGATGACCTATCCACTGCTGGATGAAGGCCTTCTCATGTCGTTTTGATGACGGGGAGTGTTTTGACCATACCTCACAATTCTGGTCAGTGCGAATTGGTTAAGGGATCGGTGGGATTCAGATACTTACCTGCTACTGATGCAGGCCATGGCCAGGAATGAAACTAATAAAATATCAAACTGAGGTTGCCGGGTTAATGCAGTGTGGTAACCACTGCACGATCGCTTCCTCCTGGCCACTCTTTACTTTTATTTAAATAATTATACATTGCAGGTATTTGACTGAGAGAGAGAGTTATTGGTAAGTTCACAACCCTGGTCAGAGGTCAACCCAACATATTAGCCCTTTGAAGTCAATAAATTGAAGTACCGCTTCGTGGAAAATCTACAGCGGTCGACCTGAAAATTGAAACTGTTCCCACCATAAGAACGTGGCATTGCCATCGCCAGCTCAGGGCAACAAAGGCAGAACAGCACTGCTCCATTGCTCATTTTATCCTTGATTCAACTCTGTAAAAAATGCTGTGAAAAGAAAGTCTTGAAAAAACAAATGAAAAAAAACCAGTGAACCCTACTGACAAAATGTTATATCAAAAGCTAAAACGTTACGGAAGGAATGGTGGATTAAGCGCATGCTTGGAATTACACTGAGAGACGTAAAGAGGAACACATGGATCAGATAACAAAAGCCAATTCAGGGAAATAATATTGGCTTTAATGAAAAGTATGTAGGCATGGGCAGGACACATCACTTACAGGAACGATGACTGGAGTAAAAGACTAATGTCGGACGGCAGCCAACATAGGGAATATCCCTGGGAGAATGACCACCATGGAGATGGATCGACGAAATTGGCTCGTGTTGAAACCGTGAGAGATGGCGGCAACTTTGGGGAGGCCTTCATCCGGCTGTGGACTGATCGAGGATAACAATGATGACCAATGATGATGGGTGCTTGGTGCATTCTGTGCATCTCTGGCAGCAGCATGGGCAGCCAGTCGGGAGGGTCGCTCACCTGCTCGCTGCTCGCTGCTGTGGAGAGGATCTCGGTGAGGCTCTCCCCGGGCTGTGCTCGGATCACATCCACCACCAGCTTCTTTGTCCTGCCCAGGAACACGACGCAAGCGGCGCTGTGATGTATATTTCATCACAAGCTATCGTCACGCAACGCATCGCTACAAAGAGCGCTGGCCCCCAGGACACAGCCACACTCTGCGGTGCATTCCTGTAATGCAGCATTCGTATGGTTTTGCATAATCCAACGCTGTCAACAAATCTACCGTACTGCCTGCACAAATCTGCATTGGGATTATTATTATTATTATAAACGTAATTTTCTTCATTCAAAACTAGCAGCCTGGGGTGGAGGGTAGGTGTGGGGAGGCAGATATCAGCACACTGCACTCGTGTCAGCCAGGCAATCAGCGAGCAAACCTTTTTTCTAATATAGTATGATATGACGCTGCCAAACCTGGTGGTGCCCATTCAAACGCTGTCTTTCTGACAGACCTGTTCTTGACCTGAGGACGGCTGCTTGCGTTGTGGCCGAAACGTCGTGAGAATTATTTTATTATGTTTTATTATTATTTTATTATTTCCCTTCTACGTGACTTTACCGAAAGAACCAAGAAGATGCCAATTATATATATATCAACGCATTTTCATTATTATCCAGTTAAAATGCAATGATGTACTGTATTTTGATTATTTTAAGTGTTGGGTAACTGCTAACAGTGTACATGCATCATGTATTCACGACCTTCACAGCCGCATTCCTCAGCAGCCCCATTTCTCCTGCTCTAGTATTGTTCATTCTAAGTCATGCACGACACCTCTGTACTTGTGGCAAGCTTCCTTTATGGATATCTGCATTCATAGGCAGACGTGACATGCTCAAGAGAACGAGAAACTTGCAATAATTTACAATGAATCAAAACTTTTTTTGTTATTTGCCCAATGTTGATTTAATTCCGCACAGGACATTTATAAAACCCACTTGCATTAAATGACAAAATAAAAGGACTGAAAATAAAAAAAATGTGGAACACGCTGACGAGAGCTGTAATGTTGTAACAAAAATGATATTTTTTTAAGTATAAGTTGGGGAATCGTTTAATCTGTGTGAATTAAATGCGAGTGGGAGGACTTTCAATGTCCGAAAAAGGGGCCATCAAAGCTGATTTATTGCCAAGCTTCAGTGCTCTCTGTGTGTGTGGCATTTGAGGCCCGATAACAATTGCCTCCCTAATGATTCATTGTGACTGCCGGTGGTAATGGAACCCTGGAGCCCCCCCCCCAGGCCAGTGCTGACGTCTGACGCTGTAATTTAACGCCAGGTTTAGGTGTGCGTGTGTGTCTGTGCGTGATTGTGGGGGTGCGCGTGAGTGCGTGAGTATGAGTGGTGCATTGGCGCATGCGTGTCTGCGTGCGTGTGTAAACACGTTACGTTGAGTGGTAGTGCGGTGGTTAGCACAATGCGCTAGAACCTGACGACCCGACTCCAATTATCGCTCACCGCTAACATCAGTGCCGACTTATCTGGCTCACCAGTCCTGGGCCTTCCCTAGATTGACTCAGCCTTAAATGATGTAGCTGGTGTAGTATAGAAACATCAGCACTAGGGAGACAAATGTGTGGTTCTGGGCACACCGCCCGGCCCTGTGTCGTTGCTGCTGGCCTTAATAGGTGCTCGCTAATGGCAATTTCCCAAAACAGCCTGTGTCGGCTATACGTGGGAATCTCTGACCTCGTCATTGTGTGAACACACACGAGCAGGTATTGGTGCGTGGGTGTGTTGTTACGAGAGGTGTGCGTGCCAATGCGTTATGCGTGTGCGCGTGTAAGGGGGGGTGTGTGTGTGGGCGTCTGCGTGTTTGAACTGGAGTCTGAGTACGTGTGTACGTGTGTGTCCACAATGTGTGCTCCGGTTTGTTTTTCAACATGCTGCATGGGCAAGTGCTCTTATTTGCCCGTGTGCGAAACCCTAAGCGTGCAATGTGCTTCTTCTCCGTGTCTGCGAGCGCGTGAGAGACTATGCAAACTGCTGTGACCATTAACAATGCACAATCTCAACCGGTCGGTGCGTGGATTTGCGTGTTAACGAGCGATGGCAAAGCGTGGGTCAATTAATGCCAAAATCAGATTTTTTTTCTTTCCCCCCGACCAAATGTGCCAGAGGCAGGATAAGCGAATGTCTTTTCAGAGAGAATTGTATATTAGCGCTGGCCGCTGGTATGACTCTGAAGTCCGCTGCTGCATGACCGATGCTGACACAACAATGAGTTTGTAGCTCTTAGAGGCCATCAAAGCAACGAGGAATGACTTATACACACTTCTGTATAAATGTGCGTGTGTGTGTGTTGGGGTCTATAAAGCACAGGAGAGATGTTAAATCAATAAATCAAAAATGCAAACTGATCAATATGTCTTCAGTGACAGTCGTCCACTGCAATGGGTGTTTGTGTTAATAGCAGGTTACTGCCGTGTTTACCTTGACTAAAGGAATACAATATTCTGATCATGTCAAACGATGCCCATCCTCTTGTATGTTTTACTCAATGCGGGTAAGTGTAATAGATTGTGCGCCTTTGTGTACGTGCTTTCTTACACTTGTGTTTCAAGTGGACAGGCCCGTACGTAGATCTGTATGTGCTTTCATGTGTGTGCGCATGTGCGCACGTGCGCTCATGTGCGTGTTGTGTTTGCTATGCGTGTGCATGCTTGTTTCTATGTGTGTGTGCATACGTGACCTCCTGCCAGCGGGCGTTCGACACTTCACGTGGCCTCAAGGTGCACATGGCCTGGCACAAGCGTCGTGTTGACGTCACCGCCATACGCACGTATACATACGTGCAACAGAGTGGTGACATGCTGGTGCAGGCTAACAGCACTTGCCCCAACAGTCTGTTAAAAAGCCACACTTTGCCTTTGTGTGTACCAACCATGGTGACCCCCTACACTACGCCCGGTTGTCCTGATTTAACACTGCACTCGGTACATATTTCAGGTTCAGTTGATCTAGGGGAGACACAGGACCCGTTCAGATATGACTCATTGCTGATCATAGCCATGGCCAGGAATGGAATCCAGGTCGCCGGGGTCCTAGCGTAATGAGCTAACCACCGCACTACCAACTCCCCAGGTGCTCGCTAGCAGCACTTGTCCTGACAGTCGCAATAGCCTATGTGGGGGATATTTGTCTTTTTACCAGCTATATGTCCGCATGTTTGTGTGTGTGCGAGTGAGAAGTGGTAGCGTAGAGGTTAGTGCGCGACGCTCTGAACCCGGCGAACTGAGTTCAATTCCCATTCACGACCAACACCAATTACGATTATAATCTGAACCGGTCCTGGGCCTCCCCTAGTTCGATTCAACCTCAAATGAGTACTTTGTGAGGTGCGTTAACATCGCCACTGGGGAGACAAAGGTGTCTGGGCGTGGTGCTGGCCACCCACCCCCCTCGTGTGCCGTGTCATGCTCGCTATAACAGCACTTGCCACAAAAGTCTATTCAGACTATACGGGGGGGAGATCTTTGTCTTTGTGCACGCCAGAGTCCGAGCGTTAAGGCTGGGACCCCGGCCCACCGCCAGGAGACAGAGCTTCTGGCCTACTGATTGCATTTCACCCAGGAGATTACTGGCTGCCGGGAGTGGGCGGACAGCTGAAGGCAGCCCGCAGCAATTTAAAGCCACAAGCGGCAGCCTCACTTTGTGTCAATGTACGCCGGGGCAATCGGATCACCGCTCAAAATCACATTCTGTTTTCTATTCATAATTTTTATAAATGATTGAAAAACTCCGCAATGCTCAAGCAGCTTATTGGAGTGGAACGCTTTGGTGCCTGCAGTGCTAGACCTAACGCATTAATGTTTAATGACACTTCAGTTGGGCAGATACAAAAAATAAGAAACTGAGAATAACTATCTGAGCTAAATCCATGGGAATAAGTTAAACCTACAAACTAAACAAATTGTGAAAAACGTACATATAATAAAAGCACTCTTTCAGTTATATTTTATATTAGAATAGGTTTTCCCCTTTTTTCTGGAAACAAAACAGGTGTTAAGATGTTAAAACACCAAACTGAAACCTTTTTACAAGGAATCACGCCTTTTGGCGTCCTCTGGTATAACACCATTTTGAGACTAAGCTCAAAGGAAAGCTGTCTCTGGTGTGGACCAATCAGTTTCAAAGACAATGCATATATTTTGACTTAAAGCGTTCGTGACTGCAGAAATTCATACTCTTTGAACCTATCTACGTGACTTTACCAAAAGACCCAAAGAAAATGCATATATTATTCAGAGTATGTTTTTTGTTTGCATTCTGACCACAAGTATTGTGGTTAATGCACCCATGATTCCTTGTAAAATCTTTCAGTTTGGTGTTTAAACATCTTAACACCTGTTTTGTTGCCAGAAAAAAGGGGAAAACCTATTCTCATGATGATATTTGATATTGTATCAGTTGACGTAAGAACGTATTTATGCTCAACAACTATTGATGAGCTACAAGTGAGATTTGCTACCTGAACATTTATAGAGAAACCTCATCAAGTGTGCGCTCAGAAAGGAAGTAAGTTTGTACAGGCCATTCCCCTATTCAAGACATTCATGCAATTTCTCTTGAAGTGTATTTTTTATGCTACTGTACTTTTTGAGGCCGTAAAAAATGTAGGCTTAAAAAAATGGACCAGTGGACATCCACCAAGGAAGGAGATTCTTCTTCTCGTGTCCTGCCACCACAGAGGAGCTGGAGTGATGAAATAAGCTCATGTTGCAGGCGCTCAGTAGATTATTACATCCCATGATAATGATGTAAATGGACATGCAGAAAGTTTTGGTAAATCGTCCTCTGCAAAACAAAAACATGAAGCCTCTGCCAAGGGCCTCAACCCCCGCCCACGCAGCCCCCGGAGCCTTGGGTACTTCAAATCCGTGCTTAAATAAATAAAATCCCCAAAGCGGCACAGACAAAGAAATTCAGGCCGGTAGATGTGCTCATCCTACAATGAAGCTACAAACTAAGAATGGGGCATCAGTGGTGTCAAGTGGACCACGCTTTTATGGCTTTCATCTTTCTTGACTGGTAACAACCCATCATGCATGCCAGTGCTGTACACAAAATATGAAACTTTCAAACACTTTGGTTGGAGATTTATTTTTAAAGTTCTGACAGCTCCCTCACCTCACCAAAGCCTAAACACAACATTATTCTCCCATCCAACAACTCATCCTTGTGTCTTAGTCACCTCCCCCCGAGCAGTTTCAGTCACATTCCACCTCTGTAAGCAGCTCCCGTGTCAGCAACAGCCACGGCATGGATATAATTTGTTTCATGTATCCACAGTTCAGTGTGAGAAGAAATGTTACCTAAACACCACTGCTCCTTCGAGTTTCAAATATCTTTTTTTTCTCAGATGGGATTCGAGATAGGTTATCAGAATTCTGTGCAAAAATATTTTAACCGTTGATGCTATCACTTTTTTTCTTTTCTTTTTTGTTTAAACGTTAGAATTACGTTGGCCTGTGAAAAGAGCAACGCAAAACTCATCATTTCATGCTGTGTGCTCAAAAGGCAAGCAATGGACACTTGCTTTGTTTGTTTGGCTATTGTATCTTGGACAGGCTCAAGATGTTCCGTTTTCTTTACCTATGACTCACTGCCTTTCCCCATAAAGTTCGCGACAAATATCATCCATAACGCGTTTTTTTTGTTAGATCGCGTAAATATATAATAAAATAAAAATCCAAATTTTTCTGAACAGCGTCTTGACACGCGAGCGTATTTAGAAGCGATATAAATCCAAATTGTAATTTTTCTTTTTTCACGTAAGGATAAAGTGGAAATGCAGTTTATCGACTTTACAAGCACAACGATAACAAAACATTAAATTGCAATTGTACGTTGACAACAACAAAATTAAATTAAATAACCAACAACAAAAAAGGAATTATTGATGTTTTAGCACAAGAGGCCCTGCTTAGCGCAGATCTTAATGAAAATAAATGCAAGGGGATAATGGCATTCTAAAGATGAGGTATGCGGAGGAAGTAATCTTACTGGTGATGAGTAGAAAATTACAATGTGGCTGCAATGTCAAAAAACTGTGCCTGCAGCCAAAATCACAATTCAAAGGCGTCAAACAGGCAGGGCTGCATCCACTCGGGAGGGGAAGAAAGGCAGCGGGAATGATTGTCGAGGAAACGTGAAGCATAGCGCGAAAGGAATATCAGTGGGAATGTAAACTAAATGCGCGCCCACCGTATAAGTCTCGACAAATATGCACCACCCTCTAAAACCAAAGTTTTGATTTGACTTCATCTCAAAACAAATCGAAACTTTTTCACCCAATATTGGAATGGAGCCCAAGGTGTGATTGCTATCCAATTCCACACACAAGTAGATTGGAAAGCATTGGCACGGGGAAAATAAATAGCCGGCGCGTTGACTGAGTTACAGTCGAGAGCGTGGGCGCCACGGCTAATTGGAGTGCCCGGACGTCTCGCGCGTGGGCCGATTCAGCTCAGCGTCCTGACGGCAGAGGCTACGTGATGAGGTTGCATAGGGATTTCTTTTTTTTAATAAACATGACACGTGCGATAATGGTATCAGTTCGCAAAAGAGAATTATTTACTCGCTGGGATCTCGCCTACTGAAATAAACATTACTCGAGTGAGCTGAGAGTGTCCGGTTTGGAATTGCAAATATGCAGGGGACAAATTAAATTTGTATTTACTTGACTTAAACTCAATGATTCGGAACTCTTTATATAATCATCTGGAAAGCTTCCTGGTTTATATCACCCACATGTAGGGAAATAGTATACGTATTCGGTTACAGCAAATATTTAGCGTACTCCAGTTGTGGGTAATTTTTACCGATGGGATATGAGCGATTACACCAATAAACAATAGTGTCTGTTTGCAAAACACATGAAAAGGGTCTTTAACATCACCTTCATAGCAAACGGCATGTTTTGACAACTCTGTAAAAGTAACTATGCGACTGCAGGAATTTAACCATCAACTGCAAGACCCGGCTCAGCACAGATCCAGATCCGGCAGCTTGGCCAGCCAGTGACTCACTCATTATCATAACACGTGTCTCTTTTGCAAGAGAGACAAAGAAAACGAGGCAAATGAGGAACATCCGAGCGTTTAGAAACTTCGTGTTCCACGTTCCTGTTGCATACTAACACTTGATCGTATATGCCCTTTCGCGACACATACGATTGAGAATTACAATTTAAATTATTAAAAATAGTAACGTTAACATAACTACACGTCTGCATATCGTGGACATATTTCTGGCATTATGTGTTTTATTACGTAAATGTGTTGAGCACCACCGCTGAAAATATTGTTACTACATCGATAATTTTTCGATTTAAAGCTTTCGTGACTGCAGGGATTCAATTTCTTGGTTCTTTCGGTAAAGTCATCACGTAGAAGGGAAATAATAAAATAATAAAAATAAAACATAATAAAATAATTCTCACGACGTTTCGGCCACAACGCAAGCAGCCGTCCTCAGGTGAAGAAGCTTGGTGGTGTTTCATTCTTCACCTGAGGACGGCTGCTTGCGTTGTGGCCGAAACGTCGTGAGAATTATTTTATTATGTTTTATTTTTATTATTTTATTATTTCCCTTCTACGTGACTACATCGATTATGTCGCTGTTACGACATTTCTGCACGTTGTGGACATATCTCGTGCGGGCCTTAAAGGTGCCCTGACTGCCGCACCTCCTTGAGAAACTCAACAGAACGTCGAGAGGAAAGACAAAAGACAGACGACGTGGTTTTGGGTCGACATCGAGGAGTGGACCAGCTGGGCACGGGGTACATCACGAGATCTTGTGCTGACAGGGAGCACTGACCACCGACCTCCGGAATTCCGGGGCTGACACCGTTAAATGAATTGATGCATTGTCAAGCCAAAGTGACTGATCCAACTCAACTACACTGGCGGTGGCTGCTTTGAACAAATAGATAGAAAGATGCACACTGTCTTGGTATGGAGAAGTTTTGTTGGAACGACTACCACTGCTGTAAACATCTCCCATACTAGAGGTGTGTTGGGTTAGATCACGTAATTATAGATTTGTCGTTAAACTCGCTACCACCCAAGACAGCTGTTGTCTGATGAGGCTGGTTGTAATTTCCGGCGAAACGTCATACTCGAATTGTAAATATCGTAGGTTTACTCCAACACACCGGTGCGCTGAACTCTAGTAATTGGCATGTTTTGTTCACATGACAAACCTTACTAATTGGCTGTGTCGCGCAATAGCGAGTTTAACGACACATTTATATTTACACAATCTAACCCAAAAACCTCCGTTAGGAATAATATTGGTCGCGAAAGTCTATGTGTTAAACTGTTAACATCTTGTGCAGCAAAATAAATTTTTACGATGCGAGAAGGATGATGATGATGATAGCTGAGTCAATGCCCCACACGCATTATAGCCACAGTGCCACCCACCAGATGTAGCACAGTATCTATGATTTTATTGTTTTTAGCAGAATTTTGGTCCGTTGTTGTAAAGCCACTCCACCCCCCACTGTAACCATCCACCACCTACCTCCGACTGCTGCACCCCGCCCCGCCTTTCCTTCCCTTCCACATCCCTTCTGTGTGTGGGGTGGGGGGCCGGGGGGCTAAACAGAAAGAGGTAGGGCCCAGAGAAAAGGGGTGGGTACTAAAAAGGAAAGGTGCAGAGCCAAAAGAGGAAGGCCTAATCAGGAAGTAATGCGGCCTAAGCAGTATGGGGGTGGTGTATAGAAAAGAGAGAGGCAGGGTCGAAATCATATTTCAGAATGGGAATCTTTATTTATTCATGCTGGAGGAATACAATGAGCAATAAAGCTCTTTTTCACACATGTTCAGTAGGGGGTGGGTCTAAAGAGGAAAGGCCAGGACCTAAAGAGGAAGAAGCGGAGACCTAGAGAGGTTGAACTTCCCTGTTAATTTAAGCGTGGAATAAAATGCGTGCAGCCGATAGCAAACCTCTAGTCAGCTTTGAATGTTTTTGTCCTAGTCACGTCGCAACGGCTGCTCAGAGGGAAGCGGGAGGTGACCCACCTGAGTAGCAGGCCCTTGGTGTCCAGGTCGTCGTCACCCATGACATCGAACTTGTTGGTAAGGGTGAGGGACACCTCCGTCTTCAACAGCTGTGCTTCTTTGTTGGGGTCGCTGTTTTCTCCCTCGGTCTCGCCTGCGTGACAGAAAGAGGGTAATTACTGCTGCTTCACAGAGGTCACCGGCTACATCGACGCCCCCCCCCCCACCCAGTGGCTCATCAGGCTTCACACTCAAAATCTTTTTCCAAAATTGCCACGAGTTGAATTTCAATAAAAAATAATAATTAAGTAATTTGTCAATGCCATGCCAGAGGAAGGGCTTCTCGCAACGTGTCGGTTGTGGAGGTTGTTTCGCCGCACTTTATATCACGCTGGTCAATGTGAGTTGGTGAAAAGCATAGTGGTTGGACCACTTAATATTTTACTTGTCAAATGATGTTAGCCGTGACCGGGAATCAAAATCAAGTTGACTGGTTCATAGCGCAGTGTGATAACCACTGCACTGCTGCTCCTCTCTCTCCGGATAAGTTGAATTATATGAGGTTATTCATACTGTTAAACTAAACGAACTCTACTGTTTTATTTTACCACGTAAGGCCCACTGAGATATATAGCTCTTTTTTAGAAGCGAACTGCCAACAAATGATAGCTCAACAAAGTGGTTTATTACGTGGAAATGTATATCAGCCAAATACTCTACACCCAGGTTTCTAAATGTGGAGAGAAAAACTGGAGGACCCGGAGAAAAATCCACACGAGGAGAACATGCAAACTCCAAATATAGAGGCGTTAGGGTCGGGATCGAATCCACAACATCCTGTATATCAAACGAGGTAGTTAACATCTCGCCACCACTCGACTCCAGTATCTGTGAACCGCTGACACAAAAATAAATTATACCATTTGATCCAGACCCAGGTTTTTGCAAACATATATTTGGAATCTTGATTTGAAGCTTTCATGACTGCAGGAATCCATCCTCTTTGGTTATTTCGGTAAAGTCACATAGGTAGAAAAAATAAAAGTCGTGATATATAATTTTTTATTTGATTTTATTTATTCTACCAACGTGACTTTACCGAAAGAACCAAAGAGTATATATTTGGAACAGAAAAAATTATAGAGATGACTACACAAGAGTGCAAAGCAAATATCCAGCACCGTTGAACAAACTATGATATTTCATTCCAATAGAATATCACAGCTGTGGACAATCCACTGCTGGATGAAGGTCTTCCCCTAGCATTCACCATCTCTTCAGAATCACAAAGCAACAACCTCTCCAGCTCCTGAATGACAGCTATTTTTACTTATCCATCTACATAGTGCGCTTCCTTCAGGGGGTTTCCTATGGCTGCCACTCCATCATGAGTCTCATACATCAGCTATCACCCCTTCTAACCATGGCTGTATGTTGAACTCCTTTCCATCCGTAAGTAGCCAACTGCGCTAATCGGAGGTGCAAGGGAAGGCCAATTAACGAAACACAAAAAAGCAGCTTCTAAAGAAGCGAGTTTTCAATCTAGATGATTTAAAAGTGCATAGCTCCAGTGACTTCCTAATATCGGAAAAAAGAGTGTTCCAGACGGCCACAGAAGCGCATCCAAAAGGTCGCGATGCGGTGACCACCATCTTTGTTCGGTGGCGAGCCAAGAGCCGCTGCGATGAGCACTGCCCAAGCTCAATTTACTTTATTTGACAGATAATGTAAACCACAATACTGTATAACAGCAAATCCTAGAGTATACATTTTGTTGGTCAAAAAACATATTTTGAGATGTTGCGAGCGGCTTGAGAGAGCAACGATGGCAGTGGCTCGCTGATGGGAATGTGCCAGTGGGGATATTCTTCGGGATATTCTTGTAATCAGCTATGTAGCTTGCAGTTCAGGAATTACAACTGTCACGCCCCTCCCCGGCCCATCCCGAAAAACCACAATCGCTCTTAACATATATTTCCGAGAAAACACAAAAATGCTAATCCTGAAGTATTAACCTTACATCTCATACACTCCATAACCCCTAATTACTAACGCCTATCCATAATCCAGTACAATAATCGCGCACACTAACCCTTAACCTCAAAGATTAGGCCCTAATAAAACTCATGCCCCTACTCGTATTTCAAGCCCTCTGAAAGAGTGACTGCATTCAGCTCAGAAACATTGTAACGTCTTTTATAAAGCATTCTAAAATTAGAATCCTCCGAGGTCATTAACTTTCAGGCAGCAGAGTTCCAATTACCATACAGCAGGTACGTATGTGAAAAGGGTTTGGTCGAGCAGATGACACAGGTTCTTGAAGGGAAAGCCCATTTTGTCGCTATTAATAATAAGCTTGAACTCTGTACAGGCACGTGTACATGTGTGTGTGTGTGAGAGCTCTGTTATTGTGCCGGGTGACGTAGCAGGTAGGGCCCGAGGCTTGGAAAGGGCCTGGCCCCTGGTACGTCTTTGGACTTGCATCAACGCACGGTCGTTTTTTTTTCTTTTTTCTTTTTGGTTCTTTCGGTAAAGTCACGTAGAAGGGAAGTAATAAAATAATAAAAATAATTATTTTATTACTTCCCTTCTACGTGACTTTACCGAAAGAACCAAAAAGATGAATCCCTGCAGTCACGAAAGCTTTAAATCGAAATTTTGCACGGTCGTTTTGTTTCTGGTTTTGAGATGACACGTTCGGCCCGTTCTGCTCTGCGTAACCACAACACACCAGCTCGCCCGGAGCACGCGACCGCGGTCACGCTCACCCAGGTTCAGAAAAAAATGTACAGCCTTCACCGACTGGGCACCCCCCCCCCCCCCCCCATTTATTTGACGTCGCGTGCGCACTTTCACAGTGCGTGCAGATTTGACATCAGCCCTTACAAGATTGTGGCAAAGAGTTCCCAAGGAGGGTCGCCCTCTAACGTGTTTCCTCCGGCTACAGGGAGGTCACATTTTTCTCAGGTTGTTCGATCCCTAAAGGCGAGAAACCGTCATAAGATGCTACTCTGCGTAAGCAAGAAAACTGCACGCGCAATGCATTATGACACACTACTTTGCCATTCTCAACACTAACTCGCAATAAAAGTGGCTGACGAAAATGTATTATAAATAGTCTAGGTGACTAACACATCAGTCGTAAGTTTGAAAAAACAAGTGGGTGGCACACTGGTTAGTGCGTTGCATGACGGACATCGACCTTAGTTCAATTCCAGGCCAATGCGATTCGTTTTTTTGTCTGGAATGTTCTATTGCCGATATTAGGAAGCCACTGGAGCTATGCACTTATAAATCGAAGTTGAAAACTAATTTCTCGAGAACTTATTTTTATGTTTGGTTTGTTGTCCTTCCCTCGCACCTCCAATTAGCACGGTTGGCTACGTACGGTGCGAAAGAAGTTCAACGTACATACGTACGCCAAGTGATATCTGAACCTGTCCTGGCCGCCCCCCGACACTTTCGCCAACCCGCAGTGAGTGCCGTGGTAACGTACGATCAGCCGGTGCCCATGACCGACGCGGCATGGGCAGTCCTTCATCCCGACGCGGATTTACAAGGGCATTGTTCGCTATTCATAAGCCAAAGCGAGAAAATAATAAATAGTTATTCAACAATAGCACCGTTTCCCTTTTACAGCTGTTGGTAATCTATTTGAGCTGTTCGGGTGACATTGTGAATATTTGTGAGTCCTGTGAGGTCAGGGTAGCGTTACCTTGAGCACATCACCGTGGCGTCAGTGATGGCTTAATGGCATGCTTCAACCACAAGATCAATACTTCAATAACCACTCCAATAACCAAAACTACAATAGCCAGTAAGAGACAATATATTGGGTGACATGTCAATATGACGTGGTATGAATAGAATGTGTTTGCAAACACCGATATATTTATATGTGTATATGTATGTACAAGAAACAGCAAACGCCCTCTTACAAGTAAAATATTTTGGCGAGCCAACTTAATCCTGCTTGAAAAGCAGACAGAACTGCCTATGAATAGCTAACATGGTTCACAAACAAATAACAATGGTGTTACTGTTCATCAGTAAAAATGCACCATGCTCTCTCCACGGCTGGATTAAGGTCTTTCCCCACGCCGTCACTATCTCTCACGGTCTCGTGATGCAACAATCCAGTCAACCCCCGCGCACGAGTAGATCCTGATCCTATCTCCCACCTCCGCAGTGGTCACCCACACTCAGGTGTGTTCCGTCTTTCAGCTTGCAACTCCGTCACCACTATAATCGTCGGCCATCATCCGTGACGTGTGCTGCCCAAGGCCACTTTCTTTCCTCATCAGTCAATGTGATGACTCCAACTCGTATTCGTTTCTCGATCCGTGTATTCGTCTTTCTGCCAGTCGGTGTATTTGTAAGCATGTTTCTTTGGGTGCTTTTCCGCTTTGGTTCTCATTTATTCGTCGGCTACGTTGCTTCAATTCAGTATTCCAAATTGCACGACATCCTACCCTCGTGTATAATATTACACACCATGTGGCCTGCAATCCAGCAATGTGGAGGCGGCGGTGATTGGTGGATCACGCAAATGTTGTGAAACTCCCTTCCCGTGTACATTGAGGTGCCATACCCTGGCTTGCCAGGAGACAGCAAGTGGTACTAATCGCAACCACCCATTTACATCTATACGGGGATAGAGTGTTGCCCCCTTGCGCACAAGGCATGGTTTTTCTCTCGGTGCTCCGGTTTCCTCCCACACGTATAATAATAATAAACACAACACATCATCAATTGGCTCAAAACATCTTAAAATTAAAAAAAAACCCAATGCAGGACTCCTGAAAAAAGAGTCCCACGACTCAGGGCAGCACTCCACACTGAGCCCACAGTCATAACCTCAACAGTGCCCTATCCCTAGCTCACATGGGGCCCATGGTGCAAGAATTCACATTGGGTCTCCCTCTCCATTTCCCCACCATCCCCACCCTCCCTTTTCGTAACTGGACCTGTCCATTCCGTGGGTCCCGGTACAGTTGCGTCCACCTCGACACCTAACAGCTATGCCAACGAGGTGTTTTTTAAGAGCGTGAAAGTTGTGATTCCTGCACAGGGCAGTGACATCTGCTGGTAGAAGACCATTTAAGCAGCAACACGGGCATCAAAATCCAATTTCCCTGCAATCAAAACACCACCTTGTTTTTTTCCACAAATACAACCCAATACCACAAACGGGTTTTCAAAATGTGTTAAACTCTCACCACCTATTTCACCATTTTTCTTCTCGAGCCTGACCGCTCGCCCTCTCTCTCACACGCAAAGCGCGTGCCTTTGCAGTGCCTTGTTAGTATAGGCTTTGCTCAACAGGACAAGTACAGATAGTCCAACATGTATCAATTACATTTAAAATGTGTTTTCCATCCTAAAATAAGCTTCAGTAAGCATTACAGAAAAAAATCTTATGAAGAGGGATTGGATAAACATTGTACCATCATCAGCCACGATCAATCCACTGCTGGATGAAGACATTCCCAAGCCGTCACCATCTCCAGAATTACGTATAAGTGTTGTTTACACTGGGCCAGGCAATAATATAATATTTTTAATTTATTAAGCACCCAAAAAAAATCGTTCTCAGGGCACTATGCATGGGAAATCGGGAAATAGTTCAACATCAACCAAGCAAATAAGAAATGAGAAAGACGGTTGAAAATAGCTAAAGAGAGAAAGCCATTTTAAACAGATGATTTGTAAAGTGTCTCGGAAGTCCTGACCTCGAAGTGCAACGAGTTCCAGAGTTGAGGTGCCACAATTGCAAAGGCACCTTTGAGACAGACTCATACAATCTGCTACTGGTTTTGCTTGCTTGCTGCTGCATGCACGGGCCACTACTCGGCAAATTTTTTTTGTTTTGTTCTGCACCTGGTGCAGGAAGGGAATTCGTAAAAGCCACTGGCAAATTACTGGGCTCGCTCCAAGTGGAGCGCAAATGAAATGCGGATGTGAGGCAGTCCCCGGGGGAAGCGTTTCCGCTGCGTACCGCCGAGCGAGCAGATGTCGGGGACGTCACCCAAGTCCTCGAGGAGGGCGATGAGCGGATCGTTGTGGTCTGGAGCGATGGCCTCTTGGTGCTCCAGCAAGAGCTGTAGTGGAGGAAGAAAAAAATTAACAAACGCAAAGACAAAAGACACACACGCACGGACAAGCACACGGGTGGGCGCACACGTTAAACGCATGCAGATGAGGCTGCGGATGCACGCCGATGCCTTACATCGGAAACACATGCAGAGGAAGATGAGTGTACATACTGTAAACAGACATGCATGTGTGTGTTTGAAAGCGCGTATTATGCAGCACTGTAGGAACACACACACGCAGCACTGTAGACAAACGGGCCTGCTTGAGTTATATTAGTCGCCAAAACACGTAAAGAACACAATAAAAGATCCCACGCCTTCCCTTGGAGATTGTGGGAGCAAGTGCTGTTGGCAAATGAGCCGCCTGGTCAGGCCAGCGCGACACACCAGGGGAGTGGAGCAGCCTGACAGACTCTTTGGAAATGCGCAGTTAGTGAGCACCGATTATGGCCAGCGCAACACAAGAAAGTGTGGCATTATCAACGTTCACACTTGGCCACTGCTGTGATGATGTTGACCACACCGATGCACCGAGGATAACATTTTGAGGCTGAGCTGACCTAGAAGAGGAGACTAATATAACGTAGAAAAACAAACTGGGAGCTGATGTTGTTCGTTACGATGAATTGAAGCCGGGCTGTCGTCAGGATGATCCCAACGTCCGCTGATAACTGGATCACCGTTCGCCGCGCACGAGCAATCATTTTAGTCTGACCCTGCCTCCTCTTTGTTTACACATTACAAGTCTAAGACAACATCCACCCTAAATAACGCCCCATTGCATCAGACCTTGGAAGCTAAACACAATCTTAAGCCTGATGAGCAAATGCATAGACAACTACCGGCGCTTGCCAGATGTTATAGGAATGGGGTTGAGGCAGGAAATGGTGAGTGCTGTGTCACCCTCTCATAATGCGTGGTGGGTTGTCTCCGGGCGATCGGTTTGCCTCCCACATGAAACTAAACAGTGAACGATGGAATTTTCCAAACATCCATTGATGGAATTTGCCAAACATGTAAATGATGCAGTCTTAGGATTCAGTGAGGGCTTTATTGGGTGGATAATTGGCATGAAAACGATGTAAGAACATATTGCTCAACAGTAGAGTATTGTTACTTGGCAGTCGATTAGAATCTGAAAGTTGGACCCTCCGGAAACAAGAGTCTGGAGACTCGGGGAGTCTGGAGAATAGGGGGGGGGGCACGGTGGCGAGATGTTAACTACCTCGCCTGCTACACAGGAGGTCGTGGGTTCGATACCGACCCTGATTCCAGTATATTTGGAGTTTGCATATCTCTCTCCCCATGGTCACGTGGATTTATCTCCAGGTCCTCTGTTTTTTTTCCTCCACATATAGAATCGACATGCGTTTAGAGTAATTGGCTACTACAAATGTCCACATGATAAGCCACTTCATTGAGTTATCATTTGTGGATAGCCAGGTCGCTTCTTGAAAAATAGCTGTATAGCTCAATGGGGCCTTACCTGGTAAAACTAAAAAAAAATTGTTTAGCTTACAGTTTACGTTTTAAACCGAGGAGTGAGCGTGGGGGCACGGCCGCAAGGGCATCTCACAGTGTGCGTGTCGATGATCTCGCCGATGGAGATGTAGATGACGGGTTTGCTCAGCGTCACGAGGTCCGAGTACTCGTCAACGTTGAACTTCTCCTCCAGGCCAGGGACGTCGCACGCCGACTGGAAAAACTTCCTGGCAGCCACGACGACAGGGGAAGAGACCGAGGCGCTCGCTTGAAAAAGGTCAACGGTGGATTCTGATATTGTGGCAGGCTGTGCGTTTAACCAAACACTGCACGTGTTAGGGTATTAAGGCATTTAACTAATTCAACCTGCCCTTACCCCAAACGATATGAATTGTCGTGATTACATTTTGCGATTCAATTAAATTATATATTCTGTTTTGTTTCACATTTTTATTATCTTTTTGGATTGCGTCTATTTTTTCTATCTCATTTGTACAGTTTCTTTTTTTTCACTTTATGAGTCTAAAAGCAACACAAAAAACATAACTTTAATTACATATAATTTGCATACAGTTTAAATTATGGATTCTCACACACGCGATTCGATGCCTGTGTCATGAGCGGAGTCATTTCTTTGAGTCAATCAATCACTAGATGCAGTGCGATTTATCCATTAGAAAATGTTTAAAACAAGAAGTTACGGTGCAGCCCAACAATTCTTCGCTCGTGCCACTGCTGGCGGAAGGGGCCTCAACTCGAAGAAGCTCTCAAGAAAGCCCCTCTAGAGGGTATCTGGCCCACTCTTAACACACTGGCCAGAGGTCTTGGAAGAGATCTGTCAGGCATAGGTATATCCTGGACTCGCCAATCGAGATGAGTGCTGTCAAAATGCTTGTTTGAGCAGAGTCGATTGGACACTTTGACGTTTCAGTCGAGACCTCAGCTGTCCAATTTTACGAGTCAATCCCGCCAGGCATCACCTGCCTAAACCTTTGCACCCATCAGCAAACAAAACATGTTTCTGTAATCCCACCAGCTTCACTGCACTCTCCTCTTCCTCCCAAGACATCTGGCTCAAATTGGCCGAGGCCATTTAAAATACCAAAGGTGTCATAAAATTAAGAATATTAATCTGTTTTAAGTGTTTTGAGAGCCTAACTGTAAGGTGTGCAACCCTATCCGACGAATTATTGAATCCTCAAACTCTGGGTGTGATTTCTGGAGGAATTGCACGTGCTGGGTAGATTGTTGCATCCCAGGACTTTTAGGGATGGCAACGGCATAGGGAGGCTTTCATCCAGTAGTGGATCGATCATTGCTGTTGAAAATTATGACGATGATTCAGTTTTCAAAATTAAATCTTTGCCAAATATTTTTGCAGCTCCTGATGCTTATGTTTTTTGTAGCTTGAGCATCGTTATTGAAGATTATTTAGTCGTGCCTAATAAAAGCTCAATCATCAGGATCAGTCTCATTATGTAATTCTATTATGATGAAAACGACCATATATGTATACAGCATACATGCTACTTTGTATAAAAAATAATTTACGGCGATTTGTGCAATATGTGTTTTTCATGATATTCAGACATTTATTTCAGGGAAAATGCATAAATACAAGCGGAATAGCACAGAAACACACAGATGTTTGGATGGAATGGGCAACAATCCCCAATGCTTATTATCAGCATCAGCCATAATCTTTCCAGTATTGGATGAAGGCCTCTCCAATCCATCTCCATATCTCCCGGTCTTGTGGTGCAACGATCTACGTCGCTTCTGCACACGGGCTGATGTCATTGTTCCATCCCCACGTACTTTGGGGCACGTTCTCTCATTTGCCTTCCGCTCCATGGATAGTATTGTCCATCGGCCATCATCTCGTCTAGTAATGTGTCCTGCCCAAAACGCACTTTCGACGTCGAACTTGTATTTGCTCTAGGAGTAATATGTTCCGTTTTCTGCCCCTTAGTGCAATTTCAAGCTCGATTGTCTGCGTACTTCGTTGTGCATTTTCAACTATTGTTCCATTTGCTGTTGTCAATGTCTATGTTTCGGATAAATATATCATAGCAGGTAATATAAGCTGATTCCTTACGCACGTCGGTTCATTGCTGTTCATTATCAAGTTAAATTTCCAACCTGGTCTCGTCTGCCTCCTGATTTCATCGTTTTGATTCCGGCCGGCCTTCGATAAACAAAACCTGTATTTTTCAGGTCATCACATCCCATTCCATTGCATAGTCACTTGGTGTTTATCCAGCTGTTGTTTACAATGGGGTTTAGGTCACTCGTTATTTGGCCTTGTGGCTGCATATTTGCCGGGCTGCTCTGTTTTATTTCTGCAATGAGCAGCTCCATACAAAGAATATGTCATTGTTTTTATTATCGTCTCGAGCCCTGGTTTATCCCAGTCCTCGCAATTCCCCTTCATCCTGTTTTTCATGTCCCGCAATCAACTAACACATGGAATTGATTGGTAGGCACTGGTAGAATGCAATGTATAATTGGCGGATCATTTTCTACGTAGTTTTAGTGTGAATCAACAAGCCGGCTGGCTTAGAAAACCAAGGCACTGCGGCCAAATTGGGGGCCAGGAGGTTCGTATACGCTGGCCTACAATATTCGTACTACCGAACTGCTTTAGTGGAGTCTTGGGTTTCTTCCTGTGAACGCAGTCAGCTTCAACGCCACCGCTGCTTTAAGTACAACAGAACAACAGTCAGCCTTTTTAACTGCCCGCTATCTAAGTGACTTTCACCGCACTTATTCGCTGAAGCCAATCTGGGTTTAAAGTACGTCTCAACAGAAATGTCGAACACACATTCCACCGTTTAATGAAGCCTAAAGGTTTTGGTTGCGTAACACTCTGCGGGACACCTTGACCCACGAGCCCATAAAGAGTCGCTGACAGGTGGATCCGTGTTTTTGTTGATACAATGCGGTTCGTGCCACAAAAACAGATTCGGTTACAATGTCGTGCTATATACATGTAACAAGACGTGAGGAACGCTGCCCAACTTTCCCCTGCCTAACGCGAGCGCCTCGTATAACCACGCTTTTGGCCACAGGCCTCGAGTTCTGCTTTTTTTCCTTAATTTTTTCTCTTTATTTTTTATTAACTTCCTCCTCTCTATTACCACACCCCGTCCCAGAGAGGCCACAAAAAGCTATGTAGCAGCGCCAGATTTTTGGGTTTTGTTTTTCTCAGTATTGGATTTCTCTCGCTCTCTCTCTCTCTGCAACACATGCCACGACTCGACTCTGCCTTACGTGCCGGACCGTTCATTACAGTGAGCGAGTGCAGCCCCAGCGCTCCCCATTAGCGCCTGCTTTTGCCAATCATCGCTGTCAAATAATGGTCGCCGAGGTGAAATGCATTCAGGCCGCACGACTTCACGGGAATAATCCAAAAGCAACTCGCAAGCGCGCTTCGTGGAGCACGCGTCATTTTTGTGCACACATTTGCGGACCGCACCGCCAGGATTTCGCTCACCCCCGCCACTCCGCCAAAGGGATTTTTTGTTGGCTCAGGAAGACTTGTTGAACTATTATTGTTTTAATTTTCGATTTAAAGCTTTCGTGACTGCAGGGATTCATCTTCTTGGTTCTTTCGGTAAAGTCACGTAGAAGGGAAATAATAAAATAATAAAAATAAAACATAATAAAAAAATTCTCACGACGTTTCGGCCACAACGCAAGCAGCCGTCCTCAGGTGAAGGACAGGTCTGTCGGAAAGACAGCGTCTGAATGAATTATTGTTTTGTACTAGCACACGTTCATTCAAAGATGTACTTTGATAAAAACGCTGCTATAATGATCACATGATACATTGTTACATGGGAGGATTGTGAGAGATGGCGACGGCTTGGAGAGGCCTTCATCCAGCAGTGGATAGGTCATGCCGAGCTTTTGAGTAACACTGAGCTTTGCTCCGTACCTCAGAGTTATGGGCATTTGTGTCTGTGAAATATTGTACACGTTACAAATTGCATTATGATGTTGATGATGATTAAATGATTACTTACGCAAAAAAACACGTACAGATGAATACATTTATAAACAAATAAAATGATTGATGTTCACAAACTGATGGATGGACTGGTTGAGATAAGCATGTAATTCCCATTGGGAATCACTAAATATCAGGAAAAAAAACTCAGGTGCCTTTCTATCCGAACACAACGTGAATACACGTCTGTTCAAATTAACAATCTATCAATGAGCTTTAAAGGTAAAGTCTGATTTTTTTTTATTATAGGTCAAGAAAAATAAAGCTACAATTGTAAACCAGCTTCACAAGTATTATTAGCACGGTTGGCTAACGTATGGTGTGACAGAAGTTCAACATACATACATGAATCATGATCATCAGTAAAATATATCCTGTCTGTCGGAAAGAAAAAACCCTCCCCCATAAACTATAGGGGAGGTGCTCCATACAAAAAAAGCAAATGGCACAGCCTGAAGTCTTAGCTTCAAGTTTTGGTTTTGACCAAACTTCACCAAGCTGGTCAATGATGGGTTGGTGAATGGGGTGTACAGAAACGGTTTGAATATCGCTCGCCACTGACATTAGCCATGGCCGGGAATCAAAACTCACGGCACCCGGGTTCACGGTGCGATGCGCTAACCACTGCGCCATCGCTCCATCAATTATAATCAATAATGACGTTCTTACAGTTCCTTCTTGAGCACTTGTTGTCGTTTGGAAGACATTGGGAGTAGCCAGAGAATGCTCACACGTACTCAGGGCTAATGCTCGCTAAAACTCATCACAGTTAATAAAAAAAAAACTACTTTCTGTGCAAAACCACACAGACACGCTGCTGCCCTGCACGTGGGAAGTTCATGCAACGATCCATCTCGCCCAGCCTCGACTCGCTGGATTACAGCCGTGCATCACTACGCCCACCCATAAAAACAACGCAAACAGCCTACGCAGCCAACGACGATCCATGCTAACAGGAGAAAGAGCGTGCGGAATTTAACAGAGAAGAGGAGGCAAAAAATGCGGTGAAACAAGTTAGGAAAAGCCAAACATAATCGTGGCTATGCTTTACTTTCCAGCGTGTGTTTGTCTGCGGAGGTCGTAGTAGGATATTTGCATATTTGCAAATGGTCCTTTTCGTTCTAGTCTCAATGTTTTTAGGAAACTCAACGTTCAATGTTGCCGGCTGCCATTAGTCCCCAATAGCAACACAACTCGAAAGTTTGGCTCGTATTGGACCAGGTTTGTGAGAGTTGTCATTCCCCCTTCGTGCCCCAGTCCCATTCCCCATCCCGGATAGATAGAACGGATATACGCGCAGACAGATGGATGGACGGACAGACAGATGGGTGGACGGACGGACGGACAGACGGACGAACAAAAACACAGACTGACAAACAAATGAACAGACGCAGCTCGTGCATAAACACTCTCGAGCTCAGTCGAAGAGAATGAAAGAAACGCTGCGGCCATTCCCCGTGCGACCCTCACTTGAACTTGGCGAAAGCCTGCGTGGTGTACTCGCTGAGCGTGCCCATGTGCGACGCGTCGCCCTCCTCGAAGCGCTGGTTGGCCGCGGCCGACTGGAGCATGCGCGCCACGAAGGCCAGGCTGCGGCGTTGCTCCGGCCGCAGAGTCTCCCCGGCGCCGAGCTCCAACACGTCGAAGGCATCCGGCGCCACGATGGCCGGGTTCATATAGCGGTAGTACAGCAGGTTCCCCACGATCTGCGCGAGCGCAAGGAACGCGAGGACAAGGCACCGGGAGAACGAACTCACTCAACCGTTATCGGGAGGGGGTTGCCTACCATCCGCAGCGCAAAACCAAAAAAAATGGGACGTGTCGTGGGAAGAGTGATACCTCACGATGTGTAAATGAGCGGTGTCTTGAGTGGTGTAACTTCACAAAAGTGACAATTCCTGGGATAAGTGACAATATCCTGGGAAGACTTACAAGACCCACTTTAGCTACCTCAAAAAGGTGACAATCCAGGATAAATCCAGAACAGGTGGCAACTCTGGTTATCGATAATCACGAGCAAAAAAATGGCAGCGCATGGATCTGTGTTTAGAAGTTACAAGGGTGTGGTTCAAGGTGATCTCAGAAGCATCTTCAAATGCTTGGTGCGTTCCATTGCTCTGAGCCGTATGTGTGTTTGTCTGGCATCATGAGGGCTGGGGAGCGGTACTGTAGCGATTAGCGCACTGCGCTACGAACCCGGCAACCCGAGTTCAATTCCCGTTCATGGCCAACACCGGTGACGATTAACTGAACCAGTCCTGGGCCTCCCCTAGGTCGATTCAGCCTCAAATGAGTACCTGATGAAATGTGTAAACATGGCACACTAGGGAGACAAAGGCGACTGGGCGTGGTGCTGGCCATCCGCCCCCTGGTGTACCATTTCGGCCTTCATAGGTGCTCGCTAATAGGACCGTGCTAATCGGAGGTGCCAGTTATGTCACAATACATCGATCCATCAATCGAAAATATTTCTTACACTCACAATATGTGCGTTGCATCACGTGTGTGAGACTCTACTGCAATACAATACAAAATTAGAAGACAATTTGAATTTATATAGCAACCAAACGTCACTGCATCTTAAGATGCTGTGCGGGATAATAAAGTAGATATATTTTTATATAAAAATTATACAGTGAGTGAAAATGTATGCATATTTCACAAAAAGGTCACATTTAGGCTCGAAGAGCCAACCAAACTACTACATACTTGCATGTAATAGACAAACGAGTGGGTAAAAACGATACAAAAAACAGGAATTCGATTATAGAATTGAATTTCGAGCCCCGGCTCATGGAAATTCATGACATTGCTGGGGTGGAGAGGGGCAAATCTTTCCATACCTCGTGAATAACGTCGCTTATGAACAATAGCGGTCTGTGGAGGCAGTGCACGCACCCAGACGTGGTGGCGCACACCGAACCTGGCGCCACCAACGCAGGGTTGGTGGCTCGGCCAGACATGAAACCATCATACATGTGAGACGTGCGTGGGTTTTCTGGAGGAACGTGGAAACTATTCTCAAAAGAGGAACCGGTGAAACATCGCGACGGGAGCAGGGCCCTCCTGAAAACATTTTCGAGACTCAATGGGATGTCATCACTGCCAATGTTACGAATTCGACCTCAATTCCAGCATCCCTCCCTTCCTTCCTTCTGTAGGTTCAGCATCCAAATTCCAAGGTCTGTACTTACAGTATAGCACCATCTGGTTTTAGCCAATTAAATTATTTATTGCGTTATCATTATTATATTCTCCTGTGTGTTTAGCATATCAGTTTCACAAGGTGTGGCCAATTGAAGTAACTGAAGCCAGACTGAAAAAAAAAATCCTGGTATGACTTGATAAAAAAAAACACGATGGAAACCACACAGCGGGCACGGGCAGTGATATGAAGGGAAGTGCAACAACAGACGGCACTTTTGCAAGCAAGTTTCAACGACTGACCTTGAGGAGGTCATCCTCCGTTGCATCAGGGAACTTCTCTTGCAGAGAGTTCTTGAGCACCTTGGCAATAAATCGCATGCCATACCTGCGGCGAAGGAGAACGAGAAGGTCAACCCAATAAAATGGTCAACACTCTTATTGTGCCATTGCAGGTAAGTAATTTCACGATGAATAAAAATAAGTTCCCACCCCTGAGTCAACCCCACTGTTGGATGAAGACCTTCCCTTGGGGTGCCATTATTCGGAGTGGCTGTACTTCACCACGATCGTCAATACGTGTTGGCGAAGCGGTGGGACGGGACCAGGACCGGTTCACATATCGCTCGCCACTGACATTAGCCGTGGCGAGGAATCAAACCGGCCAGATTCACACTGCAATATGCGCTCACCACTGCGCCGCCGCTCGACCGCGTACTGCAGAGCAATGTGCACCAGTGAATGAAGAGCTTTGTTTAATAATTGAAAGGTAAACAACTCTGGACACGGCAGGTATTGAATTCGGATCACCGGGTTCATAAAAGCTCACCAACCACTGTGGCACCACTTAGAATGTGTTGCATTTAACGAAACGATTGTACAACAATCATGTGCAGTGCGTGTACAGTAGCATTCATTTTTAAATGTCCTGTGATCTGAATCGGATAAAACCCTTCTGCGAATTAATATTTGTATTTAGTGTTAAGCTAAATAAGTCTTAAGCGTATTTGTAGATTTGCTTCAAAAGCAATCGTATTCTGCAAAATTACAGTTTTATATTGAAACGGAGTGAATTTCCATCGGTGAAGTTTAGTGGTGAGCTTTGCAGCAACCGCTGCTAACTCGGGCAAGTTTGGTTTACTTAGAATGCAGCCATATCGAAAATTATCCAATCTATTGACACAGAACTACGTAGACATAAAAGTAAGTGTGGGGGGTTAGGGGATGACACTGAACTTGAGTGCAGTGATTATTCATCAGACGACCGAGCTGTCATTTTGCCTGCTGTGCAAAGACCAGCACAGCAAATTATTATGTTTAAACATACATACTTATCTGGGTCGCTTAAGGTCTATTGCTCATATCAGAGCACCAGGATAGGAGGCCCTGGGTTCAAATGTGTCCAGTCACTCGTGCTTTAAGCAAACTCTTCAAAAGCAGTGGTTTCTGTCTTGTCACCGATGATTACACAAAAAAGTATGATGTGATCTTTGTTTTACTTAATTCAGCTTAGAGAAATCTGAGAGGTAAAAATATATAATATGAAAGGTAATGTACACAAACTACTTGTTGCAGAGCATCGTGGAATGTTAAGTCAGAAGAATCAGTTAAAGTGACTAGATAAGTACTTATCTATATATATAAAAGGGAAATTTGTGAATGTGTGTCTGTTCGAAATGTTTAGCATACTTCCCAACATGCAACAAACTTGAAATTTGGCATGTGGGTAGCTTCCAGACTGTACACAATGCAAAACGTATAAAAATAGACGTTTGTATTTTGATAGGTGGGGGGGGGGCGCAATAATGGATATATTTTGTACGCCAAGTGAGCGGTGACGTCACATCTGTGATGTCACACCCGCATGTGGCAGCGTCACACAGTGTGCCTGCTGACGTCACGCATCCCCCCCCCACCCTCCGCGTAGGCCGTGGATTAATCCAAGACAAGAATCCAAGTCTCGGGCAAAGCCGGCTAGTAAAGCTAGTCAATTATAATATCGGCTTTAATTGTAATGTATATTATCTACGGTAAATTGCTTTACTTTTTTCAACTAAATATTTTGTGTGTTATATATCTGAAGTGTTTGGCATTCATATAAAAATATATATGTAAAGTGCTCTGAGACACTTTTATTGATGTGAGGTGCAGCATTAGTTTATACAAGCCTAACTTTGCTGATGAGAGCCTGAATGTTGAAAGTGGTCCAGAATGTCCTTGTGTTGTACCCATTCTGTTAAAATACGCACTTTCAGAAGCCAATGCTGCCGATGGTTTGTGTAAAAAAAAAATCGATTTATTTCTTACGTGGAGATACATATATGGGAAGGTCTATTGTCTGCGTATTCATCTTGTTTCAATCAATAAAGACCGAGTGACTGATTGAACGCGAGGCTCTCACGGGATTTTGTCGAGGGCGGCGATGATGGAGGAGAGAACTTTGTCGGTGGCCGTACGCAGGCTCTGCAGTGAGGCCTCGAGCCTCTTGCGCACCTCCTCGTGCGCCAACGCCTGCTCCGAGGTCACGTCATATGGCAGATTGCTGCTCGCAGAGAGCAACACCAACACACACAGCGTAAACAGAACCGAGCGGTTATGTCAGGACTTTTTGGGGTTTGCCCTCGCGACAAAATATTGTCAAAGTGATTGGCGACGATTCTAACAGCTTTCTGGGACAAGGACTTTGTGTAGATTTCAGAGCGATTCCAGTCATGCATTAAGGATCCTGCATCAGGTTCCGATCCTTAATATTTGTTACATTGTCGAGTGATACTTCTGCTTCCAGGAGTTGGCGACAGGGCAAACACAACGCGGTTCAGGAGGCCCCCACAAGGCTGAGAAGGGAAGCTGTCAAAACAACAAGGTCACAGCAAGGTCAACCATTCTGAAAGTCTCTGTTACAAATAATTTGGAGAAAACCTGTTTTCCTATTATTCAAGGTGACAATATGAGAAATGTATCCACGTATGTGGAGCCGGTCTGCCCTGTCCCTCTCCCCCCACGGTGAATCCTTGCGAGTGGGACAGGTCGGCGAAGTAGACAACAATAACAATTAAAATAATAAAGTTAGGAGACGATGAGTAGGAACTCTGCGTTATGTTCTGTCCCTCTGGAGAAGTGGGCGACTCCACAACAACAGAGCACCAGGGGTTTGTGAAACGGCAAAACTTTATTTCGAAGTCTTCTTCAGAAGGGCAATTGCGTATCTGCCATAGCGATCAGAAACACCCTCCACATCACAACACCGCAGTTCAATTTCTCAGCACGTGGGGCACGGGGTCCAATCCCTGATCACGATTGCTTTCTCATATAATAATTTTTAAAAACACACCTGGCCACCCTCAGCCACACAACATGTTTTCTTAGCTTCCCATATGCTATAGAGTGCACGAATGTACGTGAGATTAATCACAGGTGAGCTCACACTGGCAACGTACGCCTAAGTTGGTGGATCAAGCAGAGGTCATCATTTGTGTAAAAGACGACAGGGGCAGAACAATGTCAAGATGTTAAAGAACTACAAGTCGGCTGCTGATTTGTCTGTATGGATTTTTTAATGGGCGTTATCTTCCTACATCCGTGAGTTTTCTCAGGGCACGTTGCTTTCCATCCACGTGAAATGTCTCCTGAAGGAATTGGCCAAACACCACAAGTGCCTCTCTCCGATGTGCTTTCTGGTTGCACCGTACATTGTTTGGTGTCAAGTCCTACGTCTCACATCTTCTTTCATTAAACAATAACAACATCAATTTTCTCGAGCGCCAACACATGGCAAGCCGTTACAAGGGCGCTGGCAAGGCGATCTTTCGGAGCTATTGTCTTACGATAATATGTCCATCTCTGGCGCACGAACCGATCTCACCGCTCTGTCTCCACCGTGAACGTCCTTCCGAGCATTGTGGCCACTCCTTCGTTAGTCTCAACCAGCAGCCATCATCCCATCGAGCGGCGAGTTCTTCCCCCAAGCCCACTTACTTTTCCTAACAGGCAATTCTCAAATTGGCCATGAATTAAAGTGTCCCAAGTGACAAATATGAAAGCCGTCTGCAATCAAATAAAATGGGTTCTTTAACCCAATATGAGAGAGCGAGCAATATTTGTATTCATATTAACGTTAAATGTAAGTAAACCCGCAGCTATTGCTGAAGAGACTTCACACAGAATCTCCTGTGTCATGAAACCGAATGCCTCTGTAAATAAAAGTCTGGGTAATTATTTTCATACTTGCGTTTTTTTTTTTAAGATGAGCAAAGAGTATCGCGTGTCGGTGTTTGAGAGCGCACAAACGTTACCTCATCTCTCCCGTCTGGCTCTCCATCTGGTTGACCCAGGCCTTGTAGATCTCCACCGGGTTGGTGTTGACGTTGAAGGACTTGTCCTCGATGATCTCCTTGACTAGGGGCCCCAGGAGCGTCTGCATGGCGTTCTGGCCGCGCACGCCTCGGTGGAACGTCACCACCATCTTGATGACGGTGGGGTTTCCCGTCACGATCTCCTGCAGGTGGTCGACTTTGGACCTGGTAGGAAAGGTAATACAGTGGTCCCTCGGTTTTACGATGCCATCAATTTTCGATATTTCGATGAACGATCCGCCTCCCATAGGGTCCCATTGTTTCTATTAACGATACATTTTCGATTAACGATATGTTTACGATATCACGTGGATCCGCCAATTTCGGCCAATCGAGTGCTCCTAACTGGACTCAGCAGAGCTCAGCTAATCAGTGACACAACCTTTTTTATGAGCATTTTGATAGAAATTGGTTAGCTTTAAGCCTCCATGTTCTTAGCCGAAGGTAATAATTTTTATTTCATGCTCTTTTTATGCACCTTTGTATGCTCGATTTACTAACTAATTAATTATTTTTATAATGCTTTACTATGTTTTTCGAACGTTTATTTATCAAAATTGCATGTTTAAATATTATAAACTATGTTTTTAGGGTAATAAAGGTCAACTTCCGATCGTCTTGGAACAAATTAAGCTTTTAACATGTATTTCCTATATTCGATTAACGATAATTTCAATTAACGATGGTTTTCGTGGAACTAATTCATATTATTAACCGAGGGACCACTCCGTGTATGTATGTTGAACTTATTTTGCACTGTACGCAGTCAACCATGTTAATCAGAGGTGTGTGGCGGGAATGACAACAAATTAAACATGAAGAGTAGTTTTAAAGAAATTTAGAAAATGCTTTCGATCTATAGGAGTGGCCCATGTTCAAGGTCCAAGTTGATGTTGTTTAGCCAGGTGAGAACTCAAAGTAGAACTCAGGACGAGTTGCATTTGCAAGAGTGACCCGGGTCACTGATAAACGGCAAAAGCAAAACAAATAGAGCACGGCAATGAAGCAAACAGAAATCAGGGCGGTCAACAGAAGCGTCACGTGAGCATTCGAAAATACTCCACAAATATGGTGCCGGCTGTATATTTGGAGTTTGCGTGTTTTCCCCGTGGTCGCGTGGAATTTTCTCCGGTGTCCTTTGGTTTTTCCCTCCACATGTAGCATCATGCGTTTAAATTATTTGGCTGCTATACATTTCCATATGATAAGCCACTTTGTTGAGCTATCATTTGCTGACAGGTTGCTTCTGACAAAGAGCTACATAGCTCAGTTGACCTTACCTGGAAAGGTCAACTGAGCTTTATAGTGAAAGACCCATGGAAAAAAAAATTGTTTACCATAAAAAAAATAGTTTAGTTTATAGTTTTTGTTAAGCGAGGCACTTGTGGCTCTAAAACACGTGCCTGCTTCAAAGTCCATGCCTCTCCCCTTCCACTAAAAAGGTAAAAGGTAAAGTTGCAGCCATGCATTTGCCTGCTCTGCACCACCACTGGCAGAAGGGCTTCCACTCGAAGGGATATCAAGACAGCCACCCTAGAGGGGTTTGTTCCTACTCTTCTACAATGGCCGCATGTCTTGGAAGAAGTGGAAGTACCCACACTTTACCCCACCACACGTGACCTGCCAATCGACTAACTGTGATGTAACCGTTTGTGCTGCTGGGTGGATAGAGTGGCAGCGTGCTTGGGATTCAAGAAGCTTGTGCCAATGTTGAAACTGACACGATGAGAAATTTAAGTCCAGTGTGCTCACCATCACACGTATATACTTATATATGTTGAACTTTATTCACAACGTAACATCAGCAGCCCCCTCGTCCAATACTGTATTGTGAGATCGTCTTCTTTGCTTGCCGTGATATGTCCCGCTTTTTTTCCCCTTCCCCATACCTCAGAGGTTTGACGAAACCGAACGAGCTCGGCCACCGCTTACCAGAAGTCGCAACCGGCTACCCGTACCCGGCCGGGTACGGGTACCCGTTTGCGACCCTGGTGCGGCCGAGTACGGGTAGGCCGTGAGTCACTGGTGAGTAACTGTTTGTCACTCATTTCCCAACGTCTTGTCTCTTCTCACAATTCAAGTTCCTAGAATCAACCCACCCGCGCCTGCAACATGGCTTCATCCCAGAGGTCGCAATCAGGTACCCGATACCCGTACCCTACCCGTACCCGGCCGGGTACGGGTAGGGTACGGGTACGGCCGGGTACGGGTACGGGTACCCGTTTGCGACCCTGGTGCGGCCGGGTACAGGTAAGGAATCAAAACCCGTTTGCGACCTCTGCAGCTTACTTGATTTCCTCCTCGAGCGCCGACTTGAAGAGCTTGAGCAGTAGGTACTCCTCGCGCTGGTTCGATGCGTAGTTGTACAGCGTAAAGACCACCGAGTCGACGAACTTGGTCGACCTGTTCTGCGGCATCAGGAAGATGAGCTTGGCCAGGTAGGACGGATTCGTCTGGTGGAATAAAACACAGCGGTTTAATTCACCCGTGTTTATATTCATGTATGTACACGAGATATATATATTCTTGGGTCTTTCGGTAAAGTCACGTAGATAGGTTCAAAGAAAATAACAAAAAATATGACGGACGCTTGTGTTGCGATCGAAACGTCGTGGTTTTTTGTTATTTTTTGTTATTTTCTTTGAACCTATCTACGTGACTTTACCGAAAGACCCAATAATATGAATTCCTGCAGTGACGAAAGCTTTAAGTCAAGATATATATATACTTTGAAACACAGAAACACTGTATGTTAAGTGATTGAATGTTTCTGCAAAATTAGTATGTGATTATATATAATTAACATGTATTTGTTATGTGTGCTGTATAAGTAATGAGTGTTTATTGTCTCGTGTAGCGGTAGAGTGCGTGACTCGCGAGTGGAAGGTTGTGAGTTCAAGTCCCGGTCAGAGGACGACTCGGCTCGTCATCCCTTCGGCGAGGATAAAATAGGTACACTGCTTCATAGGGACGACAGCAGTGGTCGTTCTGTGGAAATGCTCACCTCCATCATAGGAATGTGGAATTTCCACCTCTGGCTCAGAGTTGTAATGAGTACTGCCTCATGCTCAAATGAGCAGGAAGCCACTGAGGTATTGACATTGTATTACATACACATACAAAGCATTCAAATAATGCCATCACTGCAGATGGCTTCCAAAAATGTAGTCACAAGCATGCAATTAACTCTATTTTTTTTAACTATTTACTATATTTATTTTACCAGGTAAGGCCGACTGAGCTATTTCGCTCTTTATCAGAAGCCACCTGACCACAAATGATAGCTCAACAAAGTAACTGATCATGTGGAAATGTATAGGAGCCGAATACTCTGAAACGCGTGTTTCTAAATTTGGAGGGAAAAACCGGAGGACTCGGAGAAAAATCCACACGACCACGGGGAGAGCGTGCCAACTCCAGATATACAGGCGTCAGGGTTGAAATCGAACACACGACCTCCTGGATACCAGGCGAGGTAGTTAATATCTCGCCACTGTACACATTCATACTCAGTTTTTTCGGTAAAGTCACGTAGGTGAAAACTTATTAATTATTTTGTTTTCCTACGTGACTTTACCGAAAAAACCAAAGAGTATGAATCCTTGCAGTCACGAAAGCTTCAAATCTAGAACTGTACACATTATTTGGTAATATTGCGTTGGCAGATGGTGCGGCATTGGCAGTGGCATGCAATTATGTGCTATGATGAAGGGCCACTGCTCGAAACGTCGCCTTTTATATATTTTTCCTTTCAAGGGCACACGGTGTAATTGAGGAACATGTTTGATTTGTTATATTTGTACAGGTTGCTCTCTGAAGGCTGACTGATGGTGGAACTAGCAGAACAGAAGGCATTTATCAGATGCTTCATGTAATGTTCTGGGAAAATAAGCACTGCATAAGCCATTCCCTTAAATTAGGGACCAGATTTCCTACTCAACATGCAGAGCATTCCTCTTCGGAGTTTCAAACTCAACAGCCAGTTATAACATGCCCAAGGCAGCCCCCGGGTAAGCCAATGTGAATCCATTTATTATTTTACACGTTAAGCATGAAGCCGGCGTGAAAAACAAACAATCCCTCGCCACGCTCTACCACAGGCAGACAGACAGACAGACAGCCGCTGAGCCAGATCTGTTCATGTTTTTCTGGTCAGGCCGCAATAAATAACGAATTTTTGAGGCAACTCTGGGGTTTTATACGGAGGGGTGACATCAGAGTAGAGGGCAAGGTGATAAATTACAAGAGAGTGAGAGAGAAAATTCAACCGCTCCAGTAGTAACGTTGGCGCGTGTACGCCGCAAGGTGGTTTTTTTTCTTTCTTCTGGGTCTTAAACACACAAACTAAGTTTTATAGCCCACAGACATCTCATTGCTGGAAATGTCCGGGCAACAGCAAACAAATAATGTTATGGGAGGTGGCCGGGTGACTCAGGGACATCAATCCCACCCCCGCCCCCCACTGTGAAGATGTTGGGTTCGAATCCTGGATTTCAGCCAACTGTGATCTCAAGCCCCCAGTGAAATGGTGGTCTCAACCTGGTCACAAATGAATGCGCAAAGAACCATCGCATTAAATTTTGGTGGGATTGACTTGTAACAAACAACCTTTTGTAGGGCATATAAAAGGTTTGTCTCCTATATGGATAACAGGCTACTGAAGTGCTTTCGGAAGTGCCTTTGTGACAACCTTCCAAAGCCATTCTCCAGCACAGCGGGTGATAGCTTCACAGCTTTCTGCAAGGTTACAAAGACAAATGTCTGCATCTCATGAAACAATGCCGACAGCACAACGGTAAGTCAATGAGAAATGTATAAAATATATATATGATCCGTGTAAATTCCTGCGTGGAATTAAACTTGCACTTTCTTCCGCATGTACGTTCTATCCAATTTCGCCACACTAGTGCTACTCTAAATGGGTTGCCCTCCTTTCACAGCGCTCTTTCCACAGCCAGAAGTGGTCTCAAATGAGCCATGCGCGACCTGTCACGGGGGGGTCACCATCCGTGTGAAGAAAAACAACGCTCGCGTGAACCCTTGTTGGAAACCGGAGGGGTGGGGGGGCGACGAAAGGCGTCTTCCACAAGAGGGAACTCCACGGAATGTTCACTGATTTTCTCAGGGCGCTGCCCATGAGGGCACGAGGCTCATAAGGGAGTGGAATGCTCTTCACGCTCGCACCTGTTAAGCCCGCAGCGGCCACAATAACGGCGCTCACGTGCGCGAGTAATCAAGAGCTCGAGGCTCAATATGCTACCTCACCTGATGAGCGTTGCCACGGGTCTTCTCCTGTAGCTTAACATTCTGTGCTATCGGTCGATTGATGTGAATCCGAACTCTTGAAAATTGCTTTGTGTTGAATTATGTCGGTAAGCTCGTGGCAAATTATGCTACCGCACCTCGCCATTGCTTCATTTTTTTCTGCCAGATCCTATAGTTGTTATTGTTGGACAACTAACTTTCAAGGTCCGCTATTAAAGTCTCATCACCACCATCCTGCTGTAGGGCTTTTCCTTCGCCGCTAACGTCTTGGTGCCACTCAGTTGACTGGGTGACCTGACCTCCATCCTGGACACATCTAAATTCTAAGCTGGAAACTAATTTTCGCAACTTAAAATCCCACTCAGGGATCAACTTACCACTTCATACCTTTGCGGGATTCCAGCAGAGACTCGGCAGGGCTGCTAATAAAAACGTTTGTAAAGCGTGACAGCCCGTGGGGAAACTTCGGCATTACAATTTGGTCCGCGCTCAAAACAAGTTTCACTCTTCTGTGATTTGCTAACGAAAAGCCCTTAGACGAATGAAGCGAACAAAACCCCCCTAAATCTTGACAATTCATCGTGTCTCTGGGTGGGTGAAATCATTACATTCCAAATCATTGTATTGTCCACAAAACTGCCTGCACAATCCAAATGTAGAATATAGCGCTTACGTAGAGATGGAATTTTGCATGTTTTTACAATACCCAAAATCCATGACTGATAGCTACATCCAAGGCTGAATGTTCATCAGTCAACACTGGGCTTAACTTCAGTTGGGTTTGTCTGTGTTGGTGACCCAGATAACATTTTGGTACCACATTTAGTATACCTCACGTTATGGTTGCGACTAAGAGTCACATGCATGCTGCAGTCTACCAGCGACCCAGATAATCTCCATGAGAAATTTAACACACAAGCGGTTTAAATGACCAGGCCATACAAAACCATCTGCGCGTTTCCTCCGAAAAAGGGAAACCCAAGGTGGTGTTTGTAGCACCCCACCCTGGAGCCACCGCACTGGAGCCTGGAGCCATCGCTCCGCTCTGCCCGGTGGGGTCGCCGCGGAGTTGGGGGTGTGCTCGCAAAAACAGATGACGCGGACGCTCGACTCCTCACCTGGAGAAGGTAGAAGAGATGCTGGTAGGCCTCCAGTCTCTTGCGTTTCTCCAGGCTGAGAGACTTGAGGCCCTTCTGCTGGTCGGCCACCATCATGCCCTGCAGCTCCTCTCGGTTCTTCTTGTTCAGCTTCTTGCTGTGCATCACCACATCCTTTGGCGGGGACAGTGGGTGAGGGCCACATTAGGAGGCTCGGTCGCACGAGACGCAATCAGGGGAAACATTGGCCCCTCCTTGTCAATGCTTTCCCACTATGGTTGAAAGCCTGTTGGTCTGGCCACGTGTCACTAGCGGGCACTGTAGTTCTTATAAATATGATTCAATATGAGAGCATAATGTTGCGTTACTGTTAGAGACCTTCCCTATTGAAAACCGGCCACATTGGTCAAAGGTTTTGCCAAATACTTGAAAACACATTTCAAACAGCCTTTGGTCGGGCGGTGTTGGCTGAATCCCCGTCCCGACTCGAGTGAGAGAGCTCGAAGAGACAGCCAGTAGGCTAGCAGTAGAGAGAGCTAAGGGTCCAGGGAAGGACCGAGTGTAGGACACCTACCCCTGGTGGTTACTTACTTTCTTTGTTAAAAAACCGGTGCAAGCCCCTGACTTGAAAACCTGCCTCAGCGTCGTCATTTACAACGCAACATATGTTGAACTTCTTTCACACCGTATGTAGCCAACTGTGCTAAGCAGAGGTGCAAGGGAAGGACAACAAACTAAACATAAAAAAATCAATTTTTAAAAATGCAATCTAGATTTAAAAGTGCGCAGCTCCAGTAGCTTCCTAATATCAGACGGAAGGCGTTCCAGATGGCCGCAGAAATGCATCTAAAAAGCGCTGCGTTTGCAGTGACCGTCTTAGTTCAACGTGAAAGCGGTCAGAGACCTGCAGGGTGATGCGGTTCTTGACAAGCAGCCCGATCTTGATGTCCATGGTGTTGAGGTCCTGCTCGAGCTGCTGGTTGGAGCGAATCGTGGTGACGACCTCCTCGCGCAGCCGCATGATCTCCAGCTCCTCCTGGATGTCCAGGTCACTCTGCTCCAGCAGATGCACGAACTTGCGCAGCACAGGCAGCGGAGGGTTGCTGGCGCCAACTGCAACGGGAGCGTAGGAACAGTCAAGAGCAGAAAGAAAAGCGGAGTGGCGAGGTGCCTCAGAGGGATCATTTTAGATGCTACAGGGCGAGCTGACACTTCCGAGCCCCTGGTCTCAGCCGAGTCACCCAATGTCTGTTCAAACAAATCAAAACCAAATCATCAGTAGTCATGTCTGTATGTATGTTGAATGTCTGTCGCACCATACATAGCCAACCTTCCTAATTTGAGGTGAGAGAAAGGACAACAAACTAAACACAAAAAGCAGTTCTAATGAAATTAGTGTCCAAACTAGATTTGAAAGTACATAGCCCCAGTGGCTTCCTCATATCGAAAGGAAGAGCGTTCCATACTGCCGCAGAAGCGCATCTGAAAGACCTGCCCAAGGCATCACCATCTCGTACGGTGTGACGATGCGACAATACATCTTAAACCTATACGTGAGCTGATGTCATTGTTCAATCCATACGGCCATCATCCCTTCTAGCTATTAAACTGCCGAAGTCCACCGACTTTTCTAAGCAGTCAATATTAAGTCTCTCAAGTGCCTACGTTCCCTCTCATCCATGTGTTACGCTTTCCCTCTCTCGGTGCAATTCCAAGCATGTACCGCACCATGCTCATTAACAATATTTCCAGATATGGCATATCGATTAGAAACATTGACAGAGACAATAGGACAAAAGCCGCAAAAATATGCAATATTTCCTCGATAAATGTTGCATTGTATAATCATTTAATTTATTCATCATGCATAGTCAGCCATTGTGTCGCTCTGAGGAAAGAAATATCTGATTGATTGCCATGTGACAAATACGTTTTGCAGGACATGTGCCACCCAGTGTGGATAAGAGGCTTACTGAACACAATTAGGAAGTGACTCTCACGTCATCTTGCAGAGGCCGTTTTCTGACAAGACGCGGGAGTTGACAACTCACTGGAGAAGTTGCTGATGGAAAATGTACTTGTCTCATGGAATGATGCCAGCATCGCAATTGGATGTGATCATTTATGTGATACGTATTTGTGGCTTTCTCTCAGATCAAAATTGAATTGTTAAAATATTGCAGTTTTCTGTTTACCGATTTTAATATATGTTATACTACAGGACATACATTTTTCCGTCTTGATTTTGATCATGAAAAAGTGATATTGTAGTTGATGATGACAATGAAGAAGTGGTATTGTTGATGATGACACTGATGTGATATTGTTGATGATCATAATCAACGTTTTTGGGTTAGATCGCGTTATTTATAAATGTGTCGTAACCCTCCACCACCCGACACGGCCAATCAGCAAAAAAGTGTCACGTTGAAAAAAGACAAATAGTTTACTACTTTAGCCCACCGGTGTGTTGACGCGTGAAACCACAACATTTACAATTTTTGAGCACAACGTTTCGCTAGTAATTGCATCCAGTATCATCGGGCAATTCGCCAGAATGGTGAGGGGCTCTGCTCTTGCTCCCGGTCTTAAATAGAGCAGCAGCAGGGTGACGTCCTCATTGATGATGATGATGATAATATACATCTACGTTTGGCTATAAGTGTCATGTGGATGAGATGGTGCTGTGACAGGGGAACGGAAGGACGAAATGGAGCTTAGGTGGCCAGCCGAGGGCCACACACATTCAAACACAGGCTTACCCACTAATCCAGCTGATCCTTATACAGTATTCCATCGTTATTCATGAAATTGCTATCCACGATTCTGGCTATCAGCAAATCGCATCTGGAACTCGACACGACGACTGCATTGAAAGGAAGAAAGTGATGAGCTAAAGCGATGAGAGAGAATGTGATGCGAGAAAATTATGAGATAAAGCGATGAGATAAATGTTACTACAACCTTCTACTGTGCAACATCAACATAATTTAAGGTAAGTTAATTTATAAATTAATATTTAGTTTTATTTACTTTATGTTTGTTACAACAAATGTTTTTGTGTTATGATAATTTTCATGTATTTAATAGCTGATGTATGTATTTATTAAAGGCAATTCATTAAAAATATATATACGTTTTCGTAGGCCTATATCATTATCCGTAAAATGTGCTATTCACGGGCCTCTCCGGAACTTATCTCTCGCCGTGAACTTTTTGTGAGTCACAATAGCTCCACTTCAGAAATCATAAGGTAAGCAAGCAATGCAATTCCGTTTTTTGTGCTTTTGCTTTTTTTTGTAATCTCCACATTTAGTTGCGTCCGATCGAGATGCGACGTATCATTTGGCACTCTTCATCTCCGCTCCTGCTGCCAAGAGTTCACACCATTTTCCATGGCAGTGAAGTACCGGTGAAGACGCTTGACGCCGAGGTTGAGGCACACGTATATTTATTTCACAATACGACAGTGGGCATATACACACTCGAGGGGGTATCGGCCCCCTCACCCGTATAACTCGGGATACACCCCTAGCTAACTCTGTCCTAGCCCCGAATCCTCCACTAATGGGCTAGGGGAGGCTAACTGGCCCGACACTGGTAAGTCGGGCCCGGTACCCGGAGTTCCAGTCCAGCTCTTACAAGAGCACCGGCTCTGGCTTTCGGGACCACGCCGCTGGCTCAGTCCTGTCCGGCCCTGAAAAGGACATCGAACTAGGGGAGTCCAGGGCTCTATCTAAGACGTCTTCAGTCTTCTTCCCTTAGCTTAAACATAACTGACTCGAGCCCTTTGAACATCCCCTTTTATACCCAACCCCTCCCTGAGGGGTGGGGCCCCGGGGGATCATAACGTTCGAACCAGCCCCCCCCAGGGTGTCTGGCTCGGACGTCGTAGAGGGCACCTCCTCGTGCACTTACGTAGCCCCGCCCACTGTGTTTGTTTTCCATAGGCTGCCATGCATAACGGGCCCTCTCTTTAACACCCCTACAGCAGTAAAAGGGGTGAAGAAGTTCAATTCGACGGCCAAATTAATCGCAACATAAAGTGTCAGGTGTCCATTAACCGTACAACTATTAAAATAACAGAGGTGTCACAACCTCCGTTCCCCCATGACGATGCCATGTCAATATTAAGTTTTATTATTTTTTAACATTGCGATGCATGATAGCAGCTCTAGTGGCTGATGGTGGTGACGTGAGCGTATTCCAATAATGTGTACGCATTGAAACATATCAATTCTTGTAAATACGATTCCACGCATGTATTCGCGAGCTTCAGAGTCAATATTAATCAATGAATCAATGCACTATAATTCCAAAAAAAACACCCTTTGTAATGACAGAATGTTTTTTTGCCAGGAGTAGGCCTTTGCTATTTTACCAAGACTAGCAAGACAAGTCAACAGAACTGGATATTTATATTCTGACCAGAAGGAATCTGAAACCTATGGTATTGATGATGGCCTATGCATGACCTATGACCTGTGATTTTTTTTTAAACTGCAACCAAACTTTCCCCATGATAACTTTATGGCATTGAGAAACATCGCAGGCATTGACATCTGGGCTGAGGCCACCAACCTGCTCTGCACGACAGCCAGGTGTAATCACCAGCACTCCTATGGAAAAGGAACTGTTTTCTCATGCTGTATTGATAATCTAATGTTTGCAGCGCCATGGACAATAAAGCATCCATGAAGGCCAACGCAACACACGAGGAGGTGGGTGGCTAGTATCATGCCTGACCACCTTTATCTCCCCAGTGGCGATGTTGACACACTCCACCAGGTACTCATTGGAGGCCTAGTCGACCTAGGTAAGGCCCAGGACTGGTTCAGTTAATCGCCACTGGTTGTTGGGCGTGAGCAGCAATCGAACTCAGGCCGCTAGCTTCAGAGTGCGACCCGCTAACTACTGCACCACCGCTCCCCAAGAGAAGAGGCTCAACTGCATACTCACTCAGTATCCTGTAGTCTTCCCTCGCCTTGTTGGCACGCAGGAAGGCTTGAATCTTCACTATTTCTGGTATCTGAAAATGACAAGCAGCAATTCGCAAACAAATCATCATTAGCCATGATATATACACAGCTGGAAAAAGGCTTCTGCAAGCTTCACCAACTCTCATCTAGCAACGAGACAAGGACATAATTTCATCACTCCATCTGTGCGGTATGCGTCATCTCAGGAGTCTTCGTTTCCTTGGCTTCCACTCCCTCGTGAGTTCTCGATCACCAGCCGTCGTTGAACCATGATGCGAACTGCAGTCAAGTGACTAGCTCTTACTGCCTCGTGAAGACGCCCTCACAGCCCTGCAGTTGGCTGTCTCACATTCGTGATAACCTCTGTGTCACCCCCCAGAGTTGGCGATGACCCAATCTCATCAGATATCAGACGAAAAACTTGGATGAGCCTGGTGAGCACGTGAATGGGACACTGCCAGGCAGGTTCAGGTTCTATAGACTTAGGCTGTGAGGAAGACAGGAAATGGGAATACGGCAATTGATTCTCGAACATGTTTTGCGCAGAGCTTAGTGTGTCCCCCCCTCATCTGCATGGCCAAACATCCCAATGTAGGAGTCTCATGAAAGAGGGTCTTGAGACTCAATGAGGTTTTCGTGGGGTATTTTTATTCATTTATTTATATTAATAACCTGTTATATTACAGGCACGCTCAACCATAAACCCACCTGATCAAAAGACGTTGCTGTGGTGGACATGCAATGCAGAGGTGGAGCGATAAAATCTGCTTGAGTGCTGAGAGCTCAAAGGGATCGCTGCATCGCGAGACCATGAGAAACGCTAATGGCTCGGGTAGAACTTTATCCAGCTTGCATAGACCACAGCTGATGATGATGATGATGACCACACTGAAACTAAACTATGATTTGAGCCGTATAAGCTCTTTTTCAGAAGTAACCTGGCTATCACAAATGACAGCTCAAAGAAGCGGCTTATCGCGTGAAAATGTATCGCGGACAAATACTCTGAACGCGCGTTGGTTCTAAATGTGGAGGGGGAAAAAAACGGAGGACCCGGAGAAAAACATGCAAACTCTAAATATTATGGGCGTCAGGGTCGGAATTGAACCCACGGCCTCCTGTATACCAGGCGAGGTGATTAACATCTCGCCACCGCGGCGTCCACTAATCGACCTTTACATCACTAGGTACCGCACTCCGCACTCACGTGGTCTCGGAAGAACTGGAGGCGCGCGCGGTAGCGCTTGGCAGCAAGCCACATCCGCACCCACGCCTGCATCTGTGCACATGGACGCGGACACGGGGACGGTGGGGTGGCAAACGCACAAACGTCACCATTGCAGCGGTTAGGGCGACTAAACTTTCGCCCCCCCCCCCCCCCCCCCCATTGTGCCACCGAGAGAAGGAGAACCATTGGCGTAAATCTGTTTGGCCCCATTGTCGCAGCCGTCACTACTGAGCTGACGGAAGGGACAGACGACAATGATGATGAATGGCAGGCACAAAGGAATCGGAGGGTCCACTCTTACCACCACCACCACCAACCCAGATAAACCCGCACTCTGAGCAGCGTCCGAGCCTCGAGCATCACCTTTATGACTGCTGGCGTGTTGTCACGGAGCAGCTGCAGCCGTGCGCGGAAGACCTTCCGCTGTTTGCATCCTCGCCAGTAGGCCTGAGAGTGACAACATGAGCACACAGATCACGCCTTGATTATAACAGGCACTGTCCAAGTCAATTTGCCCAGTGCTGACAGTTTTGCTGAGCATGCAGATTCTTGGTAAAGATACCATGAATGTTGACATGTAAAATTATATTAACAATTCATAATTTAGGATTACAACTTAAAACTGACATGTGTTGCTACATATCATTTGTGTAGAACTCGTCCTTCTGATATTAGGAAGCCACTGCAGATATGCACTTTTAAACCCAGATTTTAAAAAAAAATTCTTTAGAACTGCTTCTAGTGTTTGGTTTGTTATCCTTCCCCCACACCTCCGATTAGTATGGTTGGCTACATATGGTGTGAAAGAAGTTCAACACACATACATTGCAAATTCATATATTTAAAAGTCCGTAGTGAATTAACACACGAATTGGGTATTGACTCACCTCATCATCCCTTAGGGGTCGGGAAAATAAGAATGTTTTTCTTCACCATGGCAATGTGGAATTTATTCCACTGGTTCATGGATCACAAATGAGTGTATCACCCCACACTCATTTCAGTGGAAAAATATAAAAATTTCTGATTTGAGAAAACATAATTCAGACAGCTTAAAAATAAGGTCAATTGCAATCACCAACATACTTTTACTAGCCTTCTGTCCATCCACTGCTGAACGAGGGCGATCCCAAGCCATGTCAGTGATGAGGGCTATTTCACTTTACCTTACCACGCTTCACGGTACGGCTGTATGAGCATAACTCGACAAAAGATAACTTTTGAACTGGCCCTTGCCAAAGGAATGTGAAATGGTGAGCACTGTCCAAGGACCTCCACAGGAGAATCATGCCACGCAGCTGCTCGTTCTTTAGAGCACAGTTGCACATCGGCAAGCTGTGAGCAAAGGGCAGCGCAATCCATCGTTGTACTGTTCTACGCTTCAACTGCTATGCTCGCCGCCTTCACCAAACCCACAAGATCCGGCGTTTGTGAATTACCGTCAAACAGCCACCGCTGTGTGGGAAGGCCCTCATCCACAGCGGCGGACGGACCCAAGGTGCCCGAAAGTGTCCATGTGCACTGCTCTGGCTTGGCTGGAGCCACACAGTGGCAGGAATAGCGGTGGAAGGGTGTCCGTGGTTGCTACTGGTTTTTCCGCCGCACCTGCACAGTGGTGATGGCCGGTTGCTGATTGGTGAGGAATTCCCGGCGGGCGAGGAGAGCGCGGCGCACCAGGTACCCGCGTCCGCGCGCCTGCAACCGCGCCACCAGAGCTTCGTGCGTGAGCCACAGCCGCTCACGGTTGTACACGGACGTCACGCGGCCAACCACTGCCTGCAACACCAAATGCACACACACAGACGAAAGGACCGTTGGGGCAAGTGCTGTTAGCGAGCACCTATTAAGGCCAACACGGCGCACTAGGGGATGGATTGTGGCCACAACCACGCCCGACCGCCTTTATCTCCCCAGTGTTACTCGTTGAAGTCTGAGTCAACCTAGGGGATGCCCAGCACACACTCAATCGTTAGCACACAGGCACGCATACATGTACACACGCGCGCATGCTAGCTCATGGGCGCATGTGCGAAGGTACACATGTTGTTGCTGTTGGTTACGCTACCTGCCGGCTCGAGTAACATTAATTAACACTGCACAGGTGTACGTGCATGTAAATGTACACAGCACGCACGCATGCATCCGTGCGAACGCACATGCGATTGTACACGCACATACACATGCACGCACACGTACAAATGTACACGCACGCGCACATGTACACGGGCACGCATGCACAGAGGCAGGTAGCTCGACGGTGAGTCTCTCGGGGTGTGTGACACAGTGCTGTGTTGGGAATCTGAAATTCTATAGCATCCGGAAATTATGGACAAGCAGTCAAAAACAATGACGACATTTTTATCCGAACTATGCATCACGAAGTGAGTACATGATTTTCATTGGAGCTGAATGAGAGTTCATTTTCAGATTGATTTGCTGCTTTCTGATCCTCATAACCAAATAAAGGGACAATTGGGTTTCCTGGGTTTTTGTGTCTCACCAAAACACAATAACTGGTTTGCGTGACATCACCAGGGATGGCAATTTTGTCTTCTGATCCAAGTCACCGTATCGATAGAAAGTCGCCCCATAAATGAAAAGCCGGTTTAAGTCTGTAATGTGAATTCACTGATACTTGGTTAAAAAAAAAAATAAAGTTCCGGAAGAATCGTGCACAGCGGTGAGTTTCCCGTATTCGGCAAAGGTGTTACTGTATTATAAAAGTTGTGGTCCCTGTTCACTTTCTTATTTGCATTGGACTGAGGTCATCCATGGGCAGCGTCGAGTATTTGTAACTTTCGTTTTGTTTATTCATGGATGCGTGTGTTCACAAGATACCCGCACACAAATGGGTTAGCTAAGCAGAACAAAACAGTTGTTTTTAAATGCCATATTGAATTTACAAAAAAAATACATTTAGCTCTGACTTGTGATTTTTAAAAAAATTTGAAAAATAAATACAGCGCTTTGTTGATATAATGTGTTTTCTTAAAAGTAAATTCTACAAATCCTGGCAGATCGGATTTTATATTTTCAATGTTCCCTTTGTATTTCATCGAGGTCTCTCTTACAAACGAGACATTGTACCTCGCTGGGCATTACCTGGTTTGTACGGTTCACATAAGTGAACGCCTGATTGATGTACGAGTTTGTTTCGTGAAATTGATTTCAATCTCATCGCGAACTGAGTGTTATACATTACAGTTTAATACCGAGATCCCACTGGCAGGAGAGGGCCAGGGGAGACGGGAGGGTTATGCTGTACAAATCACACCGCAGTGCCGATGTATTTAATAACAGGTCACGGAGTTTACGTGGAATAATAAAGCCTTGTATTCCAGTGTACACAACTTATTGCTCAATGCAGTGCGGCACTTAAAGCATTTGCGGCTCACACAACACAAGCCATTGAGCGGCGCGTTATTACACAATTACAGTGCCATTTAAGGGAAATGAGCCCCTGAGAACCCAATTAACCCGGCGACGTACAAAAAGAGCCTTTCTTTCCGCATCGACGCAGCTGCCGAACATCAGTTTATACACGGGCCAAATGCCCCAGCACTGTCATTTGTAATTGTTGTACCAATTAAAATACGAGAGGCCACGATACGTGCGGCTCTAACGGGTTCTTGTGAATGCGGCGCGCACACGTTCGGCTATTTACCTACTAACTTTATTGTGCTCCTACATGAGGTCATTCTGGCAGGACGTCCGTGCATTCTCGCACAATACGGACGAAGCTGTGCCCTGGTTTGTTTTGGCGAGTGCCTCGCGCCAAATGTTGTGGGGTCGTGGGGGTGTGAAACTCGTCTCGTGGTGGAAAAGGCGGTGGCTATGTGCCAGCTTAACGTGCCACTAAAGAGTCACGTATACATGCACATATTACAGCCCTCCTGTCAATCCACTGCTGGATGAGGGCATCCCCACACCGTGCAGGGCCTGAGGGTCATTTGTAAATTCTTCGCCACGCCGGTCAGTGCGTAAGTTGTGAAGGCATGGAGCGTAGATGTGGGAACACAGGAGTATAGTACAACAATTGATTGTGCTGTACTGCCCTCTGCTGTCCATCATTATATAGCCCCACAGCCTATAACAACCTGTTACGAGTGGTGGTCATCCATCCGAGGTATTATCCAGGCTCAAATTTGGTTACTTTTTCAAGTCAGATGAGATCGGGCACATTCTGGGTGATTTGGTTATCGGCAATGCATGGATAAAAATCTGAAAATATCAGTTTTCCTGCTAAAACTAGCAAGAAGCCCTGCTCATCTCGATTGGGGGCCGTGAGCCAGAGATGGAAATTCCACTGTTCAGATGTCGCGCCCCACTCGTGTTAGCTGTGGTCGGGAATTGAACTCAGTTTGCTGGGATATACCATGCACGAACCCCGACACCCACCACTCCGCCCAGGGTAGTTGTTGTTGTTGTTATTATTGCAGCATCATTGCAATGGGCCGTCGTCTACTCTACACAGGAAACGGTGGTGTTGAAATCCCCCAGCACTGGCTACAGACGTGAATCTCGTGCCGCGTTTGTCCCCCTGCTGGACGCAATCCCCATGAGCTCCACGCGCAACTGGTGGGAGTACAACAATCCCTCCCAGCACCGCGAGCAGCACTTGGCAGGATGTCGCCAGCGACTGCCAGACGGCGGAATGTGGAATTTCCCGGGCAATGCCACGCCACGGTGTCGTCCTCTCTCCTCTCCTTCCACGTTTCCCTGCCCTGACCCTGTTCCACACAATAAGCCACTTCGATATGCTATCATTTGTGGCCAGGTCACTTCTGAAAAAGAGCGATATAGCTCAGTAGGCCTTGGTTAAAATATCTTCTTCTGCAGCTGGCGTCCGTCTGCTCGGCAGCGAGATTGGCCAGTCCCCTCGGTACCGCGTCTTCCGTCGCTTTATCAACACAGCACATTCAGTATCTGCCTGCACCTCGATACGAGCGCAGCGCAAGCGGCGAGAGAGGCAGCGGTGTGAGATGCGCACCTGTATTTCACCTGCATCTCACTTGTATCTCACCTGTATCTCGCCTGTATTTCATCTGTACTTCACTTAAATCTCACCAATATCTCACCTATATCTCACCTGTATCTCACCTGGATCTCGTTCGAATCTCGCCTGTATCTCGCTTGTATATCATTTGAATCTCACTTGGATCTCACCTGCATCTCACCTGCATCTCAGTTGCATCTCACCTGTATCTCGTCGCGGCTCAGCTGCCCCGTGCTGGGCATCACGCCCTGCGGCGCCTCCCATCTGCCCTCGCCGCTCTCCCAGTTGAAGAAGAAGTCGGAGCCGTCCCTGAGTCGGTGCCGGCTCCATGGGCTGTCGCTGCTTTCCCCCTTGGCTGCTCCCCCGCCCCCACAGAGACCGCACAGTTAAAGAAGAAATACAAATCTTGCATACGCGTGGATTCTGGAACGCTTTATAATATGCGGTTGTCCTTGCAAGTACTTACATGACGATAATAGCAACCACTGTTCGTGCCACACGGATAACAATCAACGCGGGGCATGCAATGGATAGGCTCTCGTTGTTCCCGTATGCGTTGGTGGGCTTCCTCCATGTGCTCTGGGTTTCTCCCACAAGCCAAACCGCCAATAATGGAACTCAACAAACATCCCAATGCAGGACCCTGCTGAAAAAGTATTGAGACTCGATGAGGCTTTCCTGGGTAGATAGCAAAGTTTTACTGTCATCAATTATCCACAGGCGTCAGAGTCGGGATCGAACCTATGACCTCGGGCATACTAGGTGAAGGAAATAACATCTCACCACCATGGCGCCCCCCATTGGCCATACATCAGCTACAGTTCCTACTCGATTTTATTTTTCTTTGCCACTTACCTCCTGCGCAGAGGTCGCAACCGGGTACCCGATACCCGTACACTACCCGATACCCGGCTACCCTGGTGCGGCCGGGTACGGGTACGGGTAGGCCGTGAGTCACTGGTGAGTAACTGTTTGTCACTCATTTCCCAACGTCTTGTCTCTTCTCACAATTAAAGTTCCTAGAATCAACCCACCCGTGCTGCAACATGGCTTCATCCCAGAGGTCGCAATCAGGTACCCGATACCCGTACCCTACCCGTACCCGGCCGGGTACGGGTAGGGTACGGGTACGGCCGGGTAGGGGTACGGGTACCCGTTTGCAACCCTGGTGCGGACGGGTACAGGTACGGGTAAGGAATCAAAACCCGTTTGCGACCTCTGCTCCTGCGGCACCATCTCTACTTCCCTTCATAACCCCCCCCTCATCGCCGAGTCCGTTGGCCACCTACCACCACTTATAAACTTGCAAGCCCCACTGCCCAAGAAGTACACAACCAAACTTGGCTGAAACCTGCCAAAAGTTCCTGGATACACTCCCACGTGTGTCCTGCTAGTGGCGTAGCTACTGGGGAGGATTGGAATTTGAGTTTATTTGATTGTTACACGGATAGTCCCATTAAGCTAGTTCCCTGCCTGGCTACATTAGAAGAGATATATTTGGTGCGTGAGCAGAGCAGCAACAAAAACAAAACCAGCAATATTGCTGACTTTAAAAAATGAGTATAGGGACCTTAAGGAATATTGCACAAGTAACAAATGCAGTATTTTACAGTTGTAAATGAAACACATGCAAAAAAGTTAGGTGCAAGTAAGCTCCATATTATAGTCTTATAAGGACATTGTTCGATGGCTAGCCATCAAACAAAGATGGTCACCGCATTGCCTCCTTTCAGATGCGCTTCTGCGGCCACCTGGAACGCTCTTCCTACCGATATTAGGAAGCCACTGGAGCTATGCACTTTTACATTTTTTTGAACTGTTTTTGTGCTTAGTTTGTTGTCCACCTCCGATTAGCAGGGTTGGCTATGTACGGTGCGAAATAAGTTCAATATACATAAACAGGCAAATGCAACTACAGTGGGTTCCACAGGCTGGAGGGGCCCAGGCGCGGGGCTTTGAAAAGTGGGTTAAACTAAACAGGGTAGAGAACCATTTCATTTCCTGGTGCCAGGGCCCACGGCCACCACGCCAGCACCCCCCCCCCACCCCCCAGGTGCGCCTCTTTCTCACCTCCAGCAGCCTTCTCGCGCTTGGCGTCGGAGAGCTCGAGGTGGTAGGAGGCGGTGCACTCGGGCGTCACTCCGCGCAGCGCCAGTCCCGGCGTACGCAGCAGGCCCAGCAGCGTCTCGGCCACGCCGTCACCGGCGTCCCCCAGCGCGGAGTTCACCGCCGCCACCGCTGCCGCCACTGCCACGGCACGACCGCGTTGCGGCACTTTACGCTCTGACGCCCCGTGCCGGTGTATCGGCAGGCGGACGGATTTTAAATGTATTTACCACGCGCCAATGATTCACGAAGATAATCACACAGCCTTGGAAAACATTTTTTGGGAACGGGGAATAAAATAATGTTGGAGCAATTTTCGCCGTGAAAAAGGGTTTGAAACGAGGCAATAAGGTTGGCAAGCGTGCTTTGCGTTGTTTGTGTAATCCACACGGACAGACAATCACCCTTCTGTGGATTTATCCACGGTGATGAATTCTACTGCATCTATCAGCTGATCACCATCAGGTGTAGTGATTATTACATGTATATAATATAGTCATGTACAGCACTTTATCAAATGAATGCCATGTCGGTCGTGTGTGTGTTATTTAATCGTACAGGACCAATTCATGTCTCACTCACATGGTTCCAATGACATAGTTCTTCAACTAAGGGACCACTGGCCACATTTGGCTCTTTGAGTGTCCTACCTCACTACGGTCTGCCCAAATGTATGGCTCGTCGAAATATAAAGAGACAGCGATTAGCCACATTAAAAATAGATAAACAAAATGCAGACGAGACATCTGGAATAGATGGCAAAGCGGTCACATGTAAAGGCGTTATGACATCACTCTGCCACGTGACGTCGTAATGCCTGTACACGTGACGCACGGTGTCCCGTGGCGCCGCCAGCACGTGCTAGTTTCATGAATATTATTATTTGGCCTGCTGGAAAATATACTCAGAAGAACCTTGGCTGAGACAGAATCAAAAGAACTCATGCTACCGCCAAGTGTCACGTTAAGGATGCTCGCATACTGCTGTTGGCGGCCTCGTTGTCCTTGTTGGCCGCGTGGACGCCCTCCTGGATCTCGTCAAGCCACAGCACCGCCGACTCGTCTGCCATCTCCTGCGTGGGGAGAGGGGGCAGCAGTCGTGAGGCAATGTGTGTATGTGTGTTGTTGAACTTCTATCGCACCGTATATAACCAAACGTGGTAATCGGAGGTGTGGGGGAAGGACAACACACTAAACACAAAAAGCTGTTCTAAACAAATAAGTTTAAAATGTAAATTTAACAGTGCATAGCTCCAGTGGCTTCCTAATATCGGAAGGAACAGCGTTCCAGACTACGGCAGAAGCGCATCTAAAAAGCGCGCGATGCAGTTTTTGTTCGATGATGAGCTAAAACCCGCTGCAAGGATGACCGCAGTTCGCATGATGGTTTATGCCCCTTGACGGCAAGGAGGAGGAGCAGGAGACGTGTGGGCAGTGAGGGCAGCAGTAAAGAGAGAAGTACGAGACACTGCTGCCTCAGATCTCAGGTGAACCCAAGAGCAGTGGTTTTGACCGCGTGACGACAAGGCCCGAGGTGTTTCCCACTCGAGTGAGTGCAGGGACGGCAGTCCTCATCTCCTGGTCACAACTCCTTTGAGTTGGGAGACATTTTTTTACTTTTGAAATGAAGACTAGAATTCAAACAAAGCTTTAAATTTGCCTTTTTGTAATACACATTTTAAACGTGCAACCCTTTGTCAAACCACTGCTAGATGAAAGCCTTGCCAAGCCATAGCAGCCATGGGGTTGTTTAAAACAATATTTCACCATGGTGGTCAGTGTGGGTGTATGGCCTGAACCGGTTCAAATATCACTCGCCACTAATTTAAAGGCGGGGTCAGGAATCAAACTCAGGTTCCCGAGTTCAAAGAGCGCTGTGCCAACCAGTGCTGCCTCTCTCCCTCCCCTGCTCCTTAATAAGTGGGTCTTGACAAAAGCTAGTAATGCTGTCACTAATTACGCTACATTCGTAAATGCCGGTAATTGCACGAAATTATGCAATTGCTCATGGCAGTGCATCGTAATGTTTAAATCCCAGACGTTACCTGGGGCCTATTTGACCTCTCCAGAGAGAGAGAATGCCGCTCTCCAGCCTCTCAGTCCATAAGCTCAGCTTTTAATTCACGCTCGGTTTATTTGTCATTCTCGATTCTTTCTTCTCCTCCCCAGCCCCCTCCCCGCAACCCTGATTTGACCAACAACTTTGCCTTGGGAAAATTACATTCAATTGTCTTAAATGAAAAAGCCATCATTGAGCCATAATGAGAGGGGAAAGAAACAGTTCCATACACAATGCCTTCCTGTGGGTCTAACTGTACGTCCTTATTAAGCTCGCATATTTGCTGCCGTTGTTTCCGAGATACCGAGTGTTTGGAAAGGCAAAGCGAACGAATAAACGTGCCCATTGACAAAAAAGAGAATCGTTTGTGAATGGCGCCTTGTGACTACTCCAGATGCTCGGAGAGTTTATTAAATTCCTCTGCAGCAGCTGTGGAGCTCTGGTGGGCACCCGAGTGCTGCTTCAAGGCAACGCGGGCGATAACACGACGAGCGCGACAGCTCATCTTTGTGTTCCCACTGCGTGGCCTCTCAGCTCGGCGTCATCAACTACGATGACTTAAGCGGTCAGTCGAAAGACGAATGAATTGGGCTACGATTTCTCACGATTAACGACTCGCAGTGATACAGTGCACGCCTTCAGTATATTGTAACAGGGCTTTGCTTTAAGGCTGTGCCTAACTTTGCCTCTGTGTTGTCTCCCCCCAAAAAAAGACACTAAATATTCTTTCTTTTTTTCAAGTCAAAAGTCCCAGTTATCCCCTATTTCCCAAATCAGCAGTGAGTGGGCGGTTCTCATCTCTGCTTGCAGTCCTGAAACAGTGGTAGAAATTCCATGTTTCAATGGCAGGAACTATTCTTTGTTGGGTGACAACTGAGTAATACCCACCGAGTAATGTTCACCTCGTAATATTCAGCAGAATGATGAGCTAAGTCAACCCTGATCCGGCATTGAACACCTAAAATTCGGGTTTTCAGCTACCACTTTAGACTAGTGGAATCGCTAGAATGGGCGAACGGCAAAACTTAAGCATTGGAAGACCATGTATGAACTATGTTAGACTTTTTTCGCGTGCTGTACAGCCAACCGTGCGAATCGGGAGCTGCGGGGAAAGGACAACCAACTAAACGCAAAAAGCTGTTCTGAAGAAATTAGTTTTCAATCTAGATTTAAAAGTGCATAGCTCCAGTGGCATCCTCATATCGCAAAAGGAAGAGAATTCCAGACGGCCGCAGAAGCGCATCCGAGAGCGCGCGATGCGGTGACCGTCTTTGTTCGACGGCCAGCCAAGAGCCGCTGCGAAGTGCGGAGACGGTCGGTTGCGCTGGTGGGACACGGCCCTCTGACCTTGGCCTTGCGCCGCTTGCTGGCGCGCAGCACGTCGCGGTAGCGGAACGCGAGCGCCGGCTCCACACCCGACAGCTTCACGGCCGGGAGCTGCAGGGCCTCCAGAGTTCTCACGGGCTCCTCCTCCTCCAGCGCCTCGTTGATCTGCCCGATGGCGAGCACGCCTGCGACAGAGCCGCCACGATTGCATAGGTGGTGAACTCGTTGCACGCAGGAAAAGGCAGCAGCGGTTCCTCGTGATGATCATTTTTCACGGGGAAGTAAGTGTTATTTCATAATTGCTTATGCCTCAAAAGTACAAAAAATGGCTATTATTCCCCACAAACTTTGCTTTTGTGACCAGGACAGTGATATTTTGAAATTTACCTATTTTCAATGAGATAACGTGTGCATTTGTGTCATTCCTTCACTTAAAGTCCAAGTCACAAAAGCAAAGTTTGTGGGGAATAATAGCCATTGTCTATACTTTTGAGGCATAAGCAATTAGAAAATAACACTTACTACCCAGGAACAAAAATCGTGTTACACAGTGTAATCAACTGCTAGATGAGGGTCTCCTCCTCCACCCCCCCTCCCCAAACCTGCGCGGCACCAAGCCGCGCAGGTTTTGGGGGTTGCTTTGCCGTACCTCACCTTGCTGGTAGGTTCATAATCAATAAATAATCTACTCAGGTATGAGCCCATTGAGATGCACTCATACTTTTGCACAGGAGAGCTGGAAGGATTATGTACGTTATGTAGTAATTAAGTTATCCTAAAATTATAGAGCTTCTTCACTCGTCCACTCAACAAATCTGCGAGACAATTTTTCGGGGGGTATTTTTGTCCAATGTCATTTCATGTTCTCTGTGCACTATGCATATGTGGGGCTCTTGCAGAGCACTGCAAACCTGTATTTTGGAGGACAGCCGTGGAAGGAGAGGTCACAGAACTGCTGCCTTGATGCCTTCAAGTGACTTTTATCACCCACACACTGGGGTCACTTAACTTTCACACGTACTCCGCTCCAGAGAAATGTGTGTGAGTGACATGACATTTTAAGTAATATTCTATAAATCTCTGAGCTGGAGCGTAGCCAATTGGAATATAACCGAACTGAATGTCATAATGTATCATGTAGTCATCAGCGACTTGCGCCGAGACCATGAGCTCTCTGCACTTGATCGTTTTAATCAGGGGCAGCTGTCTGGATTGAAAGCTACAATCTGAGGGGTGCTGGCGAGGGGCTCTGATTCCCGAGCCACTCAGTTACTTCAACGATCTTAAAGCGTTGGCAGCAGTGTGACAGAGCATTGGTGGCTCATTGCGAGAGAGAAAAAAAAATTGGTGGAAGGGATTTTAATAGTCAATTCTTTATTTATGCAGGAAAGCTTCACAATATCTTTGGCCAGTTTATTATATGAGATTAAACGAGAGGATTCTAGATTTGAAGCTTTCGTGACTGCAAGGATTCATATTCTTAGGTTTTTTCGGTAAAGTCACGTAGGTAAAAAATCTAAATTAATAAAAGTAAAATAAAAATAAAATAAAAATCACGAAGTTTCGGAGGCAACACAAGCTTCCGTCTTCAGGTGGAACCGTCACAGCACGATAGCTGATTTTTATTTTATTTTACTTTTATTAATTAGAATTTTTTACCTACGTGACTTTACCGAAAAAACCTAAGAATATGAAACGAGAGGATGTTGGAGTAATTGTCCTGTACTTATGCAACTCAAGTGGCCACAGAGCAGCTGAGGACCCTGAAATGTTCCGACCGGTAAATTCCCTGTTGAGCAGTTTTCGTGAGAGAACAGGGGGCTATTCAGAGAAAACTTTGCACATATGAGCAGCTAACACTCAAACAACCACATAGATAGTTGAGCAACCTACTTTCTGTATTCTCATCCACTGGCATCATAGCCTTGTATATTGAGTGTTTTTAAGCCCAAAATATGTTTTCACAATTCACGGGCCTAAAAGACAGCTGACTCAAGGCACGCGCGACCAATTACTACACACGCCACAGGCAAGCGGCCACACAGTGAGAGCCACGGTTCTCTCGTGCCCCGGTGTTGGGAATCATTAACAACATCGGCAGCTTGCCCAGGAAGGTCTAATGCACACACTTTGTGGCTTTAATGAGCTCATAAACACACCCTCGCCCTGAAGCTCCCTAAAGCCCCAAGCAGGCTCTGGGGGGAGTCAAATGAGGGGTATCCTAGGCCACAGAGCAGCTGACCTCTTACCACATGGTTAAGTCCTGTAACCCCTGGGGATTACCTGTTAGAGGCCCCACAAAAACACAACAAAGTGAGCGGGTGTGACGTTATGCTTACCATCAGAAACGCCCCAATATTGCTCTCCAATGCACAGAAGGCTCTAACATTCACATGTTCAGTGTAATATCTCATGGCTGCTGTGACACAAACATAAATGGGGATTTAATTAATCTTCACATAAAGTCTGACATTTCAAGATGACCATTTCTTTAGCCCATGAAATGAATCAAATAGAAGTGGCATTTTTAGATTAATCTGAAAAAAATCATATCTAAGTATACAATTATTTCTGTTTGATCCGTTAACATGTCACAGGAAGTGACACCCTTTCCACGACATCACATCTTATGACTTGTGCAACACCAGTCATATCTGCCTCTTTCCTGTCAAAGATGGTGCCATGGGAAACTGAGTGTTTAAAATCAAAACTCATCCCTAAAGGATACAATTGATGCTAATGGGAAAAAATAACGGGAGACAAATACATCAAAGAACCACTCGCTAAGTTGCTTGCTCTCAATGTCACCCGATCACTATGCTCCTTATTGCATGCAGGCAGGTGGCTGGGGGAACCGCTTTGCAGAGAAAAGACCACCACCACTCACGGTCGTGCTCCTCCTGCACGGTGACGTTGATGTCGTCGACGCAGGCGCGGATGTCGCTCCACAGGACGTGCTCACGTCCCTCGGACAGTGCCTGGGCCTTCAGCTCCATGAGCGCCTCCACATAGCTGCGAGGCAGGGGGGGACCATGCGCGCACAGGGAAAGCTCGCACCAGCCTCAGCTACGAGCAGGAGCCGCCGCTTCATAAAACGGTGGCCATGCCATTGTACAAGTGAGGGGCCTGACTTGATGTTTTTTACCCTACTGAGGCATCAATGCCACAGTGGTGCAGCGTGATTGGAGCACTGCACTGTAGCTGGTAGGCAGAGCACTGGACCAATGGCAATGCCATTGGCTGGGGACCCAAAACTGGACATTGTCAGGATTCAGCCTTGTAACCTGAACAATATGATAATTTCCTATATTAGCTGGTTCAAATACAAGTAGGGCACTAGATAGATCTACGTCCCATTAGCTTTCACTTTTGACATTTCATGACAAATATTTTTAATGCTGAGTTTTCCCATTTCCATGAAATGGAGGTTCTGAGCCTTTTTTTATTCAACACTGAAGTAAACTCTCAAGTGAAAAGGTTCTGTTGAGAGTGGAACACATCTGTGCCTGCCATGCTTAAATGTTGGACACGTTAGTTGTTTGATAGTTATACTTCCCCACTTGAAGCAGGGAGGCCAAGGACGGATTCAAATATCACTCGCCACCGATATTCGCCATCGCCAGAAATCAAACTCATGGCATCATGTTCATAGCACAGTGCGTGAATTACGAAGCCACCGCTCCCCCGCTAAAATAACATATCACTGAATATTCAATAAATAAATAGGCTCCCAGCAGATGGAGCAAAACGTCAGACGTCGTGGCTAACAACACGGCAGTACAAACACATCGGAGAGCAACAAGAGGCCATGAGAGCAGTCTTTTTTTTTTGCATGATATTATTTACCGCTGCAGGTTGGCCTTGTCGAGGCTCGCCAGCACAGCCGACTGATTGGCTAGCAGCGTCGCCACAGCGACCGTGTCACGCGCGTCCAGGGCCTGGTTGACGAGGGCCAGGGCGGAGAGGGCCTGCAAGGACTCACACAGGGCCCCGTGGGACAGCTCGCCCTAGGGGAGGTGGGGGGGGATAGTGGAGTGGGGGAGGGGAGGGAAGGTGGATTTTTATTGGAATCGTTCTTTCTAGACGATGACTTTGAATTTACTTTAGTGTTGTTACAATTGTGGCATCGGCATGTCATAAAAGAAGCATTGATTCACCCCATGTTAGAGAACAGCCCGCTGGAGATAATAGATAATATCACATAATATAATAAATATCACATAATATAATAAATATCACATAATATAATAAATATCACATAATATAATAAATATCACATAATATAATAAATATCACATAATATAATAAATATCACATAATATAATAAATATCACATAATATAATAAATATCACATAATATAATAAATATCACATAATATAATAAATATCACATAATATAATAAATATCACATAATATAATAAATATCACATAATATAATACATATCAGATAATATAATAAATATCACATAATATAATACATATCAGATAATATAATACATATCACATAATATAAAACCTTCATCCAAATGACGTACTTTCCCACATGCCCTGCTTTAAAGGTGTTTGCCAAACGAAAATCTTCCATTTACAGAGGAGCAGAAATATTTGTGGCAGAGACAGACTATGATGCCACTCGTTGTTTGAGTGTTAGCTGGTCATACGTGCGACATACTCTCCTGTTCTTTTACAAAAACTACTCAACAAGGATTTGGCCGGTCGGATCATTTCTGGGCCCTCAACTGCTCTGTGGCCTCGTGGCTCGCAGGGCAGCGTTCGTGCGTGCACTGTACATACAGGACACTTACTCCAACATCCTCTCTTTCACTCTTATATAATAAACCGGCCAATAATATTTAGCAGCGAGGCTTTTTCTGCGTAAATAACTTGGATCTGAAGGCACTTGGAGGAGGGGGACTGTGAAGGGATGGCATCTCTTCAAGAGTAACATGCCGTGCAGCTCCCTGGAATATGTTTCAATGAGCCACGATGTGAGTGGGGGTGCAGTTTGGCACCCCATGCTAACTTTCATCAACAGCTCTCCACTGGAAGCCTTCACTTGAATCTGTTTTAACCATATCCGCTGAACACATTCAATTTCAGGTGCGATATCATTATTTAGACATCGAACAAATACGGTCACTGCGTCGCGTGCTTTCGGGTGCGCTTCTGCGGCCGTCTAGAATGCTCTTCCTTCCGATATTATGAAGCGACTGGAGCTATGCGCTTTTAAATTTAAAAAAATGCTTTTTGCATTAAGTTTGTTGTCCTTCCTCTGCAACTCCGATTAGCACGGTTGGCTACGTACGGTGCAAAAGAAGTTCAACATATTCTATACGTTCCACGTGTGGTGGCTGAGCGCATTCCACTGTCAACCCGGCGACCCAAGTTCAATTCCCAGCCACAGCAAGCACCAGTGGCAGAGTGATAGCTGAAACGGGGTTCTAGGCACCCCTTTCACGAACCTGCACTGACCAGTGTGGTGAAGAATGGTCAAACAACCCACCGTGGCCAAAGGCATGGGGAGGCCTTAATCCAGCAGTGAATTGATCCACTAGAGACCTGTGAATATACGGTAACTTTACCCTAAGTGCCTGTAGACATTTGAAACAAACAATACATGGAATGTCGGACAATGTCTCCTTTTAGTTCCTTAATTGGGGCAAGCTTTGTAAATTAAGTGCCAAAACCAAATGGAACATGGTGGGTTTTTGTGCAATCATTGGTGACTAGATTGAGACCATTAACTCACTACACTGATAACCCAGTTTCATAAGCAGCTGTAACCTGGATTTGAACATAGGATCTCAGTTCTCTGATCCCTGATCCACCCGGCCACCTCTGGCAACATCAGTAAGACCAAAGTGAGAGTAGATTTGAAGCTTTCGTGACTGCAATGATTCATATTCTTAGGTTTTTTCGGTAAAGTCACGTAGGTAAAAACATTAAAAAGTAAAATAAAATAAAATCACGACGGAAGCTTGTGTTGCCTCCGAAACGTCGTGATTTTAATTTTTTTTATTTTATTTTACTTTTTAATGTTTTAACCTATGTGACTTTACCGAAAAAACCTAAGAATACCAAAGTGAGAGTAATAACCCCAGTACACATTCAATCGTAACCCTTTAAACTATTGAATTCAGTGAATAACAACAACAAATGACAATGGCTTTATTCAGGAAAGCCTCGCCTAATCTTAACATAATTTAAGGAGCATTCTGCATTGCAATGAGTGGCCAATTCAATGATGAGTATTTGGAGGAGATAGCACTCAAGGCTCCATACTGTCAGAATAAATCCATTGCTGTACTACCATCTGGTTACCTCGCAGCCAACGCATTTACGGTCTGGCACTGCTTGGCAGTCTCCCATCCAGGGACCAACCCGGTCCACCCTCTCTTTTTTAGTTTGTTTTCGGGTTATACCACGTGTTATTCGACTTGAGGTCGGACGTTTCATTACGCATGTTGGGAGCTTCTTAAACAACTGAACGTCATGCTGAACAGCACGCGGCAAACGACCCAAAAACGTATTAAAAAGAGGATCAGGGTTGACTATGCTTGGCTCGGGAACTCCGACGAGAAAGCGCGCAGTCAAGACGATTTGGTCCATAGGTTTGGCCACAAGGAAGACAGCAAAATTCAATTTGTGGGGGGCGGTAATGGGTGCAGAATTTATTTACAACAGCCCGACCTCTCTGGAGGACAACAATGCTCTTAAAGCATCCAGCTCAGAGTAGGATTGAGCACAGGGCCTTTTATGATGGCAAAGAGCTGCCCCGTGCACTTGCGCTATAGCCGTGAGCCGTTACTCAGGATCAAACATAGGCCCCCTCTTGACGATTACCATTTTGTTGCACTATGTTACTGCCTACGTTGCTTACTGGGTAGTGCACAGATACAAAAAAAAATGGATGGCTGACAATCACAGGGTTGATTTAAAATTGCAGCCTGTGTCAAGTCATCCTATCATACCTCTGAGGTTGGTAAAATGCGTACAGCATTACCTCTGGGACCCTATTGCCAGCATTAAGAGTATTTGTCAGAAGTCAAGTGTTGATGTCCTATGAAGATATTGTTGCCGTTCAGTCATGTCAAGTTCTATCCCGTCCCTCACAATTCGATGAATTGTCACTATTCAGGGTCCCAATTCAAATGCAATCATCGCGATGACCTCTGCCTGTCCCAGGTCTCACCAACAGCGGCGGGGTGGATATCGGCAATTTTTTTTTTACATTTAGTTTGTCGTCCTTCCTCCGCACCTCCAATTAAGCACGGTTGGCTATGTAGGGCGCGAAAGAAGTTTAACATACGTACTTACAGGTGAGAATAACTGCTAACCACTAACGCCACCCAGTGGCATTTCCCAAGGTTCCCCCGCCAAAACCTCACCTCTCACTTGCTAGTGGGGGAGGGGGCGGCGGAGAGGGTTGGGGGCTGGGGGTGGGGAGTGGGGGGGGGGTGCCCCTCACTCACCATCTCACTCTGCAAGGCCCCCAGCTCAAGCTGGTAGAGGGAGGCGGCAAAGGGATGTACGGGCGGGAGCCGAGCGTCGGACTGTTGCAGAGCGAGCACCGTGTCCTGCGCCTCCCCGGCGCCGATCGCCGCATTGATCTTCTCCACCGCCTTCAACACTGCAGCAGCAAAACAACAAAAAAATCATGAAATCTCCAGCAGTGTGCGACTATGGTCATCCAGAATAGATCGTGCAACGTGTAACGATGCAATGCCCCCGATCCACAAAATACGAAGGAGACATCACGCTGATACCACTCCGCTCCTCCTGACGCGGTTGCCTGGCTTGACCACCTGAATGTGAAATAGTAGTTGTGGCTCTGCATCTACATCAGCCGCACGAAAGAAGAACACTGCAGCACCACCGTGCGTTGTCATCGCCATCGGGCATCATCTATCTACTGCTGGATGATGGACGTCGCCAAATCTCAGGGTCCCATAATGCAACATGCTCTGTTTCTGCGGCAGACGCGCTCACTCATATGATCCTTCCTTCGGCTGCCACTCTCTCATTAGTCTCAACCACCGGCTGTCATCCCTTCTAAGTGATGCGTGCTGCCCAAGCCGACTCATGTCCTTCTGACGTCATGTCCTGTCATACATAATAGCGTAATCTGCTGTGTTGAATGAGCAGTAGCTAGACAGTGTGTAATTTCCACCACTGGCCCAAGGCCACTCGTGGAGTTGAGTGCCACTGGCTCATTGCTCTTATCAACCTGGAGACGCAATGCACTAACTGTAGTTAAAGCAGTTCAGGGACAGGCCAATACACTGCAGCAATCTATGCCTTCACTTTCATGGATTCTTGTCTCTTCCTATAAGAAAGTTCCGTTACCTTGTGTGCTTCATATAAAACAAATACATAGTGGTGACAGTAGAAGGCAATGGCAGCTACATACAATGAATATTTATAAGTGAGAATTGATGATGAAGAACAACAAATGGGGGTGTGGATTTATCAATGCCTTCTTAAAGGTATTAACAGAAGCTGCATTTTGAAAAATGTCCAAACTGTAACTTCACCAATCGATCATAGTACAGGACGGCATTGATTTAAATTAATCAATTAATTTGATTGCAAAAACACAGCCCCTCGGTAACCTACAGCGAGAGACCAAAACCAGGCACGGGACAAAAAATGTAAACAGTCCTGACCCTTACACCAGAGGTCGCAACCGGGTACCCGATACCCGTACCCTACCCGATACCCGGCAACCCGTACCAGGCCAGGTACGGGTACCTGTTTGCGACCCTGGTGCGCCCGGGTACGGGTACGGGTAGGGAATCAAAACCCGTTTGCGACCTCTGCCTTACACTGCCAGCCTCTCTTCCCAACTGCGACGAAGAAAATTTCGACAAATAGTCAATGCAAAGCAAAGCTCGCGTGTCGTGAGAGTCAGCGAGGGATACATGGCCAGCAGGGGGCATGAGATTGGCTCGTCTTGGTGTCAGATTTGGTTGAACTCAGTGGTTCTTCACCTGTGGTGCACGCTGCACCCCCTGGGGGTGCGAGATGCCCTTTCTGGGGGTGCGAGACGTGGGCAGATTTTTTTTTAGAAGGTAAATCATCGAAACGCAAATTAAACACGGACACGTAAGTACAACTACCTTGTTTCATCAAACCTATGTATTTATTAACATTATACACTTTTTTTTACGATTGAGAACCAAAGGGTTGCAAGGCTCAGGTAAATGTTAAGAACCACTGGGTTAACTCGAGTCCTCACGGCTCAACCCCCCACGGTACAGCTTTCCGCGATTACTAGCCATGCAGTGCGAGGTGGCTTAACTTTCATTGAAAATAGAAGTGATTTGTAATCGTGAAAAAAATGGACCGCGGGGGATTATGAGGACTGGAGTTGAGAAATATTCGGTTTAACAGACGCCAGAGGGAAGGAGTTCTGTCTTCGCGTCGCGTATCATCCGTCGGCAATAAAGGAATGGGAAAAATGTTCATATTTTAAGACATTTTCCTCCAAGAATACAGGAAATTGGGTTCTATGTATTATCTAAAAAGAGACCTGTCGTCTCAATTGGCCTTCATATAGTTATAAAGAAAGCATTATAATTTCTTATTAACGATTTTCCAGTCCTACAAATGTACGAGATTTCACCCTGCCAATTTCTCGAGACTCAAGAGCTCCACTTCATATATATAATCAACTTCATGCATATGAATATATCACAATAAATTAGCACCGCAGTGCTGTACAACACACCTACCGAATTTACAGGTCACGCATCAAAGCGCACAGGCCTTTAGCATGGCCATAGGGTCCCCATAAAAACTGCCAGATGATGAGGCAGCAGCTGTTGTTACCGGTCCCTCATCCTCTGAGCAGCCTGGCGTCACTTACTCAGGTGATGACGTAACGCCTCCGAGTTGGCCCTTTCCACGCCGGCTTGCAGATCCTCTTTGCCCAGTTGGCATTCCCTCCCTGTGTCCTGTATGCCCGGGTGGATATCCAGAACAACAACAGCAGCTTTGTTTCGGTGGTCACAGTGCAAGGCTTTGAGAGCCTCTGTCAAGTCCTGTGTTGTCTTCCTTTCAATTATAAACAGACTATTTTTTTTATTCACATACAAATTACACCACATTTATACAGAGTATTCCTTTATGACATTGTTATACATTGTTTGAAACATTTTGAGTACCTTTTCTTTCTAATAGAAAATGAAAGTTCAAAAGAACATAATGGCAAATGTTCATGTCATGATAACAAATTGTTGGCAGTGGTGCACAAACACACACAAAAATCTCCTCATTCATCATTAACACTGCCTCGGACATTTAGGCCCAAATGTCGGAAATGTTTCACATGACACTGAATAGTGACACTGTGAACGGTGACACTGAATGGTGACACTGAATGGTGACACTGTGAGCGGTGACGATGTGAACAGTGACACTGAACGGTGACACTGTGAGCGGTGACGCTGTTCGAGGTGACGCTATCAACAGCATGAATGAGAGAGGGAGCAGCGCACCTGTCCCCTGGCATCTCGCTCCGACGAGAGCCGCTCCAGGTACCAGCGCGCGTTCCCGAACTCCACTCCGTGCAGCGCCAGCGCCCGGGCCCTCAGGGCCTCCATCAGCTCCTCGGGGCTCTCCCCACGCAGCGCGGCATCCACACGCTCCAGGGCAGCTTGGGCTGAGGAGCAGAGGCGGCATCAGCACGGCTCGCCGTCACGATAAATCGCTGCTGATATCCCCATCGCGCCACAACCCCCACCCCGGCCTTCCGTTCAGAGTGGCGTGGCGCGATGGCGCATTGCGCTGTAAAACTGTTGACCTGAGATAAATTCCGGGCCAAGGCCAATATCAGTGGCAAGCGATATATTTGGACGCCAATTTCACCAAGCCGGACTCACCAGCGTGGTGAAGTATGGTCAATAAACCGCCATGACTACACAACATGGAGAGGCCCCTCATTGAGCGGTAAATTGACGAAAGGGCTGTAAATTTCCACATAACCAATGTCACTTTGTGTATTTATAACCCGTGATGCTTATCTGTGACCATTTCAAGTGACACATGTGGGCCTCCTTACTGTTGACTGTGTTAATGTTGCCCTGGATCTCGGCCTGAGTGAGCAGCTCCTCATACACGTCCTTCTCCTCAATGGAACCATCGTCCACCATCCCCTGAGAACACAACGGGCCGTCAGTGCAAAGGTGATCATGGTACAATGCAACCAAGCGATGTGATTGTTTTTAGAATTACCTTCATTTACTCAGGAAAGCCTCGCCGAGTATCGAGCCACTTCTTTCCGGAAGGTGCCGTACTGGGATGTTTAGCCAAGCGCATCTATCAGCGTCTATCGGTAGAAATTATTCCTAAATACAGCTAGATTCGAAGCTTTCGTGACTGCAGGAATTACTCTTTGGTTGTTTCGGTAAAGTCACGTAGAAAGAAATTTAATTAAATAATAATAGAATACGACGTTTCGATTGCAACACAAGCAACCATTATCAGGTACAAATGAATGAGAAAACAAACCTCGTAAACTTGGAAATGTAATGCAATTCAACACAGAGAGTCGGCCAACAAAACAGTCAACACCCCACCTGGTTGATTACATTCTTCCAAAAATTGCTAAATTTGAGAGAGAGACAAAACATAGACACGGAGACACACAGACAGATACACAAGCAAAGAGAGACTCACACAGAGACAAATAGAGAGAGTGCCTATGTGTGTGTCTCTGTAATCAACCAGGTGGGGTGTTGACTGTTTTTTTGGCCGACTTTCTGTGTTGTATTGCATTATATTTCCAAGTTAACTATGTTTGTTTTCTTATTAATTTGTACCTGATGATGGTTGCTTGTGTTGCAATCGAAACGTCGTATTCTATTATTATTTAATTTAATTTCTACGTGACTTTCCCGAAAGAACCAAAGAGTAATTCCTAAATACCTACGCAGTTATCAGCAAATACCAGTCGATAATTAGGATACATTTCCTGCCACTGTTGTGGGTAGCTCTTCCTATCCATGGATAAGCAGGGATAATACGAAAAATGTACTCCCACTTCTTGGTGATTCGTTTAATCTACGAAGAACAGAAGGAATCGATACACGGGGAAAAGATGCTGCCCCCCCCCACCCCCCGCTCCGATGGATCGGTCAAAAACTGAGGGAAATACGAGACCGAGATAATGGGTAGGCATGGCACATGGCAAGAATCGGACCCATGCAGCAGGCAGTGGGGAGTGAATTGGCATGTAAAGGTGCATAGGTCAATTGAATGAAACATATTCTTATGTTTATGATGATCCGCGCATAAAAGCATGTGTCTGAGTGTGTGTGTGTGTGAGAATCGATTATTTATGATTGAGTCTAATGTCACATTAAGAATGATGGAAGTAAATACAACTGTACAAAATGAGATGTAAGAAAAAATAAACGTATTCTTGGGTCTTTCGGTAAAGTAATCGTCATCTGCTGATGACGATTGCTTGTGTTGCGATCGAAACGTTGTAGTTTTTTGTTATTTTTATTTTCTTTGAACCTATCTACGTGACTTTACCAAAAGACCCAAGAATATGAATTCCTGCAGTCACGAAAGCTTTAAGTCAAGATTTAAAGAATAAACGATTGGATCTGAACGGTAAAAGCTACACAAATAAAATATAGCCTATTTTTTCCCGCCCGCAACTTTATCCTGATTTTCCCAATAACAACGTGCCATGAAACAAAGAATCCATCCAGGTGTCTCACAATGCAGCGCAACCCTCCGTGTTAGAGAACATCCAACAGAAACAGATATCACAGAACTACTTCTAATAGCTCTTCAAATGACCTTCGGTCAAAAATGTAAGATGCAGCACTTTGCCCACCTAGCCAGCTACAGTGAGAAATCTTCATCACATGACAAGTCAACCCGATATTTTAATATTCAGAGCTCGAGTTAAGTTAAATAAAGTGTGGAACCAAATTTAACGTGATGGGATTTTCCTGTGCAGTCATTGATGACTGGGCTGAGACAATCTACACCCTAGACTTGAGAACCTGAATTAATCGCCAGGCGACTGCCTGGATTTGAACTCGGGAACTCAATGGTGTCAGCTTAGCGCTCTGACCTCTGACCCAGATCCTTTTGCAAAAAGGGCAATGTTTGCACATGTCTCGATGGGTTTATTTCAATTCCTGGTCAAATACATCAAGAATACTGAGCCACCTGGCCACCTCATGAGACGTGATTCGTCAACCGAATCGCGATCCCGAATCGTGAAAATGCATCGTATCACTGCGAGGCCTGCGGTTAAATTGTCACATGTCCTAGTGGCGTAGGAGTCAGGAGAACGGGGCGGCGTGAGTGACGACCACCGCCGCCGTCGCCGCTACCGCGTGTGGCCCTCACCCTGTTGCGGGCACTGTTGGCCTTGTCAAGCTTGGCTCGTCGCAGCATGCTCTGGTAGGCCTCGGCCAGCTCCCCTTCCAGGCCCAGCAGCATGGCGCTGGGGTTCCTCAGGGCGGACACCGTCTCCGTCGGATCCCCCTTCTCCACGGCATCGTTGATGGCTATCACCGCCGCGTGCACTGCCAGGGACAGACGCCACGGCATCGTTGATGGCTATCACTGCCGCGTGCACTGCCCGCGACAGACGCCACGGCATGCACAAGTGGAGCGTTTCCCGATGATCGTCAGATATTGGAGATGTGCGTATAAAGTCGACTCTCGATTGTCAGGGGTAATAAAGAAGTTCAACATACATATATACATAGATACGTAATAGGGGGAGAGGGGCGGCCCTGAATAAAACAAAAACACATAATGCAGTATATACATAAATTAAGCACATACATGGTTCTCGTAAATTCCCAGTGGGGGGGGGCAGTCCTGAAATTGCAAGAAATTTTAATGGATTTGTACATTAATACAAATTTATTTTCTCTCGTAGCTATATATGACCATACATAACCTCTTGTTGTAACAGCTCTCTCGCTGTGTTCTTCCTGGTTCAGCAGTTCCACTGCTGAATTATTATTTTTGTGTTACGATCGAAATGTCGTGATATGTTATTTGTATTTCATTTTTCTACCTACGTGACTTTACCGAAGGAACTAAAGAGTACAGCACACAACACATTTACACGTAGTTCTTCCTTCCGTAAATGAGAGATGTTCTTCCCATTATGCGTCTTGATTATTGAAGCAACCCTCAGAGATGGCCACCCTCGTTTGCAACCACATGCGCGTTGGCAATGGGCTGGGCAGTGGAGCGTGCTTTTTGAGGACCTCTATTTTTAAATCCTTTATATTAAGTTCGCTTGCTTGCTTAGGACCGTGCAAATCTTTCGGTCGTTTTTTAACCCACTTCCCGTGATCCAATCGAGCTGACATTTTCCACACAGACTCGTTGTGCGTGACAATTAATGTTCGTGGAAATTTTTTTCCAAAATTTTACACTTTTTAGGACAAAAAGATTATATTTAATTACCAATTGCTTAATGGTGCAATGCAATCATCTGACCCATAGGTGGCAGCCATCTCAAGCCAGAGGACGAGAGGACTCTAGCCGCCACGCATATAAAGGATTTATAGTGAAAAACTTTGTTTTTACGGGTTATACTTATTTATTTTGGAGCCCAGATATAAATGACATCAACCACCACAATGAATAACTCCCCGCTGCCAGCCACTTCCTTGACTCACCACCAAGGACCACACCCAAGCGACAAATTAAAAATGCGATACAAATTCAATGTGCACATTCGACCTTTAGAAATAACCGACTTGATACAAAGAATTACTTGTTCTCATTTAAAGTTTTCGTGACTGCAGGGATTCATATTCTTGGTTATTTCGGTAAAGTCACGTAGAAGGGAAATAATATAATCAAATAATATAAATATAAAACAAAGAACATTTTTCACGACGTTTCGACTGCAACACAAGCAATCCCTTCTACGTGACTTTACCGAAAGAACCAAGAATATAATTACTTATTCGCTTAGGGTGCGGGGTTTTTTTTATTATTATTTGTCATTATCTTGTAGCGAAAATCGAATTCCCCCCGGATAAATTTATATATATGATACATCAAACTACTTAAGAGAAAATGCTACATTTAAGAAGAAATAAAACCCAAATATCCATACAGATAGGTATCAACTACTAACAACCCTATACAGTATCCCCTTTGCCTCCAAAGCGCAGGATGAGTCATGCACCACCAAGTATCAATAATTGGCAGAAGTTGCAGGGCAAATGATACTCGCTAGGCACAAACAAGCCACTCCTCTAGCAGTTCGATCACTTGTCAAGGCTGCAATTCGACCAAAGGTCTCAGAGTACGTGGGGGTTAGGTTCCGTGTACCCCCGCCTATACGAGTGTATCTACAATGTAAGAGTGTATATAAAATGTATATCAATGTATACGAATGTTTAATAAAGTACATCACTGTACAGTAAATGATCCACTAATCATCGGCAGCATTCAAGTCAATTAAAACACTGTATATATTTTTTGGACTCGTTTGTTGTGCAGGCGATACAATTATATGCCCTCAAATCCACGTTCGCGTGATGGCGTGTAGCGAAAGTACGAGTCACAAGTGTAAGTACGAATCGGGGTCGGTCGCGAATGAATGAGCGGGCCCGTGTCCTCTCGACACCTTAACTGCATACGCATTATTATATTATTATATTATTTTATTGTATTATTATATTATTCTTATTATTTTTTTATTTTATTACTTCCCTTCTACGTGACTTTACCGAAAGAACCAAGAAGATGCATACGCATTAATTTCTGCCTTTGTTTTCACCGTCTCGTTCGCAACGCACCGTGGGGTTTTTGCATACATTTGTCCTTGCAGTTCCGTTCGCTGCACCAGCCTAAATGTGTGACGTCTGCATATCGTTTGGCCTCTGATCTGCACGAAACGTCAACGAGAGATTCTTGGCACGAGCGTATCAATTGGCCGCGATCGGCGAATCGACGCATCGTTAACGTCCTAAGGGGGCCGTCCATAAATGACGTCACGCACCTGGGGGGGGGTCAGACATTTGTGACGATGTGTGACGAGGGGGGGGGGGGTGAGAAATGTGACGTCACATCAAAATGTGCAACTTTAAATAAATATATAATTGCTCTAACAACACTAATTGTTATAACAACACTCCTACAACATCAGAGTGCAGCGCCACATTAAATACGCACTACAATGACAATAGTTTAAAGCGATTTGAAGCATGTTTTATTTTCAAAATGGAAATATGGTTTTGGGGGAGGGGGGGTCAGAGCTTTGTGACGTCATATTTGAGGGTGGTCTGACTTTTTGTGACGCCGTGTGACGAGGGGGGGGGGGGGTCAAAAATCGTCCAAAATCGCGTGGAGTCATTTATGGACGGCCCTTAACGCCAATTCTCCACAAACTAAACCGGGCCCCCCCCCCAACCCCACAGCCTTCCCCTCTTACGTGCAGCTTCATCCACGGAGAGCTCACTGGCCAGGATCCCGCCGATCTTGCTGAACGCCGGCATCTGAATCCCGTACTTCTCCAGCTCCTTGCGCATGTTGTCAATCTCCTCCTCTGACGGGTGGGTGGGTAGGGGGTGGAGAGAGGTCAAGGACACCCATCATCACGCCGCCTTGCTGCAACAGTAAAGCCAGCACGAGCGGTGGCAAGAAGATGCATTATTAGCTTGTCCTAGTGTCAATGTTGTTTTTTTTCACTTGAGACTCTTTCTCCATGATTGTCATTAATGTCATAAAATGGTCATTTATTTACATGTCGCTTCCACTCCTGATGTAACGCGTGTGGTAACCTTCACTCAGCAGTGGATGTGAGATTTAGGTGACGGGAAGATGTTATTTTTATGTATTTGCGCTGTGTGACATGTTTGGTCGTGGAGCAGTGGTAATTCGTTCACTGTGCTTTGAATCTGGCGACCTAAGTTCGATTCTCTGCCATGGCCAACACTCGTGACCAGTGACATCTTGAACTGATCTTGGCCCTCTCTTCACCAATCTGCACTGACCAGTGTGGTGATGCAAGGTCAAACAACGCCTATGGTCAACACAATAGGGAGGCATTCATCCAGCAGTGGATTGACCAAGGGCTGTGAATGTGCACTGCTACTATAGCTACCCGGTGGCCATGTTCTATTCCGACAGGACTTGTCTCTGCGACGACTGACAATAATTTTACGGAATTGCCTATAAAGTGAAAGTATATATTCTAATGTAAAAAATAACCTCATTAAAAAATAAGCACATAACGTGATTATTTTTTAATACTGCTACTGTTGCTTTCGTGTCTTTCATTGGCTTTGCTGCAGTGGCATTGGTTTTCTGCACCTTTCTAGCCCCGCCCACTTTCCCCGCCGTCCAATAGCATTCCACGCAACGCTACCCTCCCCCACCTCCCCCACCTCCCCCCCTCCCTTGCTCCTCCCCCCTCTCTAACTTATATAACCCCTTACCACAGCATCTCTCTCACTTCAGCAAAAAAAATATTGCTGTGGTTTTTGCACCCGATGATGATTGCTTGTGTTGCAATCGAAACGTCATGAGAATTTTTATTACGTTTTATTTTCATTATTTTATTATTATTTTTCTTCTACGTGACTTTACCGAAAGAACCAAGAATATGAATCCCTGCAGTCACGAAAGCTTTAAATCGAAACATGACGTGCTGTCAGTGCGTACCATCACTTTCTGTATAGAAACGTCATATTTGAAGCGACTTTGCGTAATAAATTATTTAATTCAGCTCGACCTTCCTCTGCGTTATAGTAAAAATCCACCCACTCATGAATATTAATTAAGGGAGTGGGCCTCATGTGGAGTGACGTCACGTGCGGGACGGACAGACATTTCTGGGTGATTATAGTAGGTAATTGGCTGTGTCGGGTGGTGGTGGCGAATTTAACGACACGTTTATATTTACGCGAACATCTGCGAATCCGTGTGGTTAAGTCACAGCGGGTAGAAACGCGTTTTAGAAGACCCGTACGTCGCTCAGTCCAAATGGAAGAAAACAGTAGCAATTAAAGAGCAAAACCAGCAAGCAAACCAACCTGTGAAATTGACTTTTCCAAAGAGGTCCTGAATCTGCGGAGCCAGCCCCAGCTTGAAGAGATACAAACTGGGAGAGAAACAGAGGCACGTTGAGTGAATCGTGTCGTTTGCATGCGCTTCGCTATCTGCGCTGCACAAAGATCAAAGTGGCAGCAATGCTGCATACAAAATTATGTATACAACAAATGCCATATTGCATGTATATGTATGTTGAACCTCTTTCACACCGTACGTAGTCAACCGTGCTAATCGGAGGTGCGGGGGGAAGGACAACAAACTAAATACAAAAAGCAGTTCGAAAGAAATTCGTTTTCAACTGAGATTTAAAAGTGTGTAGCTCCAGTGGCTTCATAATGTCAGAGGGAAGAGAGTTCCAGACGGCTGCAGAAGCGCATCTGAAAGCGCGCGATGCAGTGACCATCTTTGAATCCACTTCTATAGGCCGACAATTACTGTATGTAAATGTTCAGCAGGCTATTTATCTAATTAAACCTATTCATTGGCTTTTTTAGGGATGTTTCCAGGCCTTCATTTAAACATTCACTTGCCAAACCAACATCATATGTGCAGGTCTCAAAACTCCAGATGGGCCTAGTAGAATAGTATTGCTTTTATTACTCTTATTAATTTCTGTAAGGGGAGGGGGGTGGGAGAGAGGTGGGAAACAGACACATTGCTCATACCCAGCCCTGCCTATACCAAGTGTAGTGTTGAGCAGCCCTTCAAATGACAACGCCACACTTGTAAGGCTACCTGCCATAGTTTAAAATAGTGACGAATAATATTGAAAATGTTGGTGATATCCTGATGATTTTATTATACACTGGATTTGCTGAGTCTGACATCATTGAGGCAGTAGTCAGAGCAATCAGTCCTGGTCTAAATTTGAGGGACACGCTAGAAATAAAAACTGATTTGACTATTTACAAGTTAAAAAACATTTTGAAGGGACACTATAGAGGAGAAAACACATTTGATCTCTATCAGAAGTTGATGAACATCTCTCAGGAGCCAAGAGAAACTGCACAAAACTTTTAGTTTCGAGCTATCAAATTAAAGGACAAACTATTATTTGCATCTAAAGAAAAAAGAGCTGATGACCAGTACAATCCAGATTTGGTAAGCAGGAAGTTCCTGAGATCGATTGGATTGAATAAACAGTATTAGGGTTAGAGAATTACAAATATAAACTACAGTACGTCATACTTTACAGTGCACAGTGATAAACCCCTCCTATTGAATATATCACAAACTAACAATTCAAAGCCAAGCTTGAAGTCTAGAACAAGTCTAGAACATTTCTATAACAATCAAAAACAACCTTTGGGTCCTTTACCTGTAAAATGCAACAGCACGTGTGTCACACAGCAATCCTCAACCGAGTCGCCATTAACCACGTGACTGTTGTACAAGTCCGGTTAATCAATAACCCTGCCAGCCACCCACAGGCCCAACTCAGTCATCGCATGCTGGTGTACACACGTGCATTGATGTACTGCACAGCACAAAAGGACTTTCACAGAACCATACATTACTCCCTTGCTGCACGAGGAAATAATTAAAAGGTGTCCATTCATAATGTGCCACACAAGGTTGATGCATTTTAAAAATATGCTAGTTTAACTACAATCATACAACCTAAAAGGATGGATGAAATATCATATTGAGAAAAAGATATCTACAATTTTATTCACGTACAAATATAATAAGAACTTACTTTTTTTTTACTAAGAAGGATTGTATTCGGATCTTGTCAATATCCGTTGTGGAATAATACTGATAATACTTTCCTTAAAGTTTTTTGTAACTTTATTGCCTTTTTCCCAATTGTATTCCAATTCTCCTTATCAGTGTCATGAGATTAAGAAATGTCTGGTCGGAACGGTAGACCAGTACCCGCTTCATCACTGCATGTTCGATAATGGCCTCTGGAAGGTGATAACACAGAACCAAGTTACATTCCTAATACATTTGTTTATTACCCAAAATGCATCTGTTAATTACCATAGAAGTGGGGAAGGTGAAGATACTGGTTTGGGCACTGACCTATGATCTCAACAATCTCGGTTCGATTCATGATCATGCACATCAGTTGCAATTTCTGGCCCAAATTTGATCTTGGCCACCTCTAAGTCAACTCAGCCTAAAATGAATACCAACCACGACGTCTAAACATTAGTATCTGAGGACACATAAGTAGTCGGGTGTGGTGTCGGCCACCCCACCCCTTCCCTTGACGTGTCGGCTTTAAAAATGCGCTCGCAAACAGCTCTCTCCATTGCAGAAGACGCCGGCGAAGTGTTGATCTTTCTCGTTGTGTGTTTAAGCGTTGTGAACACAAGATGAACCAAGTAAAAAGGGAAGAATTGCTCGGTGTTGTGACATGACACAGCCAGCCATCTGTTGTGGACAGTATTGCCAAACTTGGGGGGGAGGAGGGGAGTGAGTTTCCTGTTTGTAGCCATTACCTAAGAGCATGGATGCAGTAGATTGTCTTCGGCATGTTCTTGCGGTCGTAGATGTCCGTCGTTTCAGGGTAGAATATCTGCATGAACAATCAAAGATGCACCTGATTTACAAGAATTATTTACGTCCGTTTACAAAAACAATTGCCGTGATTAGAAATATTTTTTAAACGGTCTGTTGTTTGATCGCCGCACAACCAAAACGAAAAAGAGATGTTCTGCGTCAAGCATTTGCCATTCATGACACAATTACATCCGCGACATATGTTTGCAAGTCTTTCAGGAAGAATGCGTGCAGAGATTTAGAAAAATAAAAAAAACGTAGCCAATTGTTTTAAAGGATTTAAGAAACGTTCCCATTGTTGCAACAAGGAAAACGAATAGCAAGCATTAATAAACACATCTGCTAATTGTCTGATGTGGAAAGTTAGCATTTGTCCAGCTCATAAAGGGATTGAATTTTGTTATTCTTTGACTGAGAAAAAGTTTTTTGGTGCCAATTAAAATTTCTGGAAAGCCCAAGAAAGAGTTAATTACAACTCCTTTGCAATTATGGTATACTCCTCAGCTGGCAGAGTCAAGAATGTTCCACAAGCAGAAATCGTGTGATCACGCTCACTCACACGGAATTGATCCACGTCTTCTTTTTAGGGGTGTTTTACGTGGCGACTTGTTTCGAAAGCTGAATAAGTTATATACCATCCAACATAGAGAAGCGTTTAAGATTTGGTGTTTTAGGATGATAAGAATAGGATGGATAAGAAAAACTGATGAACAAAAAAGTGTTAAAATAATAGAATTCCAAAAAATGGGGACGGTGTTTGTCATACAGAGGAAGATTACATCTTGTGGACATGCAGGGTGAGGATCACAGGGCGCCCTATTGCCGGGCCTCAGAAGGTCAAGAGGAAGACAAAGACGGATGTGGCAGTGGGACGACATTGACAAGTGATTCCAGTTGAGCGTGAAGAACATCACGATAATTTATTGCGAGAGGAAATTCTGGCGTATGCTGCCCAATCCTGGAGCTGACACCGATGAACGAATAGATTTGTGGACAACATCGGGGACTTGTCGTTGCATACCTTGGGTAGCCCAATGGCAACCATGGCACTTAGCCAGTGGTTGATGTTGTCGGTGTGCCGAAAGTGCAGACCCATCGCCTAGGAGACACATAAATGTTTCACGTTGAATCATTGTAAAAATAATATTCACAGTGTCACCGAGGTGTACAATGTTCACTAGTAAAATTCACACTTCCTCAAGATTCTTCATTGCAAACAAACACCATGCAATGCAATGCTTGCCCATTGGGATTGTATATAGCATTTAAATGCGACCACATCTTGAGACGATGTACATCAACAGTGGGCTTAATTGGTCATTCATAGCAGGCAGAGGCAAAAAAAGGATATCCTTGAGGCTGGCTGCAATTGAATAGTCCACATATCGTACAACGTTTAAAATCACCCTGATAAGTGCGATTGTCAAAATCCATCCGTACCTTCATAAGTAGATTACAAAATGTCCATCCCATTTTATTTTTCCATCTCAATTTGTCATGAGATGAAACCTGATCTTTTAAACTGTCACGTTGGTAGAATTATTGAAGATGTGACCAAAAAAAAGTGACAAGAAATTGCCATTTTGTGACATACATTACTTTTCCCCAGGCATCACGATCCTTTTTAGTAAAAAAAAAAATGCTCTTAATTTCTCTGCAAGCGAGACATGTGTGGTATAATGAAGCTGTCTTGTGTAAAGGTATTACATCAGGCAAGAGACGTTGTCTTTGCCGAGCCAAACACATTTTAATGGTCCCACTGAGAATGCACTAATATTGTAAAAATGTAAATGCTCATGAATGAGAGTGACTAGCAACCACAGGCAGACTTAGTCATCATTAACATAAGAAACCCAGCCTCGTTTTCGACGGAATTATAGGGGGAGGGGAAGAAAAAGGTGAGAATCACTGACCTACTGGAGTCGATTTTTTATTTATCATATTATATGCAGCATATACAATCATAATATTTGACATTTCTTTGTCAATCCACGGCTGAAGGCCTTTGAATAACCATTTTACAGACTACAACAAAGCCCTTTGCAACCAAGACCATTAAGTCAGCCAGAAAATGTACATGTATTCTTTATTTTCTACGTTTTTTACGAAAAGAAACACATTGGGGGATTTGTGGCACATTGTCTAGCACACTGCACGGTGAAATTCAAAAGCATGAAACCTACGACACAAAGCCTAGGTGCGTAAGGGCCATTTGTGTCCTTGGGTTGTGTGTTCCTCTCAGTGAAACGTCTGCCTTTTATAGCACAGAAAAAGAGTGAGCTCAACCCGCCAATCCGTGTGGGTGACACCCGGCTGCGGGGATTTTAAATGCGTTTGGCCAGATCACCATCGTCGCTCTCTGCACGATGCGCACATCTCCATTGTGGGATCTGGCCTCTCACATCGGGCATCTTCAGTCGAAAACAGCGCACGCAATTACATCACCACGAGAGTCATTTCCCACCAGGGAACTGCCATTCAAACGTCAAGATGATGATGCCAATGGGAGCAAAGCCCCCGTGCCATATCTAATTTCATTGCCCCATTTCGCTGCACTTTGCTGCATAATAACGGGAAAGTGCCTGTCATCCCTATAATTTATTTTTAAGAATCCCACCAGTTGAGATCTCCCACAAAATACAGGAATGTGTATTTTTAAATTCACGATTAGTTTTTTTTATGTGTGCCTTGCAATTGAACGATAATGTTTTCACCTTTTTAGCCTCATTACATGAAATTGGTATGGGATCATGTTTTGTCAAATGTTGAAAATCTTCTCTCATCGGCAGACAACGATAAATAGCATCCATCTAACCATGCTCTCAGAGTAAATCTACAAACATGGCTGTCAGTTACAGCAGAAACAACGATATGCATTGTAATCTCGTATTTTCATGCCAAAATGTTTATGGTTTTTATGTTCACTGCAAATACACCGACATGATCAACATTACTTAATTTATTAAACAGTGATCAATTTACTTGATAATGCCACAACTGATGTAATAAGTGAGGAGGGCTTCACCCTACAGTGGATATAAAATAATTGATGATAATAATGAGATGGGATTAGGATGAGATAAAACATGATTTAATAATGATAGGTCAGGTGGTAAAATGATGGCGCGGTAATCAGTGCACTGCACTTTTAACCCAATAACTTTCATTTGATTCCACGCCACGGCTAACTTCAGTGGTGAGTGAGTTCTGAACCAGTCCTGGGCCTCCCCTTGACCAAGCCACGCTATTGGGGTGGTGAAGTAGTGAAGTATGGTCAAACGAGCCACGTGGCTGACAGCATGGCAAGACCTTCTTTCCTCTACGGATTGATGAGGGGATTCCATTTTTTTTATTATCATGATTTTTTATTTTTTTATTCTTATTAAAAATTATAAATCATTTACATCCCTTTATGAAGAACAATTCCCACTTTGGCAGGATGAATGAACATTTCTAGCTACTGCTGGATCGATCATGTTGTGTGTATGCATGTTGAACTTCTTTTGCACGATTCGTAGCCAACCGTGCTAATCAGAGGTGCAAGGGAAGTGTTGTATATATGCCAACAGAAGGACAATAAACTAAACACATATATCAATTCTAAAGAAATTAGTTTTCAATCGAAATTTAAAAGTGCACAGCTCCAGTGGCTTCCTAGTATTGGACGGAAGGATATTCCAGACGGAACGTGTTCAGGGCACCTTGTATCGTGTCTGCTCCCTGTCGTAGATCTTCTTCAGGGACACTTTCCCCGGCATGAAGAAGTGTCCCAGCTTGGCGAGGATGACCCCATTCCTCAGGCTCTCCTCCAACTCTGTGGTGGGGGGCAGCTCCTCCACAATGCAGGCCTCCAGCCAGCTACCGGTCAAACAATACGGACAAACCGTCACGAAGGCGTTCTGCGTTACAGACTTCCAAACGGTAGCGGAAGATGTCGAGTGTGTAGGCGGTGCGGCTGCACTGGGGCCCACGGGCCAGAGCGGCCCAGGCACCGGGCTACAAAGAGGATGGAAATTGGGCAGGTTGTTTTGTTTCTATTTCATGCACCAGGACCCTTGCCAACCATGCTATGCCACTGGTTCCAGCCGCCCATGCTGTTAACTCACTCACTGCCCCTGTTCAAATCCAGGTTCAGCAGCTTCCTTTTTTCTCTCTCTCCATATGACTGACTGCCTCTTGTTCTCCATAAAGTAAATGTGCCCGCTGTTTGTGTACAGCGTCTTGAGATGCAGTTGCATTTAGACGTAATTATAAATCCATATTTATTTGTATTGTAATATTGTATGACTGGCCACATGGCTCAGCGGTAGAGGGAGTGGCTCTCAATCAGAATGTTACAAGTTCAATTTCTGATTGGGGGTTGATGCAGCCCATCATCCCTCTCCGTTTGATCAACCGCATTGTTGGGAAGTAAAAAAGTGCTTGTGATAATGATAGACTCATTCCTGCCATAAAAGTTTGGAATTTCCACCAGTAGCTTAGGGCTGTAAACAGGAAACGAGCAGTCTTCGTGCTCATTTGACTTTTAAAAAATCACTTTGACTTGTATACAGCAGACATCCAATAAACCGTGATTTCCTATAATTTATGGATTATTGGCAGTTCACAATTTGCAACCTTGTAACCTCATTATCCACAAATTTATCGCACATTAAAACACCCGCTAGTCACATGCCGTGCTTCTCCAGTATTCCACAAACTTTTCGGAAATGGATCGAGTCACATGGCTCTTTCCTCCCATAATCCCCGGCAACACCACGTCGGCACAAAATACATTTAAATAGCTATTTGATCTAACCTCTGCAGTGCTCCGCGGATTACAGGATCCACGATATGATTGCCCCACCATGTCAACGCGGATTATTGTATTTTTGCTGTCAATACAAAAATGAGCTTCCAGGTACTAAAAATTTAGCAGCAGCAGCATTTGAATATATTCTTTGGGTATTTCGGTAAAGTAACATAGATAGGTTGAAAGAAAATAACAAACCTATCTACGTGACTTTACCGAAAGACCCAAAGAATATGAATTCCTGCAGTCACAAAAGCTTTGGAATATGTTTGCACGTTTGTAATATGTTTATTAACACGCTGACATTTTCACAAATACTGCAAAATTCAGCACTTTCCCTGTTAACTTTATAGCTCTGATGAGGTGTTTTTTTCATGCTTTTAAGAGTTTAAATAAACTATGACATGGCATGCGAATTATCACCCACAGTGACAGTCTGTGTAATTTTGAAAATGTTTATCCCAAAGGAACTACAAGCACCATCACAGACGACACCGCACTAAATGCGACGATTTTACTCGACAGAGGGGGCGGAAAAACATGCCCATATTTAGTAACATCGAAATTCTGTCCATTTCCTTCCAGCGTGTTAAGAGTCGTTGAAAATGTTGACGACTCGCGAATTTCTGGTAAGACGCAACCGCCGGTAGCGGAACGTTCGCACGGTGGAGAATGTCTTTCGGTCTGACTCGTGGCATTGGCGAGAAAAGTGAGCAACGCACGGCAGTGCCGGCATTGCTGGCAGACACCGGGGGGTCGAGGGGGCCTCAAAGCGATGCCATCGACATCATATTCACACCACAGAGACACCACCGCCACCGCCACACCCCGCGTGACAACTCTTCCCAGTTGCTGCTGCTGCTGCTGTGCATTCGTTTGGAGAATTCGATTTTTTTTTCAAACGCACACACACTCGCACACACGCAAACAGCACAAACCGTCGTACGCGTTTCAGCTCAAAAGCTACGCGTGCTGTAAGCTCAGCGGATAGCCAGCGAGTACAGTTTCACTAGTTCTGCATCTGCGGTGGTGGATCTTATCGGGCGTCCTGAAACCACTGGAGCCACTCACTTCCCCCGTCAGCGTGCTGCGCTAAGCCTGCTTCCTGCAGCGCTGATTAAGCCTTTCGAACGGTGGAACCTGGGGCAGGCACAAGCATGATTTCGACACAGAATAAAAATGAGAAGAAAACTGAAGAGTCATGGGTGACATGACCCGAAACTCTAGCGACTCGAGAGAGAGAGAGTTGCCTCGCACAGTTTCCACGCGTTCGGCTTCGTTTGTTTGACCGTGGCATTGTCAACGCAACAGATTCAGCCCTGACAACGTGATGATGATGATGTCTCCATTTCCTGCCACAATTTTGCAACGGGAAGGGTTAAAAAAATGTGTCTTGATGTGCATTGCTATGAGACAAGAACATATAGAAAAGCAAAAGGATTTATTTCGGTTCAATTGTATTGATCGCAGAGATGATGGGTACATTTGACCAACCACTGTTAGTTTGTGTTGCGCATACGCCTGCACTTCGTATTTTGGGAGATAAAAACTTACTGAATGATATGTAATAATTATCTTCTTGGTTCTTTCGGTAAAGTCACGTAGAAGGGAAATAATAAAATTAAAAAAATAAAGCTTTAAATCGAAATGTAATAATTAATTTAATTTACAGCACTTAATGAAAAGGTGGGGTACGTGGCCCAGGACCGGTTCATATATCACTCGCCATTGATGTTAGACGTCGCCAGGGATCGAACGCAGGTAGCCGAGTTCATGGTGCACTGTTCCACCATAAATCAAATGATAATACAGTTTTATAATAAATTGCACTGATAAATACAGAATTGTCCACACATTCAAATTATCTCTTGGCGACATCTCTCCATTGGGAATTCTGAAGCAGTGGTGGAATTCTTCATTCCTATGGTGGGGTCGGTCCAGAATCCCCACGGTTTAGCGCGATTGTCACCTCCAATTGTCACGGTTCGCTATGTACGATGTTAAAGAAGTTCAACATGAATTGCATAGATCAAAAGGTATAGATTTTTTTTATCATTTCACCAAACAGAAAAAAAAATGTGGCACGAGTTTGACCCTGATCTGCAGTTGAGCTTACGATTCCATGATTAGGAGGGCTGGCTGCTGCTCTAGCAAGGTGGCTCCTGATTATATTCCAGCCATGAATGCTGTGACGTGGACTTTTAGAATGGAGGCGTTAATCGCAACTGACAAGTCCCTTCCCTTTTAACACACCGGTCATTCTGAAACATTCCATAACGCCCCAAAAAAATTCAGCATTAATAAATTTTAAAAAATGTATATTTCAGGGAGGCACCGATTTCTCCACATTAAAATCGTTATTCGACAATTAGCGTACCGGCCTTCCAGACTAACGCTATCCAGACACAGTGTATTTGTTTTAGAAAGCAAACTCTGGCCCAGTTTCAAGCTTCTGGATCTCATCAGCTTCTTAAATAACCGATAAGTCCGGAAGACTCGCCGGCTGATATACTAAAGAAACATTTACATGTTCGCGTGGAGAAACAGACATGTGTCTATGTTTTACTACTACCCATAATCCTCCACAACAGCACGTAACGAGCATTTTTCAGCAATGATCAATTATGCCTGTTTATCCAGTACGGCTCATTCGAGTTTGTTTCAAAGGCAATTTTACCACGTTTTCTGAACTCGTACAAGCATTACATTTATATACAGGTGTTAAAATGATCATACATCTCCTTATTAGGAAGAAAAAAAAACAAGGCAATGAGATCACCTTCTAATCAGCATTTCACAATTTCCTCTTTTTTATTTGTTTTCAATAATGACACGGTTACTATTAAACCAGCCAAGTAGCTCCCTGGTAGATCGAGCGGCTCGCAATCGGAATGGTGCGAGTTCAACTCCTGATCGGGGGTTCACTCAGCCCATCATCCCTCCAGGACCGGTTAAATAAGTATCACTCTATAGGGAAGTCAACAGTCATTGGAATGCAGAATGTCCGCTTCAATGCTCATTTGAGCAGGAAATCACTTTGACTATTAGGATCAAAATCAAGTAATGTATATTATTTGCTCATGAGATGGCCACATTTAATTTATCAAAGATGCAGTTACTGGCCTTATGAGGGGCATCAATTCCGTTGTGCTTATATAATTGACCATTAAACCCGCTGAAATCCTTGAGCAATACATAATAAACATGAGTGTCAATAGCTTAGCATGAATATCACAACAGCAGATTCAGATTATGTATCCTCTCAGGAACATGGGATTAAATTCGATGTAAGTTTCACATGAATCCAAATTTTCACTTAATACCAATACTATGGGGATGTGAGGGCATAATCATACGAATACAGTGCAGCGTTATAATTTTTACTTCCGATAGTCTTCCCAGAATGTGTTACTCATCGTGTAGCAACAGAGCGGAATAATTACATAAAGACGGTCCACCATTTTCTTCACCGCCAGTTCATTATTAGGACGACTTCCAACGCTCTCGTCCCAGTGCTCATGCTATCGAGGAAGCATGTGGTCTGTTGCAGATATAATACACTTCATTAATTCGACTACTTCATTCAGTGGTTGCTCTATTCTGAAGTGGCCAAGAAAATGACAGCAACTAAGGGCAACATAACTTCCTGCCACTCCTTCTTACACATATGCCAACGCCTTCCTTCTTGGAATTACTTTCCAATCAGCAACTCCCTCTTAACTGCAAGAGGTTGCACCAAAACACCACGTCTCCTCCGATGATACAGTGCAACTCTCAAATCTTCAATACATTAAAATCGTGCATGAGTAAAGGTAGACCAACGATCCCTACCAGTCTGGCCGGCCATTGTGGGAGGATAGAGAAGCATAGGCTTTGCATTTCCCACCCCAAAAGGTAAGCGTTTTGCTTGTGGTGGTGTAACTGGTGAGCGGAAATATAGAAGGTAACATGCTGCGCTACAAACCCAGCGACCCAAATTCGATTCCCGCTCACCGCCAACATCACTGACGATTAACTGAACCGGTCTTGGGCCTCCCATAGGTCGACTAACCCTCAAATGAGTACCTGGTTCAGTGTTAAAAACATTGCCACTAGGGAGACAAAGGAGGCTGGGCATGGGGATGACCACCCACCCGCTCGTGTGCTGTGCCGGCCTTCATAGGTGCTCGCTGACAGCACTTGCCCGAACAGTCTGTTCAGGCTTTTTACGGGGAATATTTGTCTTTGGTTATACAAACCACGAACTACTACAGACAACACCCAGCTTTCATGCATTGTTTTTCCTCTCTGCTATCGACTCCTGCCCCCACCCCCTCATCCGTTGCTTAGCTCTTTAGCTCATCTCCCATGACATAGGAAATATCCCAGTCAACGAGCAACATTGGGCCAATGTAGCTCGTTTACTGGGACTTGTTGATGTTTTTATTACTGAACATGTTACAAAAGTTATTTTTTTTACTACTGGCATCGGACCATGTGTGTGCTATTGCATACATTTTGATTCCTCTGTTTTTTGCTTTCATTAAATTCCCAGGACTTTTTAAGATTGCATTTTAAGCAGGTAAATAATGCAGACGATGATGTGCATCTGCTGCAAGAGATCCCCGTGATGCGAAAACAGTCAAACACGGGCCCTCTTCCTATTTCACACCCATCCGCACAGACCGCTGCTTCACAAACGGCAGCTTTCACACACACTCTGCTCGGTCTATCGTTCCCCACTTCTTTTTATCCTCTCCATTCAGACGCTGGCAACATGCGTGCCACGTGTATGGAAAGTGAGATCATGCGCGAGCACAAAGCCAGTGGTTATAGAACCCCTTCTGCCACAAAGCCGCCTTTGCAGCCCTGCCTCACCAAAATCTTCAACCACACCAATTCAACGGCCACCTTTGTTTCAATCGTTCGCCAAACCCACACTGAACTTGGTGAAACCACCATTGGAACCTCCTTTCCCAGTAGCAAAACATGATAATTGTTTTTTTACCCTTTTATCTGGCAACAAAACTGACACATTTTACCCTTTTATCTGGCAACAAAACTGAATTTGGTGAAACCAATTCTGCCCAGATGGCCTCCACTCCACCCCCCCGTGAGAGAACGCTACCGTTTCGCCTCCTCCAGGTGGCACAGGTACTCGTAGGCCACGTTCTGGCGCCGTCGCGCATCCATCTGCTCCGCCGTCATCCGTTCATCGTCCATGATGGCTGCAGCAAAAACAAAATGGACAAGGGTTATCAGCAACAGGCAAAGTCTCAATCGGTGTTATTATCACTCGCAAATGGTTGACGCCGACGCCAGCTTCACATCTGACAGGAGCCTCTTAATTAGGGGTGGATCTCCGAGGGCCATCCTGAAATATGATGATGCAAAGGTGTAAGAGCACCCAGGACCCACAACCCAGAGATCACTCGTTTGATGCAATCTCCTGGTGCAGCAGTTGAAACAATGAGCCAATTTTCTTAAATCCCGCAGCCTGTCCACCCAGTCATATAAATGGGTACACGACAGTTGATTGGTAACATGTGGGTACTCCCATCTCTTCCAAAAACTTCATCCAGCGTGGAAGAGTCGGTCAAATGCCCTCGAGAGGTGCACTGTAGAGATCCCCTTAGTGGAGGTCTTTCTGCCAGCAGTTGTGTGAGCAAGCAACTGCAGGGCTGCACCTTTTGCCTGTCAATATTCAGATGTCATAAGTGGCAATGCTGCATTGTGATTTTATCTCAATCTTAATTTTCAAAGTGTCCCCTTGCTGAAACGAGTATGAGGCTGTGCTTATCTGAATTGGCGGTCCTGATACGGTGGTGGAAATTCCACATTCTTATGTTGGGGCCAGAGCATCCATGACGACTGCTGTTGAATCCTCCATCAACTGGTCTTTACCTGGTGGTTCTCAAATATTGATCATGGAGGGCTGGAATTAATGTGTCGCAGGAAACGATTAGATCTCTGACATGTTTTCAGGTTGTACCGAATGTTATTTGGCACGATGTCCGAAGAAGTTTTCGCCCCACATACTGGGAGCTTAATCTTCAAGAACTGAATTGTCCAGCATGTGGAATAAAACGTCGGACATTCCTACTGATAAACACGCGGTGCAACTTTTTTGCAAACACATTGAACCGTGCGGCACAACCGCCGAAATTTACACAAAGAAGCAATGCGACACAATCGGCACCTGTTGAATTGAGCGTGTGAAATGTGTACCAAATGTGTGGGACATGAGATGTCTACACATTATTCGTACAGCCCACAATACAATGCTGGATGAGGGCCTCCTCCATCTCGTACGGGTAGTAGGGGGTTATGTAACCATACTTCCACCGCGCTGGTCAATGCAGTTTGGTGAAGGTGGGCAGCATAGATCTCGAGGCATAAATGTACAGCACAACAATGGATATTTCCTGCACTGCCCTCTGCTGCCCACCACGTACCCGCACAGCCTATAACAATCTGTGGAAAGTGTCTGCCCATTCAAGCACTACCCAGGCTCGGCTTCTGAGATCTGACAAGAACGAGGAAGGGCACTCGGGTCGCTAGGGTCATATGCAGGCATTAATTTGTGTTATAATATAAATGCCCTCTATTTAGCCAGAAAAGTCTGAGTCTCAATTCTTATTTCAGGTGGGTCCTGCATTGGCACGTTTGGACTATTCCATTAACTCAGTGATTGGCATGTGGAGGAAGCCAAGTACTTGGAAAAACTCACACATACCTGGATGAAACTCTCAAACACTGTTGCCATCCCTCTGTTCTGCAATGTCAGAATCCATCTCTCTACTGCACTTGAGTAGCATTCGTCGCTAGAATCACTCTTGTAAAAGCCAACTTACTTTTCTTAACGGTAAATATGATGACTGCAATTTGCAGTTTGTTCTCTGATTCGTGTGTTCATCTTATTGTCAGTGTATTTCCCAGGATGCATCTCTTTATACTTCTGTGAATACGTTTCTGCCTTTGTTCCCTTGTTATTTGTAAGAGTCAATGTTTATGACACAAACTGTACGTAACTATAGCAATCTAGTATGCAAGATTAAAAATTTAAATTTTTATGGCACATTGTTAAGATTACTTTTTATCAATAAAAATGTTTTATCATTAGCCCCGCTTTGAAGGATTCTTTGTTTTGTTCTGAAATCTCTCCTTACAGTTAATGGACATTGATTGTTATAATGACCATGGCATTAGCAAGTCTAAGGTATTTAATACTTTCGATATTTATCGTTATGCCTTTACTCCTCCAATCCAATTTCCTGAAATTAGCCTCCAGATTAATTGTACGTAATCTTGGTGAGAGCATAACTCCTTGCCCGAGTTTTATTATTTAGCTAATTAAAAAATTGCAATCTTAGTGTAGCAGTTCCTATTCACAAAATGTGTATACGGAAATGAAATACCTTCAGGACTGAATTAGGCTTCAATAATCCTTACATTCAAAAGGGGAGACAAAACTGACTTGAGAATTGCAGGCTCATTAGCCTCTTATCACACATATATAAAGTGCTCAAGAAGATCGTATAGAAACAGAAAATCAATTGGGAGGCTAGTCAAGCAGACCAACAAGCTAGATTTCATAGACAGTGCATGCTCTCAATCACAGGAAGGCTGCCCTCACCTTAACCGCTCAATATTAATTTCAGTTGTACTTCTACTAAGATTAGTCGAAACATTTTCGGTCCGAGGCAATTGCACTAGACAGAAGATACTATTTCAAATTGTGTTTGTGCAATATTTTAGATTTATATTTGCTTTATTGTTGTAGTGTGCTTTATTTGTTTTGCTCTTGTCGTTTTGGTGACACAAGTCATTCTTGCAAATGAGATTATCCTGATCTCATGAGTTCTTACCTGGTTGAATAAAACAAGCTAAACACATTCTAAAAAAGATAAATAAATGTTGATCAATATATAATCGCCAGCTTTTGTTGATTATGAAAATACATTAGATTAAGTGGAAACTACTGCGGTTGTCCAAGTGTTCACAAAATAAGGCATCGATAAAAAAATGTTTGGAAAATTGTAAAACCATTCGTAAGATTGGTACAATTAGACGACTGGAAATTTCAGAGCAGGTATACGGTGCGTTTCAGGTCAGGATCATTTCAGGTCACATGACAAGGAAAAAACCAGACTAGAGACAGAGATGACATTCTGCAAGATATTGTTAGATGACATGCATAACAAGATGTAAATGAAAGTAACATTTACGGGATGATCAATAATGAATTGTACTTTAATGTGTATAGAATTAACTTCAACATGACATCCATTTATTCAATACGGCATCCATGTGTGATAACAAGTGGCTTTTTTCAAATGTAAACTCACTTCTGTATTTAAAATGTCTTGTAATGCTCGACTCCCTATGGAAATGTGTCACTTTTTTCAAGAAATGTGGATGTAAGTAGACATATCAAATACTATGTCCATGTCTTAATGCTCCAAGGAGAACCATCATAAGCATGTTTTTGAAAACTCAATGAGACTTTCTTCAGGTAAATAATGTAATAAAGTGCCGTATCATCATCAGCCCTGATCTACCATCAGCTGGTTGAAGGCCATCCCAATCCATCACCATCTCTGACGGGTTTCAACAATCAAGTCTTACACTACGTGGTGTGAATCGTGCTCAAGTTAATACATTGCAACACCTGCTAAAGACAAATTACAAAGCTGCAAATATGTTTTACATTCCGGCTGACCAGTAAAATGCTTATGCTACACCTACATGCTAAAAGGTTAAGTAAAATTTTCAAAAAATTGCAATAAAAATGGGTTTGCTAAGCTCCAAAAGTCAGCCACAACACCCAGCCTTCCACCCTGCCCACAAAACCCACCACTACCCACGGCTTCCAGGCCAAGGCGAGGAGGATTCCATGGGTTTGTGGTGTTTGCTGTGAAACCCACCACACTATGGAACTCCGACTGAAGAAGTGGGATTCAGCTCAGCAGCCTCTGTCACGCCCGTATAATAGAATGAGTGTAACAGTATTGTATATGCCCACGGATGGCCACTGGTATAATCAGCATCAACATCTGCCATGATCAATCCACTGCTGGAAGAAAGCCTCCCCAAGCCACCTCCATACCTCACAAAAATAAAAGCAGAGCACGATGACCATGATAATACAGGGTGTTTAAAAAGATGGGCCCGATTTGAAATCGCTATATTTCTGAAATTGGGTCCATCTTTTAAAACACCCTGAAATTTAAAGCCCTTTGACATGGCGGTTGTTCGACCATACTTGACCATGTTGGTCGGCGTGGGTTGGTGAAATGGGTGCCCAGGTGATAGGGTATGATGGTACCATACAGCAATGTAAGGACATTCATCCTAACAGCATTTGACGAATGTTCTCTGCAGGCTTTTAAAGTCTCTTTATTCTATCAGTTCGTTCAGTAAATATGGTATCACTCCACTAAATGTAAACATGATATTCTTCATACAGAAAATTATACATGTAACCTAACGAGGTGAATGAAAACATACACAACTGTTAAGTGTCAAAGCATTCCACAATTATACTCACTCACAAAAAAACTAATGAAAGTATGCAGATATTCAAAATAACATTTAGTCACAAGCAAACCAAGGGCAACATTTCAAGAGCTTTTAAAAATATATGTACACTTACATCCATAATATGGTTTGGCAAATCCGTCCGCGTCGTCTTGCTGTGCCATGATCTCCTTTTTGAATATTTGTTTTAGTTTTGTTTCTTGGGTCAACGTTGAGGGCCGGTGAGGCCGTTCAAAATGCGCGGCTGATCCCCGAGTCTCCCTTGCCAGTAATGCAAGCGGCTCAAAGGCGGCGCGTGTGTGCGTGCAGCCGTGGGGTGGGGAAGTGTGTGCGGTCCGTGGTGGGGCTGTGGGCACGTGTGCAAGTGTGTGCGTGTGTGGGGGGAGCGGTAGTGTAGCGGTTAGCGCGCTCCGCTGCGAACCGAGTTCGATTCAACACCTGTCTTGGCCCTCCCCTAGGTCGACTCAGCCTCAAATGAGTAGCTAGTGCGGTGTGTAAACATCGCCACTGGGGAGACAAAGGCGGTGGGGTGTGGTGCTGGCCACCCACCCCCTCATGTGCTGTTCCGGCCTTCATAGGTGCCACTCGCTAACAGCACTTGCCCCAACAGTTCTGTTAAGGCTATACGGGGGATCTTTGTCTTTGTGTGTAAAAGCGCATGTGCCAGCCATCCCATTAAATGACGTTTCCATCAATTGGATTCATTCATATAAGAAACGAAATTCCTTTTATAGATCTAATTTTTTTTAGATATATATAAAAGGCATTGAAATTATGATCAGATATAATTGTGTGTTTTGGTCATTGTGTTGACTGAAATAGCATAAGGCATTTCAAAAGTCATTGTTTTATCACCATTATGTTCATAATGATTTAGATAATAACTGTTTAAGTTTATTTTCGTACTGGCATACGAAAAAAGCATACACACATGTCACGGTCAAACGTCCCCATTGTATTTGTTCAAAAAACTGTTAATTGCCTAACCAACTCTTCTTATAGAAATGTATTTAGTAAAATTTTGTTGTCATAATCATCCATGATCAATCCACTGCTAGATGAAGGCCTCCAGAGGCCATCACTATCCCTCACAGTCTTGCGATAGAATGTGGTGCCACGGCCGCGGAGAAACTCCGCAAGCGCCGCGACTCCCCCCTGGCCCTCACCCCTGAGCACACACGCAGCGCACACACGTAGTAGTGTCCCGGCGGAGGATTGCCTGGCACAACGGGTTTTAATCCTAAGGCTCCCACGAGGGAAAGTCCCACGGTTTCCCGGTGCCAGGAGATTGGCCGACCCTCGCAGAACAAGCCACATTGCGGTGCCCTTAAATTGGCTTGCAACAGAGGTCGCAAACGGGTTTTGATTCATCTTGATTCCTTACCCGTACCCGGCCGCACCAGGGTCGCAAACTGGTACCCGTACACGTACCCTACCCGATACCCGGCTACCCATACCCGGCCGGGTATCGGGTAGGGTACGGGCACGGGTACCCGATTGCGACCTCTGGGATAAAGCCATGTTGCAGGCGCGAGTGGGTTGATTCTAGGAACTTGAATTGTGAGAAGAAACAAGACGTTGGGAAATGAGTGACAAACGGTGACTCACCAGTGACTCACGGCCTACCCATACCCGTACCCGGCCGCACCAGGGTCGCAAACGGGTACCCGTACCCGTACCCGGCCAGTGGGGAGGGTGAGGAGGGGCTGGGTGGGGAGGGTGGGGAGGGGCTGGGCTGGGCGGAAGAGGGTGGGGCTGGGTGGGGGGTGGGAGGGGTGGGGCTGGGTGGGGAGGGGCTGGTCACCCCGTGGTGCCCTTATAAAACTCAACGTTTAACCTCCTCACACCGGCTTGTGCCCGCCCTCACAGTCGGGCATATTTGTGGAATACACCACGCCGCCGTTGACCCTGGCCATTGACCGAGCAACCCAACGTTCCTACCTAGCTCCCCCCGCAGGAATGGGTTGAGTATAGGTGCATATGTAACGGGTTCCGGAGACACTTGTAGATGTACTTCTTTATTACAATACAACACTCCAACAGTACTCCAACTCTCCAACAGTCCTGATACTCTGTTACAGCCTAGGTACACAGCCTAGATACTCTACTCTTGCTACGCTCTGGACTCGCCCTCACAAGGTCGTAGAGTCGGGAGTTCCAGAGTCCCAGCGCTGGCTCTCATAGCATCCCAGGGTCTTCAGATGGCTGGTCGTGGGTCTTGGGTCTTGAGTTACAACTGGGCCCCGATCGTCCAGGGAGCTCTCCTTTTATGCCTGGTCCAACGAGGGGTGGGGCCGTGTGCGCCACCAGACATCCCACAGAGCACACACAGCCCCCCCCCCCCCCCCCCCCCGTTGGCGGCGCCCAGGGGATTAAGCGCCTGGGAACTCAACGCCTGGCGCCCAGAGGCTTAAGCATCTGGACCCCCTGGGAACCCAGCGCCTGGCGCCCAAAGGCTTAAGCGTCTGGACTCGCCTGGGATCCCAGAGCCCCCAGCAGCCCCTCCCTTCTTATGTCACTACATTACCCCCCTCTACGTAGCCTCCAGCCGTCTCGGCTGTCAATAATTAGAAAGTTTAAATTAACGAAAGGGAGAGAGAGAAAACAAATATGCGAGCCTCAACAGGAAAAGAAAAGAGAACAAGAAAGCAACCATAAAAACCATAACCAACCTGTACAACTCTACACTATATACAAGCATCAATCAACAAAAAGGTGAAGCAATGACACGTGAACAAACGACCCGCGGCACACCTAGCCCTCCTCGGGATCCGCATAGAAAACGGGGAATTAACAACAACAAATATACAGATTTCGACGCGTTGGATGCACAACCAACACCGGTAATCGAACCAAAATCACACAACCACCGCATGGATGGCAGGGATCCACACCACTCTGCCAGCCTCCCATCCGTCAGGTGGAGAGAAGGCGAAGACCAACATGTCGAGCATCCCTCTACACACACTTATCCGGACGTCTGTCTACGTCCCGGGTCGAGAAGTCGTACTTCAGGGCCGACCCATGTACTGGGCAAAGAAGTCGCACTTCAGGGCTGCTCCCGTATCTACATTTTTTAATATATATATAAAATTTACATGACACAACTAAAATAAATCTGCCTGCTCCTGTCCATAAATGGTGGCCGCACGCGCGAACCGCATCTCCAAGGCATCCCGTGCTTGCGTCCCAGCAGCCCTCAATGAGGACCACCACCGACATTACATGTCAACCGTTTGCACCCCCCGCCTTTCCAACGTGGCGTCTCCATCCTAAAACCGCGCACGTCGGCCATATCGGGGGGGACTTCAACCCAGTCTCTCTCCAAGACTCGCATCGCAGCATATAGCTGTACCGACCGATCTGAGACCCAATCTCTCTCCAAGACTCGCATCGCAGCATATAGCTGTACCGACCGATCTGAGACCCAACCTCTCTCCAAGACTCGCATCGCAGCATATAGCTGTACCGACCGATCTGAGACGACCCATTGTTCACTCCCTGCACAACATGCACCCTGACAACCGAGGGATACAGTCCCAACGTAACGGGACAACTACACCTGAACACCACGAATCTCCAGCCCACTGTTTCAACGCGCCTCGGAGTGTTTCAATCTCCGGGCCGTCAGGTCAAGCCGTCAGCTATTCCATGACGGGACCACACCCTCCGAGTCCTGTGAGCGCACAGCCCACTAGGCCAGACATGCCACGGAGTGTTTCAATCTCCGGGCTGTCAGGTCAAGCCGTCAGCCATAGCATGACGGGACCACACTCTCCGAGCCATGTGAGCACACAGCCCACTAGGCTAGACATGCCACGGAGTGTTTCAATCTCCGGGCTGTCAGGTCAAGCCATCAGCCATAGCATGACGGGACCATACTCTCTGAGCCATGTGAGCACACAGCCCACTAGGCTAGACATGCCACGGAGTGTCTCTATCTCCGGGCTGTCAGGTCAAGCCGTCAGCCATAGCATGACGGGACCACAACTCTCGTGTTAGACACGCAACACCCGCTGGGCCATCCTGGTCAGGATCTGCACCCCAAAATATTTGAGAACCAGCATGACAATTCCAAATCCTTGGCAGCATGTCACCATCTCAAGATAAATGCCCCATACAGTATATACATCGTTAACAATGACAGCACAAGCTATACATTAACAATCACGAACAAAGCTCGATATAAACCATACATTGTTAACAATCACAAGCAAAGTTTCGCACACACATTGACAACACTCACGGGTGAAGCTCCACACAGTTTACCCAACAACAGTCACGACTCCCCGACGACAACGAAGAAAATGTCAACAAAAAAATCATTAATCCGGAGCGCGTAAATGTACGAAATGTCAGGGGCCTGGTCTCCCGACCTCCAACCTTTGGCCAGAGCAGCAGAGGCGGCGACCAGCGTGACGGTCCATGTGCCGGCCCCGGCGCTGGTTACAGTAAGAATGGCGCCCTCACTGTCCGGTCGCAGCGCTGATGACGCGGTGTGCTAGGTTGCCAACAGCTGTCACTCGGCGGTGAGGGACGCAGCGCTGATGACGCGGCGTCGTCGGGTAGGCCCACGCTGGGCCCGGAAGTGACGTCGCTCCCAGCGGTCACTGCTCCCCCGGCAGAAGTGACGACACACCCGGAAGTATCCCTCACATCCGTGGGGGGAATGGCGGCGGCGGGCTCGGGCGAGCGCCGCGCCGCCTCTCTCCCTCCCGCCATCGGCCGCGAGCACCGCAGCTCGCCCAGGAGGGAGGCGGTGGCGCAGAGCAGCTCTGCGAGGCGAAGCAGCGCCTCCTCCATCTCTGCTCCCGACGCTGGAGAGGGGGCGATCGGCGGAGCAGACAGCTGCTTAGCCGGCGGTGCGGCGTTGTTGTCGGCCGGCGGTGCAGCATCGCTGTCGGCCGGCGTTGGCCGCCCCATCGCTGCCTGCTCTTCTTCATCGCCGTCAGGACTGAAGGTACGTGGCTCACTTCTTGTCTCCATTGCCACTTCTGACGCCAAATGTAACGGGTTCCGGAGACACTTGTAGATGTACTTCTTTATTACAATACAACACTCCAACAGTACTCCAACTCTCCAACAGTCCTGATACTCTGTTACAGCCTAGTTACACAGCCTAGATACTCTACTCTTGCTACGCTCTGGACTCGCCCTCACAAGGTCGTAGAGTCGGGAGTTCCAGAGTCCCAGCGCTGGCTCTCACAGCATCCCAGGGTCTTCAGATGGCTGGTCGTGGGTCTTGGGTCTTGAGTTACAACTGGGCCCCGATCGTCCAGGGAGCTCTCCTTTAATGCCTGGTCCAACGAGGGGTGGGGCCGTGTG